TACTAGCCCCCGTATTTTTTCTTTGTTATATTACTTTTACTATAACATTTATTTCTTATTTCTCAAGAAAAAAAAGTAGAGAACGGGTGGGTGGGCGGGGCTAAGTTTGACTTTTTCTGAAAGAAACTTTTATAAGCAAGCAATATCTTCGTTGGAACATTAATCCTTTGAATTAAAAAAAAATGTCGGGAAAATTGGAATGTGGCAACGTTGTAAAAAATTTTCAAAAGTAAAATATGGTCATAAAGAAGAGGCCAATCAAAACTTGAAAAAATATAGTGTTCTAAAAGAAAAAAAAATTATGTTGCACCTCATGAATTATTGAGGTTTATATTATTTATTTATTTAATACGATTAATATTTTTTTAAATGACGTCAAGAATATTTTTCTCGGTAAAGTTACTCCTTTGAGCTGTTAAAAAATAACAAAGAAATGGGAAAAAGTGGCAACGTCGCATCAATTTTTCAAAAATAAAATATGGTTGTAAAGAAGACGCCAATCAGGGCATGAAAAAATATGTAGTGTTCCAATAAAAAAACAATTATTGGGCGGGGCTAAATTTAATTTTTTTCTAGTTCTATGCGCAAGCAGTAGCCACGCCTACCCACCCCTTCTTTGTTCCAGTGACAATTCTTAATATTGTTCAGTCCTACCTTGGCAAATTTTAGCCCCGCCCACCCACCCTTTTTTTCTTGGAAGAGTGGGTCATCTGCCAAAATCAGTCTTATCTTGACAAGTACCAGCCCCGCCCACCCACCCTGTATTTTCTTGGAAGAATAGGTCATCTGCAAAAATCAGTCCCATACTTGCCAAGATAAGATTGATATTTGCAGATGACCTATTCTTCCAAGAAAATAAAGGGTGGGTGGGCGGGGCTAGTACTTGTCAAGGTTCTATTTTCTTAGAAGAGTAGATCATTTACCAAAATCAGTCTTTTCTTACGAAGTACTAGTCCCGCCCACCCACCCACCCTTTTTTTCTTAGAAGATATGTCATTAACCAAAACCAAGCTTATCTTAACATGTACTAGCCCCCGTATTTTTTCTTTGTTATATTATTTTTGCTATAACATTTATTTCTTATTCCTAAACAAAAAAAAAAATAGAGAACGGGTGGGTGGGCGGGGCTAAGTTTGACTATTTTTACAGAATCTTATATAAGCAAGCAATATTTTCGTTGGAATACTTTAATTCTTTGAATCTAAAAAAAAATGTCGAGAAAATTGGAATTAGTGGCAACGTTGCAAAAAATTTTCAAAAATAAGATATGGTTATAAAAAAAGGCAATCAAAACTTGAAACAATATAGGGTTCTAATAAAGAAAAAAAAAACAAGTTTTCTGTTGCCTCTCATAAATTATCGAGTTTCTTATTTATTTAGTACGATTAATATTTTTTTAAATGACATCACGGATATTTTTGTCGGTAAAGTTATTCCTTTGAGTTGTTAAAAAATGCCCAGAAAATGAGAATAAGTGGCAACGTCGCATCAAATTTTCAAAAATAAAATACAGTTGTAAAGAAGACGCCAATCAGGGCATGAAAAAATATGTAGTGGTCCAATAAAAAAATTAACCTTATAAATTCTTGGGCGGGGCTAAATTTTTTTTTTTTTCTACTTCTATGAGCAAGCAGTAGCCACGCTTACCCACCCTTTCTTTGTTCCAGTGACAATTCTTAATATTGTTCAGTGCTACCTTAGCAAGTTTTAGCCCCGCCCACCCACCCTTTGTTTCTTAGAAAAGAGGGTCATCTGCCAAAATCAGTCTTATCTTGACAAGTACCAGCCCCGCCCACCCACCCTTATTTTCTTAGAGGATATGTGATTTGCAAAAATCAGTCCCATACTTGCCAAGATAAGATTGATTTTTGCAGATGACCTATTCTTCCAAGAAAATAAAGGGTAGGTGGGCGGGGCTAGTACTTGTCAAGGTTCTATTTTCTTAGAAGAGTAGATCATTTACCAAAATCAGTCTTTTCTTACGAAGTACTAGTCCCGCCCACCCACCCACCCTTTTTTTCTTAGAAGATATGTCATTAACCAAAACCAAGCTTATCTTAACATGTACTAGCCCCCGTATTTTTTCTTTGTTATATTACTTTTGCTATAACATTTATTTCTTATTCCTAAAGAAAAAAAAAAAAAAAGAGAACGGGTGGGTGGGCGGGGCTAAGTTTGACTATTTTTACAGAATCTTTTATAAGCAAGCAATATTTTCGTTGGAATACTTTAATCCATTGAATCTAAAAAAAATGTCGAGAAAATTGGAATAAGTGGCAACGTTGCAAAAAATTTTCAAAAATAAGATATGGTTATAAAAAAAGGCAATCAAAACTTGAAAAAATATAGTGTTCTAATAAAAAAAAAACAAGTTTTCTGTTGCCTCTCATAAATTATTGAGTTTCTTATTTATTTAGTAGTACGATTAATATTTTTTTAAATGATGTCACGGATAATTTTGTCGGTAAAATTATTCCTTTGAGTTCTTAAAAAATGCCAAGAAAATGAGAATAAGTGGCAACGTCGCATAAAATTTTCAAAAATAAAATATGGTTGTTATGAAGAGGCCAATCAGGGCATGAAAAAATATATTATGTTCCAATAAAAAAAAACAAAAAGCCTTATAAATTCTTGGGCGGGGCTAAATTTAATTTTTTTCTAGTTCTATGAGGAAGCAGTAGCCACGCCTACCCACCCCTTCTTTGTTCCAGTGACAATTCTTAATATTGTTCAGTCCTACCTTAGCAAATTTTAGCCCCGCCCACCCACCCTTTTTTTTCTTACAAGAGTGGCTCATCTGCCAAAATCAGTCTTATCTTGACAAGTACCTGCCCCGCCCACCCACCCTTATTTTCTTAGAGGATATGTCATTTGCAAAAATCAGTCCCATACTTGCCAAGATAAGATTGATTTTTGCAGATGACCTATCCTTCCAAGAAAATAAAGGGTGGGTGGGCGGGGCTAGTACTTGTCAAGGTTCTATTTTCTTAGAAGAGTAGATCATTTATCAAAATCAGTCTTTTCTTACCAAGTACTAGCCCCGCCCACCCACCCTTTTTTTCTTAGAGGAGATGTCATTGGCCAAAATCAACCTTATCTTAACCAGTACTAGCCTACTGTATTTTTTCCTTGTTATATTACTTTTGCTATAACGTTTATTTCTTATTTCTCAAGAAAAAAAAAATAGAGAACGGGTGGGTGGGCGGGGCTAAGTTTGACTTTTTCGTACAGAATCTTTTATAAGCAGGCAATATATTCGTTGGAATACGTTAATCCTTTGAATAAAAAAAAACAATGTTCAGAAAATTGGAATAAGTGGCAACGTCGCAAAAAAATTTTTAAAATAAAAAATGATTATAAAAAAGGCCAATAAAAAATTGAAAAAATAGAGTGCTCTAATAAAAAAAAAACCTAGTTTTACGTTGCGCCTCATAAATTCTTGAATTTCATATTTATTTAATATGATTAAGAATTTTTAAAATGACGTCACCAATATTTTTGGTGGCGTAAGTCATTCCTTTGATTTTTAAATAATGTCGAGAAAATTGGAATAAGTGGCAAGGTCGCATCAATTTTTCAAAAGTAAAATGTGGTTATAAACCAGAAGAGACTAATCAGGACACGAAAAATAATACAGGGTGTCAATAAAAAAATAAATAAATTTTATGTTGTGCCTCATAAATTCTTGAGTTTCTTATTTATTTAGTGTGATTAATAATTTTTAAAATGGCGTCACCAATAATTTTTGAATTAAAAAAAAATGAAAGAAAATTGGTAAACGTGACATTACCTAAAATTTTCAAAAATAAAATTTATGGTGTCTCAATATAAAAAAAACAAATTTTACGTTGCGTTTCATAAATCTTGAATTTGTTATTTATTTAGCATGAATAATAATTTTGAAATGACGTCAGCAATATTTTTGCGGGGATTAGAAAAGCTTAATCAATGCATTTTTTAAGAGAAAGAGTTTAACTTATTGCATTTATGAGTACCATTTTCGGAACTTAATTTGAAAGTCATTTAGACCGAACTTTCCTCGCCTGTGAACCGCAACAAACACCACACGCATGCAACTATTTTCCAACAAAGTATGTTTAAAAACTGACTGAAATAATGTTATCAACTTTACCGTGGGAACAAATATTCATTGATTTTAATACGCTTGAAGAAAATTAAATGAGTCGTGTACTATTTTCGCATGACGTCACCGATTTCTAGAAAATCAATAACACACTTTACTTAGACGCAATTAGCAAAAAATAGGAAACGTACAACGCAAGCGTAAAATTATATTACAATGAAATGTAATTTTTTTGGAAGAAAACCAAACACTAAAACGAACAATAAAATCGACAGTGTAATTTTCCTTCAAAATGTACATGTATAATGTGAATCACGTATATACAGGACGCGACATTTTGCGTGCTTCGGCTAAGTGACTAAGCTATACGTAATTTAAAGCGGAAAATTTGTCGAAAACTTATTTTAGAACCGGAACTTGACACACTTCAAGTGATACGATATTACGATGACGTCAGCAATTTTTTGCAGAGAATGAGTTAACTGTATTGGTTTATTTTTTGAAAAACGCGTACGTCAGCTGTCAAATTTCAACTGAATCGATTTTGTGGGAGGATTCAGTTCGACAGGCGCAAAAACTCGAAATCCACAATATTAATTAAATTCTGACGAAGAACTTAAAAACTATTGCCATTTCTGCATGGAATGTGATCATCACTCAGAAAGAACGACCTCACTTTACTTAATTACTTAATTACGTCAAAGATTAAAACAATCCCACCGGAGTCCAATTAAATCCAGCGGTGTACTTAATTCTTTCCCTAATTGTGCATCCATGCGAGCACCCGCTAAATAACGGAGACATTACCGAACTCTTCCAAATAAAAAAATCATGCGTCATGCACCTTGTCCGTATGAATCATCGCCGTGTAACGATCGCCGCACCGCCCTCCTCCACGTACCCCCAAATCACTCACCTAGCCCCATCCTGCAGAAAATGGCCTCCGCGTCCATGACGGCCTTCTTCTCCTTCGGCTCCACCTTGACGTCCTCCTCGGGCTGCCGACACACCACCTTGGCCGGCTCGGGCAGCTTCCGCACCGGCTCCTTGGGCGGCTCCGGGAGCTTCCGCACCGGCTCGGGCGTCTTCTCCTTGGGCGGCTGCGGCGGCTCCACCGGGTAGTCCTTCTTAGGAGGTAGCGGCTCCTCCTCCAGGTCCTTGAAGGCGTCAGTCTTGAAGTCGGCCGACGCCGACTCCGGAAGCTCGGCCTTCTTGGGGAAGTCCTCGTACTTGGAAGGCTTGAAGTCGTCGTCGTTGTCCGGCTCGCTGTCCGAGTACTTCTCCAGCGGCTCCTCCTTCTTCGGACTCACCTTCTCCTGGCGCTCGAAATCCATGAACGTCTGCGTGGCGACCTTGTCGTCCTTATCGCGGATCTCGGGCGGCTCCTCGTGCTTGGGGGCGGCGGGGGCCAAATCCTGCAGGAACTTGTCCATCTTGGGGTCGTCCTTGTGGCCGAAGGTGTCGCCCATCTCCAGCAGGTTCGAGTCCATCTTTCTGTCCGCTTTCTCCGAACGCAACGGGTCGAATGATGACAGCTCGTGGGGGAGTGGGTTGGCGGCACTGGCTCTGGCATCCCCTTTATCGATCGCCACCCCCAGCTCGTCACGTGCGGCGGATTTCAAGCCGGACAGCAAGTCGCCGCCGTCGTTCAGGGGCGAGCTGTCGTGCCCCAGGTGCTCGAAGTCGTCGAGGGAGTCCACCTCTCGGCGAAGGCTGCCAAGAGGCTGGCTCTGACTCTCCCGGAGCGCCTCCTTCACGCTCTCCAGAGTCAACTCTTTATTATCCATCCCGGTTATTAATTTTTTTTTTTTAGGTTTTTAGTTTCTTCTTTTTACGAATAAGTAGACGAACACAACGAATTTCACAAACACCGGCACAACTGTCAAACGTCAGAAACTTTGTGTTGTGGCGGTGTGCTGTGCTTTTGGTGCAGTCGTCTGGAGTAGTGGGGGAGCAGGGTGGGCTGGCATTGGCGTAGACTGCGACCGAGAAGCGGGGATGCGAGTCGCGAGAGGGGAATGGGGAAATGCCATTTGGCCGACTTTAATTGGTGACGTGGAAATCTATAATTTTCGAATTGGGTGCAACGTTGTGCAAGTGGTGAGTAAAAGGGATTTTGATTGGCTGCAGGCTGAGTCGCAGCGGCGCCCAATGGAACGGCGGCCTTGGACTGTCATTGCGGACGGCATAAATCGACTATCATACACAAAATTTTACAAGTTTACTGTGACTGTTTACACAGTAGTCGTAATAGGTAAACAAACGAAAGATAGGTTCTAGAACAGTGGCGTAGCGTCTATAAATAATATTATTTGTGTGGCTCAGAAATTATATTTGGATGACTTGGCACAATTTTAAAATCGACTACATTTTTTTATTGCCGTGGGTGTTTTTAACGACAATAATTCAAGTAATTCTAAAAAATATATCAAGTACATGTAAAATAATCGATAAAATTAGACGCTATTTATGAGAACACTTTGTAGTTTTTGCTTCTAGAATGATAAGTAAGAGAAATATTGCAAAACAATACGCCTTTTTAGACAAAATTTGTTCCTACCGTCATTGTCAAATTTATTGTTTTTTTTTTTTTAAGATACCAATTAGCACCAGTGTAAACACTGTAAACTTATTTCTTGGCGTTTTATAACTTGTAGACTACAAAAATGTAGGTTTACCGTTTACGGTTACAACTAGAAATATTTTGAACAATTATTTTCTGAAATTAATTAAAAAAAAAATGAAAAAATTATTTTTCATAGTTCGTAGGTTCCAGAAATGGAAACTATTAGTCTGTCTTGTGTCCATTGAAGATTTTAGCAACTTCCGAAATGAATGAACCGATTACTATATTTTAGTGTGCTTTAAGATGACGTCAGCTCAAAATTGTGGAAGGAGTATTCAAGAAATTTACATCTACAGGGTGTTATTGAAAGGTACGTACAACAAAAGTGACAGTTCTTCGCGAAGTGTAAGAAGTCTGAAAACCTTAGTTTCTGTTATCAAAATTATAAGGGGAAAATTAACCCTTATCCAACCTTTTTAGACGCTACTGAAGGAAAAATAGGTAAAATTAATTTATTTTAATAAATCCTAGCAACTGTAACAATGAAACTTTTGCCAAGGCTAAATGTTGCTATAGAAACGAAAGATGTTCTTTTTATCAGAGGCGTACAACGAATTTGGACATAAATTTTAATAATGTTTATCTCTAAAAGGAGAATACTTTTACCTGAACTTTTTTTTACTTTTAGCCCCCATACTTCGAGACCAATTGCCGATTTTATTTTGTACATATCTTTCAATAACACGCTGTATACATAAAAAACTTCTCTTAGTAGAAAAAATTAATGTCAATAATAGTGTAGTAAATCATATTTCAATATACTACATATAGAAGGCTCAGATAAAACAAAAATAACTAGTCTCGTTGACAGTCCTGATTTTTGCAGTTATTTTTCAGACCCTTCCAGCTACGCCACTGGTAGAAAAAGACAGACGATTGCAAATTCCGCGAATAATTAATTCAACAACTACCTCACTTTATTTAGTTGTTAAAAGTGCCAAAACAATCAAAACCAACTCAAACTTAATTATCTACGCACCAAAAAAGCAAAAAACCGGTTGCGTAATTCTAACTAGCGGGATTTCGGTCTCCCGAGCCCGCAATGTTTGGTTGTCAAGCGCTTGTCATGTCATTGCATAACAAAAAGTGAGGTTATGTGCCGCTGTTTTTATTACATTTATTATTGTTTTGAAACTTAATAGTCCAATTTGTGTCAATGATGTTGACAGCAGATAAACCCTCCCACTCTTTCACTTCCATTTCCTGTGTTTTTTTGTGAAATTAGTAAAATGTACTTCCAACGAATAACCTCAAAATTTTACAAAATTTGCAAACTGCGTAGGCACGTATCCGTTGGGGCGAAATTTTCAGACAATAGAGTAATTAAATCCAAAGCGGCGAACCTCATCATCCCGAATCAACTCATCCCAGATTATATTTGGCAAGATCTGGGTAAGTGGCACGACAAGACCGCTGTGGTGAGTATCGCTATGGTTTAAAATGGGCCGCATAAAATCCACAAAGGTTTGTTTTGAAACAGGAAAGTCGTACACGTTCAACCAGGTTTACTTAAAATGTAGGAATTTGGCGGGAAGTTTACGGAGGAAATTTAGTTTGGAAAAGGGGGACACGGTGGCGGTGATTCTGCCGAATGTGGTGGACTTCCCGGTGGCTTTTTTGGGGGCTATTCAGGCGGGGCTTGTAGTCACGACGGTGAATCCTTTACACAATGCAGGTGCAACATTTCGTCAAAAATTGCTTTTACAACAATTATTGTGTTTTGTTTCAGACGAAATGGCAAGACAGCTCAGCGATTCTGGTGCTAAAATAATTTTCACGGTTAGGGATATTTTAACTGTTGTCAACACTGCCATGAGCATCCTAGGGGAAAAAATTCCAACTGTGATAGCAGAAGCACAACCTGTAATTACTTACACCAAGTTTATTTTGATAATCTGACATTACTAAAGTTGTCAGTTTGTGAAAATAAACGAGGTTTATTTTTACGTGTTAATTTTATGTTATTATAACAGGCTGATTGTTTTCCACAAGGTTGTATCAAAATGAGCGAACTGTGTGATAATAGTAACAATAACGGTAACGCGTTGCCAGAAGGTAGTCCCGATGACGTGGCTATTTTACCATATTCCAGCGGGACCACTGGGTTTCCCAAAGGTGTTCAATTGACTCATAGAAACGTCGTCTCGAATTTATACCAAATGTCATCGCCGGACTTTATAGTCAATTTAAAAACTGAAGGTACTTGTTGAATACACACAAGATTTGTTCTACGTGCCGTTTTAGGTAGCTTCCAGGACGTGATCCCTGTGTTCCTTCCGCTTTTCCACATATACGGAATGGTGGGGATTTTCCTCAACTTCTTTGCTCAAGGCTGTAAACTAGTTATGATCCCGAACTTCATTGGGTCTCAGTTCATCAAACTGTTACAGTATTACCAACCCACGTTGTTGTTCGCAGTCCCCCCAATGAGTAAGTCATGTTTTAAGGGTCCATAACCGGTTATTGTCACACATTTTTTAGTCGTAGTAGTATTAAACAACCCTAAAATCAAAGTCGACGACTTAAAATCCGTGAGGACGATAATCTCGGCAGCTGCCCCTCTCGGCTCGCTTTCTGTGGAAGAATTCAACGACAAGAGCAGCGGTAAAATAACCCTTCTTCAGATGTACGGGATGACCGAAACTTCCCCTTTAACCCTAATGCAAACCCCTAAACTCGCCAACGGTACGAAAATCGGCGGCAGCGGCTTCCTCATCCCCAACACCGAAGCCCAAATCATCCCCCAAACCAGCGCACAATCCGGCGAATTGTTAGTACGAGGCCCCCAAATCATGAAAGGGTACCACAACAACCCAGAAGCCACCCGGGACGCCATTTTGCAAGATGGCTGGCTGCGCACCGGCGACATTTGCTACTACGACGAACACCAACATTTCTTCATCACGGATCGGTTGAAAGAACTAATCAAAGTTAAAGGGTTTCAAGTAGCCCCCGCTGAACTTGAAGAGATTCTGATGAGTCATAGCGCCGTCGTGGACGCGGCCGTGGTGGGAATCCCGCACCCGGTACACGGGGAAGCCCCGAAAGCGTTTATCGTCGTCAAAAAGGGTCAATCGGTGAACACGGACCACGTTAAAGAATTCGTCGCAGCCAAAGTCTCCAGTTACAAGAGATTGGTAGGGGGTGTGGTGGTCACGGAGAAAATCCCCAGGAATTGTGCCGGGAAAATTCTGAGAAACGAATTGAAGAATATGTGATCTACGCAATATTTTTTTTTATTTTGAATAAAATATTCTAGTGACGGGGGGTTTAAGTACCGTCGAGGCTAAATCGGGAAGCGTGCGTTAGGAGTTCCATTTGGCCGTGGTACATCACGTCTCGGATGAGTCTATTGGCGATGTTTCGTTGTTCGTCGGACATTTCCCTAAGTTTGTAGGCTAGGTTTTTGGCTATGGTGTCAAAAACGTCTTCGTCGTCGGGTTGTTGGACGTCTGACGACGTAGACGAGTCCGACTCTTTTTTAATGTCAATGTCGTCGTCTGACTCGTCAGACGTGGTGTTCGCCCGTCTGCGCTTCTGCAATTATAAAACCGACTAGTGACTGCACCACTTTTGTTCCCGTTTGTACAAGGTCGTACTCACCACAAGTCTTTTTTGGTTGGTGTACTCCCCTTTGAGAAAACTCAACATCTCGAAACACCACAGGGTTGGAGTGTACACTTTCCCTCTACCCTCGCTGTTTTTGATTTTCTTATACTCGTACAGAAACTGCCCCCTTATCAAGGATATTTTCCTGCGGACGTCCTCCGCGTGGAAGTACTTCCCCGTAGTGGCCATCAGCTTATCCGTGATCTTCCTCACGGCGTCGTTCCGCCGCCTCTTGTTCCGGTAGAAGGGGTGCGCGGTAGAGTACAAGCAAGGGTGGCTCTTGTAGAAGTTGATCAAAATGGCTGAGTGCTCGCGGCTCCAGAACGATATTTTCTAGCAACATATCTTAACTAGGGTACAAGTACAACAAAGTAGTACTAGTAGTACATCGCACGCAAATGTTTTGATCCTATGGGCGGATCGTTTTTGCCTGCCCTCACCGAAGAAGGCGGTCCTAATCTTTCAAGGACAGAATTTGTAGGTAGGCTCAAACTACAACGAAATTCACATTTTACCCTATAAAATTTTATTGACAATAACGGGACGGATTTTATTCCCATAAAATAATGGTCACTTTCGTTCGTGAGTAACGATGGTCCGGACATGAATTATCACTTTTTCAAATAAAATACTCCTAAAAAAAAACGATATTGTCATTGAGTGACATGTAACTGGCATAATAATAAAAACGTACCATTTTTGTTAACTGATATTTTTTTCATAAATGTCGCAAAATTATTAAATTTGTCTAATCATCCCCACCAATAATGTGATGACGTCACTTCAAATTTATGCATAGTAAATGGGTTTTAAATTGTATACAGTAACATAGTCCTACACATGTAGTTTATGACTCCGTGTTGAGTTTTTATCCAAAACGTCCAGATTTTTGGAAAAAAAATCAAAATTATAAAACAATATTTTGCAATTTAATTTTGAATTTGCAAAATCGAATACTTTGAAATCTTGCAGATGTTTTAAAATCATGATAAACATGATACATTTTTAATTAAAATATATTTGCTTATCCCCTCTAAAAAATTTATGACGTCACCTCAAAATTTTGCCGAATAAATCCTATCTTAAATGTATAAAATATGATGAGTTTTATACTTGTGATTTATCACTGCATTAATATTTTTTAGATTTGGTTATAGAGGGTGTCTCAAAAAAGTTAATGACTGAGTCAATTTATTTTATTGAAGAAATCAAGAATAGCAAAACTGAATACTTTGAAATATTGTAGATGTTTTGAAGTTTTTGTAAGCATGATAACTTTTTCGAAAATTTGATTAATCAAATATGCGCAAAATCAAAAATCGGAAAAACTGAAATTTACTAATGCAAAAAACAGAAAATCGAAAAATACAAATCGTAAAAATCGGAAATCTAAAAATGGCTAATCAAAAAATCGAAAATTCAATGAATCAAGTACCTAGGTCGATCGAAAAGTGGAAATTCACGAACCTCAAAAATCGAAAATTAAAAAACGGGAAAACCAAAAAATCGAAAAGTCAAAAATTTGTAATATTGAATATTAAAAAAATCAAAAACAAAAATAAAAAAATCGGAAATTAAAATAATCAAAATATATAAAGTAAAAAAAATCGCAAAGCCTAAAAACTGAAACGAACAAAAAAATCGAAAAAGCAAAAAATTGGAAAAACAAAAATTCGAAAAATCTAAAATCGAAAAAGTGGAAAATGGAAAATCTGAATAAAGAAACTTGAAAATTCTGAAAATTTTTCAATCGAAAACCAAAAAATTGGAAAGTAACAAAGTCTAGTCCAACAGTTGCGAATGGAAAAATTGAAAAGCCGACAATTCTAAAAATCGACAATGGACAAATTGAAAATCGCAAAATTTAAACTGAAAAATTAAACATGGAAAAATCGATGCATTGAAAAATCCAAAATTCTAATCATCGAAAGTCTGAAAAGTGAAAATCGAAAATTCTGAAAAGCGGAAAATAGAATATCGAAAAATTTAAAAGAAAGAAAATTGAAGTGTAAAAACCGAAGAATGGAAAAATTAAAAATCAAAAATTCGAAAAATCAAAACCGAAAAATTTAAAAATTTAAAAAGAAAATCGAAAAATCAAATATCTGAAAATTGAAACTCGAAAATTTGGAAAATCGAAAAAAAAAAAATTGAAGTCTAAAAGCTGAAAAATGGAAAACTGAACAATCGAAAAATCGAAAAGCCGAAAAATCGAAAATTTGATAAATCAGATACGTGAAAAACAGAAAATCTGAAAATACAAAACTAGAAAATCAAAAATCTAAAAATGGAAAAACCGAAAATCTGAATAAAGAAACTTGGAAATTCTGAAAATTGAAAAATCGAAAACCAAAAAATCGGAAAGTAACAAAATTGAAGTCTAACAGTTGAGAATGGAAAAATTGAAAAACCGAAAATTCTAAAAATCGACAATGGACAAATTGAAAATCGCAAAATTTAAACTGAAAAATTAAACATGGAAAAATCGATGCATTGAAAAATCGAAAATTCGACTACTCAATTTTCTAAAAATCGAAAAATCATAAAACTGAAAAATCCAAAATTCTAATCATCGAAAGTCTGAAATGTGAAAATCGAAAATTCTGAAAAGCGGAAAATAGAATATCGAAAAATTTAAAAGAAAGAAAATTGAAGTCTAAAAACGGAAAAATGGAAAAATTAAAAATCAAAAATTCGAAAAATCAAAACCGAAAAATTTAAGAATTTAAAAAGAAAATCAAAAATCTGAAAATTGAAACTCGAAAATTTGGAAAATCGAAAAGTAAAAAAATTGAAGTCTAAAAGCTGAAAAATGGAAAACTGAACAATCGAAAAATCGAAAAGCCGAAAAATCGAAAATTTGATAAATCAGATACGTGAAAAACAGAAAATCTGAAAATACAAAACTAGAAAATCAAAAATCTAAAAATGGAAAAACCGAAAATCTGAATAAAGAAACTTGGAAATTCTGAAAATTGAAAAATCGAAAACCAAAAAATCGGAAAGTAACAAAATTGAAGTCTAACAGTTGAGAATGGAAAAATTGAAAAACCGAAAATTCTAAAAATCGACAATGGACAAATTGAAAATCGCAAAATTTAAACTGAAAAATTAAACATGGAAAAATCGATGCATTGAAAAATCGAAAATTCGACTACTCAAATTTTCTAAAAATCGAAAAATCATAAAACTGAAAATTCCAAAATTCTAATCATCGAAAGTCTGAAAAGTGAAAATCGAAAATTCTGAAAAGCGGAAAATAGAATATCGAAAAATTTAAAAGAAAGAAAATTGAAGTGTAAAAACCGAAGAATGGAAAAATTAAAAATCAAAAATTCGAAAAATCAAAACAGAAAAATTTAAAAATTTAAAAAGAAAATCGAAAAATCAAATATCTGAAAATTGAAACTCGAAAATTTGGAAAATCGAAAAGTAAAAAAATTGAAGTCTAAAAGCTGAAAAATGGAAAACTGAACAATCGAAAATTCGAAAAGCCGAAAAATCGAAAATTTGATAAATCAGATACGTGAAAAACAGAAAATCTGAAAATACAAAACTGGAAAATCAAAAATCTAAAAATGGAAAAACCGAAAATCGAAAATTCAATGAATCTAATACGTAGGTCGATCGAAAAACTGGAAATTCACAAATCTGAAAAATCGAAAATTTGCAAGATTGAAAAACCGAGAATTGAAAAATCAAAAAATCGAAAAATGGAAAAATCAAAAATCGAAAAATAGGAAAACCGAAAATTCGAAAATTCATATATATTGAAAACTCTAAAAGTCGACAATTGAAAAATCAAAAAACTGGAAAGTAAAATAATCGAAAAATCGAAAAGTAAACAAATTGCAAAGCCTAAAAACTGACGAACAGAAAAATCGAAAAATCGTAAAATCAAAAATTGGAAAATCGAAAACTGGAAACTGAAAAATCGAAGATTGGAAAATCGAAAAATCGAAAATCGGAATATCGATAATCAACAAATTAAAAAACCGAAAAATCGAAAAACTAAAAAATCGGAAATCGAAAAATTAAAAAAAAAACGAAAATTCAAAAATCGAATAATCCGAAACTAAAATGATAGAAAAGTGGAAAAATAAAAATTGCAAAGTCTCAAAACTGACGAACAGAACAATCGAAAAATAAAAAAAAATCGAAAATCATCTAAACATGGAAAATCGAAAAATCGAAAATTCGATGAAACAAATACTCGAAAAAGCGAAAAGTAAAAAATTGCAATGCCTAAAAACTGAAAAATCAAAAAATCGAAAAAATGAAAATCGAAAAAACGACGATCGAAAAAAAATCAAAAAATCGAAAAGTGGAAAACCGGAAAGTAACAAAATTGAAATCTAAAAGCTGCAAATTGCAGAACCATAAAAACTGAAACAAACAGAAAAATCGAAAAACCACAAAAGCGGAAAAACGAAAATCGAAAAATCGTAAAATCAGAAAATAGAAAATCGAATAATCGAAAGTTGAAAAATCGAAGGTCGAAAAATAAAACAACCGAAAAATCGAAAAATTTTATGATTAATGGAAAATCGAAAAATCGAGAATAGAAGAATTAAAAAACTGGAAAATTGAAAAATCGGAAATCGAAGAATTAAAAACGTAAAATCGAGAATTCAAAAATCAAAAAAATCGGAAAGTAAAATATAATCGAAAAATGCAAAAAATTTGCAAAGTCTAAAAACTGACGAACAGAAAAATCAAAAAATCTAAAAATGGAAAGACGAAAAATCGAAAATTGAAAGAATGGCAAATTAAAAAATCGAAAACCGAAAAATCAAAAAAACGAAAAATTAAAAAATCGAAAAACGAAAAAACTGAAAACTCGAAAAATCAAAATACCGCAAATTTGAAAAATCAGAAAATCGAAAAGTTGATAGAAAAATGGAAACTGAAAAATCTAATTCGATGAAACTGTTGGTCGAAAAAACGAAAAATCGAAAATCGAAGTGACCTTTTTTTGAGACAGGCCGTATAAGTAAATCTAAAAAATATTACTGCAATGATAAATCACAGGTATAGACTCATCATATCAAATTTTACGATGACGTCATGCATTTTTTGGCGAAGATAAGCAAATACATTTTGATCGTGGCTTTGAAAGTATTCTTCGACTTTCGTTCCATTTCAAAATTTACTCTTTGTATATTTCTGTGGTCACAACGAGTTCACTAACTACGCTGAAGTATGCAAAGATTAAATTTAAATTAAATTAAGAAGTTTATGAACTGAACATTTTTTTTGCTTTTTGAAATGTAGTACACTTCAAAAAATGTCCGTGACTTACTTTAATAATATAGAATATTAGTGTGATTTTGAGCATATTCTCGATGTTATTAGAGCAGGACAGGTTTTTTTTTTTCTAACTAATTGACAAGATTTCAAAGTATTCAGTTTTGGAATTCTTGATTTCTTCAATAAAATAAATTGACTCAGTCATTATTTTTTTTAGTCACCCTGTATGTATAAACAAATCCAAAAAATATTAATGGAATGGTAAATCACAAGTATAGACTCATCATATTTTGAACATTTTAGATAGGGTATTTATAAAATTAAAACTAATTCAGGGTAAGAATTTGGTCAACACGTAAATTTCGTTGTACTTTGAGCCTACCTACAAATTCTGCCCTTGGACGATTTGGACCGCCTCCTTCGGTGACGACCGGCAAAAATGATCCGCCCATTGGCTCAAAACATTTGCGTGCGATTGTACCACTGAAGCGACAAACTTACCACCGGGCTCCCGTCCTCTGGTTTAACCTCAAAGTCCTCAATCTGTGGCAAACTGGTATGGTTCGACTCCGCCTCTTCGCCAGCCGTGAACAACAACAAATCGTAGTACCACAGAGAGGGCTTATGGACGTCTTCAGGGTTGTTACAGAGCTCTTTGGAACGCAGGACTTTTTTGCGTTCTTTGCGAAACGAAGCGCGCATTGACTCGATTTTCATACGGACGAAGTCTTCGTCGGCTTCGGGGTAGTACTCCTGCGATTTTTGGACAAGGGCTTCGTAAGCTTTGGATTTTTCAGCTTTGTTGCGGTACGCGGGGTGGTTTTGCTGCCAGAGCATGGGTTTTTGTTTGTAGAGGGCGAGGAAGTCGCGGACGAAGAGTTCGTGCTCGGTGAGGGCGTCCACCGACTTTTCCATAACGCAAAAGGCTTAAATTAACAAATTGTGTAAAAATTAAAGTTTTTGGGGTTATGTTTATGTCAATAGAGAAACGTCAAAACAAGCGGAGTGCGTCCGGGATAGTGGACGAGGTGCATTCAGACGTGTATTTTAAGTTGCCTATGTTACAATTCGGTTGGTACAGACACGACAAATAGACAGACAGACAATTAATTATTGGTTTATTTTATACATTTGCACAAGGTGAAGGTTTAAATTAATTAATCCTGGTCCTTTTTATATAGTCGTTGCATTAAGGCAAAGTACGAGTACGACGCATTCATTATCGATAAAAAAAAAAACAAACAAAATGTTGTTACACTTCATACTTTATAATTTACCGAAGTTAACGATCGTAGTGACAAGATTGAAAATTTCCCGGCTGTTACTGAGAGCTGTCTGTTAGCTCTGGTCATCACAATGAGTAAAGACCGCTTCACACTATCACCAGATTCAAGCCAGTCGGTTTCATAGCAAGCATCCCCAATTGCCAGACTCTAGAAACGTTTATGTTGGTGAAAACAAAAATCGCGACAGAAAAGTACCACCTTGAGAATAATTTCGTTCCCGAACCAACAAAACGTAGCCAGTTGCCACATCATCGCAGAAAAGTAAAAAACCATATTGGCAAACTGGGCACTCATGGGTTGAATCTAGAAATGGACTCATAATAATTGGAAAATTAGTCCCAATATACATACATTTGCAAGCTGAAACCCGATGTTACAAATCGAAAAAATGCTGCTCAAGTATTGCGACAGAAAGAAGATGTTGAAAATGTCTTCGACGATGCTGAGGAACCTAAAACTTATTGTTAAACAATATACTTAGTATTTTTGGTTATTACTCGATAATTTCGCTGTGATGCACCACACAGTCGTTCAAATTTTGCGTTTCTGTATTTTTTTGTGTCGCAAAACCACAAACCTCGACTTGAAGCATCTCCAGTTGCGATATCACCGTGGCCATAAAGCACACAGCCAACATATCCAAACACACGGTATTCAGAGCCACGTTCATGATCGCAGTCATTTGAAAAACGAACATCCCGTAGACCCAATCCCCAAAATCGTAGGTGAACTTTATAGGTAGCTTAGTTTTACTCGTGAGGGACAAAAAGGCGTACAAAGCCACCACGACTGAGCAAATCCCGCCATAAATCTTCATCACTATGACACACTTCTCGTTCATAGTTTCCACCAAGAACTTGTGGTCATGTTGGCGCGGTTTGAACATCGTGGCGCCTTCCATCACCGCAAGCATCTCGAAGAACTTGCGTCTTTTGGTTTTAAACACCACGAGCTTGACAATGAAGGCGAACACAGGCGCCGTCACCGACAAGTTTTCAGCCAGATCTTTGAAATTGCTGAAATGGAGAATGATTTCCAGTAGGTTGGTCGCGAAGAACAAGGTGGCTGAAGTTAACGACAAGAAGGAGCGGCTTTCGGTTAAAAATGACGCGGTTTTGTCTGGCCAGTGGCCCGCTAGAGACAGGAATCTTCGCACGAATTTAACAGCTGCGAAGAGGTCGGTGTCAGGGTCCATTTTGACGTGCAACACAAGCGACGGATTTTATATTTGAGTTTATAATAACTAAGCGTGAAAGATTAAAGGGTCGGTAGTTGGAAAGTTTAATTGTGGATTATTATTGAAAGGGGATACTTAATTGGAATTAACCCAGCGCATCCACCATTTTCGTTTTTTCACTATAAATTGAGTGGAAGAACAAAGAGACTTGCTAATGGTGTGTTGAAAGATTCAAAGGGGTGGGCTTTACATGTAGTAATTTAGGAAAATTAAAAATGTATGAAGATATTAAAGCTTGATGAGGGCTGGAGATGAGGTTCTTTGTTATAGTATTGACTTAGAAAAGGTCTGCACTTACAAGATAGTAGCAAATAAAACGACTCAATTAATTTAAAAATTTATAAAATTAATTTAATTACAGTCACGACTGGTTTATTATTCTAATTTTTGGACTGGGTTTTTGTTCCTTTTCAGCTGCAACATCTACAAAACACGGTAAAACTGCACCTACAAAGTTGGATTTTTACCTCGTTTCAGAAGAATTTTCTCCAGTCTGAGAATTGGGGCTTCAAAGAACATGCTTAAAACCAAACCTAAACCGTAAGCTAAACCTATGTCACTGACGGTATAACTAAGCTGAAATCATATCAATGTCACTCTAGAACTATTTTAGTGAAGACCTCACCAAAGTGAAAATGCTTGCATAATTCCCGTGTCGAAGTATCGCCACACTGTACAGCTGAATACCCCCATGGCACAAAAAAGCAGTGTATGTTATCCTACTGAGCAACACTAAGGGCTTCCAAGCTAAAAAGGGCTCAACCCATGCTGAAAATGAAAATACAAAATTCGACGCCTAGTTGTTATGCAACTAATAATACACCCACCTCCATTTCCTTCCGAGATTGCTAGGATCATCCAACTGATGCATATGCTCCACGTCACGTGATGCATGGACGCATAGACGGCGGACATGAGGGGGTCGTAGGGTTTCCCTGGTATGTAGAAAATAAAAGCGGAGTACACGGTCACTTCAATTACAAAAATACTCATTATCCAACCCATGTATACCATGTACTTTGGCATTTTGTAGTCTCTAGATCTCATGGTAAACTTCAAGTACCCTGTTACCATACCCACGAAATAAGGGCTAGCCCTCATGTGGGTCGGAATATAAATATTCTTGAAGGTGTTATTGATAACCGGATCTTTCAACAACCTGGAATGTCACAATACGTGTAAAAACGCACCCAGTTTATTTTTCACTCACTTCATGTAAACCAGCAAGATCGCGTCCTCCTCGTACATGTACACAGTGGCGAAAACCACACAAACCGAAACAACTATAATTAAAAACAAAATAACTAAACCGAGACAGGGTTTTTTTCTCAATAACCAGATTATGATTGGCACCATCATGAAAAAATGGATGTCGCAAGTCAGGTACCAGGACTGGAACATACACTACAAAAAAACACTAAAAATGACATTAGTTGATAATCGAGTTTTACCAGTTGCTCTTTATTAATGTAATTGTTTAAATAGAATATGTTTGTCCACCAACTCGCTACACAGCGTTCTTGTTCAACTTCGATTCGTTCCAACCACAAAGGTCCGGACCCCATTTGGATAAAAACGGTACAGTAGAAGGCCAAAACGACCGCATACGCTGGGGTTAATCTACAACCTTAAGTTAGAATAAATCTAGGTTTGGTCACACCTACCTGATGAATCTATGGATGTAGAGGTAGAAGAATTTGACTTTCTTGTGGTGTTTTTCAAACTGGTTGAGCATCAAATAACATGCTAAAAACCCCGAAATGTTGAAAAAGGTGTCAACTATGATGGGTCCGTTTAGAAGAACCGTGGCTTCGATTTTACCATACATCTAAAAATTAACTTGAGTTGGAGGTCGTAATAACACTCAAAAACCAACACAATTCGTAATGGTCTTGAAATTCCGCTTTATCATCATGTTGGTACTCACGTTTTCCACGAAATTCGGGTTTAGTAGAGGCGACCCGACCCCGAACATGATCCTGTGTCCCATAATGATCAAAAACATGGAAAATACTTTCAACCCATGGATACACTGAAGCCCATCGTCGTCCTCGCCCTCGCTAATCAACTTCTTTAGGTTGTTCCAAACCGAGAACGAAATCAGTACTTTGTGCTTATTCCCTAAAACGAGTCAATCAAGACCGGCCAAAACCCAAACCCAGCTACCTTCAAGCTTGTATTTTTGCAGATCATCGAGTTTCAATAACGAGTCGTAGGAAGTGGCCAACAATGTCACAAGAACAAAAAAAGCGACGATTGATCTGAAATTGCGACGCTACAATCAGGAAATTTCAGATTCGACTTTTTACATGAAAGCTATGTCTGAAGTGGTCAAAGTCAGGCTTTTTTCCTGCTGGCAGCTCCTGGGGTTGACCGTCACGGTGACCTTAAAGTCACTTAAGTGGTTGAACTGCTGAGCAATTTCCTGCAGCGATGACTCCAAATCCGCGTGACTACACGACGATGGAACGCAGTACGAAAAGTGAAAATCGTTGCGGGAATTCCTGCTACGATCTTTCGAAAAAGCCTGGAATCTTTTTTGGTGGTACTATTCACAAAAAATGGTACCAAAGTACTCACCAATATTTTTTCCCATGCAGACGCATTGGCCACCTCACCCCTATAACCTCGTTCTTTCCCTCCAACCCCCATCTCGGGTGGTACTACGTGAAACTTCGCCAGACAGTACCTCCCTTGCACCTCTCCCTCCACGGGCACCCTCACCCCCACGCACTCATCGAAGTTCCCGAAGTCGAAGCTCGACCCGAAGAGTACTCCAGTGGGGAACTTCGACGTCGAGTCGAACACTGAAAAAGCACGTCAGATTTGGTACTACCACGGGACAACGTACTTTCGGTGGCCCATAGGCGCAGCTGTTTTAATTCCTCGACGTACAAGGCGGTGTGGTTGCGGCACTGGGGGTTGCTGGAGCCCAGGGTGGGTACTAAGATTGTGAGGACGTCGTCCACGGAGAACTGGGTGAGTTGGAAGGCGGCGGCTTGGGCCAGGAGGACGCACAGGAGCAGAGGTTGGCAGCGAGGCATGCTGGGTTGGGAATGGTCAGCACCACCGATGGTTGGACTTTAGAAGCGGGCGAATTTAGATGGCCTTGAGGGGGTCATTTATCTGGAAATTGCGCGTTTTTGAGAGAGGTGGTTTAATGGAGGTGTTGGAGGTCAGTGGGGAGAAAAAATACCCGAAAATTATGGGTTGTTTGAGAGATTCTTGCGGAAAAACGGGCTTTAGAGTTGTCGTTAAACTGTCGATGTTGGGTTTTAATTGACGGTTTGATGGATTGTTTCGTCTGTCTGAGTGAAGGAGAGTGGATTAATTGGAAGAATGTCGATGGAGCTTAAAGAGGGTAATAAAAGTGCGATTGTTTTGTTTGGGTTTATAGTGTGTGTTGGTAAAAACGGTAATGGGATAGGTGGTACAGTGACCTTTTTGATGCGTTCAAGATGGCAAAATACCTGAGCTGGTTCGGTTAAGAATTTATTTATTTGAATGTAAATTTTTATGGGGTTAACCAAAACAAGATTACATATTGTGTAATAAAGTTACACTTTTAAAAAATTGTATTTTTATGTTCATCAAACTTCGATGTATTTTTTATTTGCATCAAATGGAACAAAGGTACTTTTTCAGGATTGTTTGTTTTTTTTGAACGCCCTCTAAATTTTATAAAATAACATGCTTCTATACTTGTTGTTTATGGATCCGCCTTGATAGCGACAATCGCTGGTTCAATTGACTCACGGTCACAATTTTTTTATTGATCAAATCAAGAACGAGTCACCCCATGAATTAATCGAAAATTTGAAAAATTTAAAATAAAAAAAAACGAAAAATCAACTAAATCGAGAAATTTAAAAACCCAAAAAATTGAAAAGCGGAAAAATCCAGGACTAAGAAGTCGAAAAATCGAAAGATCGAGAAATTGCAACAACAAAAATTTAACACTTTTCAGTAGTTTTTTAAATTCGAAAAAATGAAAAAATGAGAAATCCAAACATCAAAAAAAAAATCGAAAATGTAAAAAATCGCAAAACTGAAAAATCAGAAACTTGGAAAACTGAAAAGAATTGCAAAACTGAAAAATCGAAAAATCGAATGATCGAGAAGTCGAGACATCGAAAAGTCGAAAATTTAGAAACGCCGAAAGTTGAAAAAATTCAAGAATCGAAAAATTGAAAAATTGTAAAACAAAAATATCAGAAAATTGAGAAATAGTAAATTTGAAAAATCGTGAATTTGAAGAACCAAAAAACTGAAAAATCGTATCACTGAAATATCGGAAAATTAAGAAATTGAAAGTTGAAAAATCGAAACTCGAAAAGCCGAAAAATCAAAAATTCGAAAAATTGAGAAAACAAAATTTTGATTTTTTTTTTTCAAAACTCTTTCTAGGATAAAAATTCAAGACGGATTGATAAACCACAAGTTCAGGACTATGTCACTTTTTAACATTTAAGTAACATTTATTCGAAAAATTGAGACATCAAAAAATCAAAAAATTAAACAAAAATAGAAACCGAAAAATCGAAAAATTGAAGAATGAAAATATTCAAAAATCCCAAAACTGGATTGAACAATTGAAAAAAATTAAAGAATCATAACACTGAAAAAAAAAGAGAAATCGTCACATCAAAAAATTTGAAAATCGAAACATTGGAAAATAGAAAACTCGAAAAGAGAAAAATTGAAGAAAGAAATCGCTAATGAAAAATCTCAAAATTAAAATACTGCAAAACTGAAAAGCCGAAGAAAAACTGACGAATCGATAAAGTGAAAAATCCCAAAACTGAAACATCGAAAAATTGAAAATCGAGAAATTTAAAAACCCAAAAATTGAAAAATCACAAACTGAAAAATCAGAAACTTGAAAAACTGAATAATTGAAAAACTGAATAATTGAAAAACTCAAAAACTAAAAGTCGAAAAATTTAAAAATCAAAAAAATTCAAGGATCGAAAAATTGAAAAATCGTGAACATGAAGAATCAAAAAATTGAAAAATCCTATCACTGAAAATGTTAAAATTTAAATATTGAAAAATTAAAAAATCGAAAGTTGAAAAATCGAGACTCATTTCTGAATTTTTTAGATTGAAATATTGAAAAAACAAAATCCTGGAAAACCGAAAATTCGAGAAATCTAAATATTGAAAAAACAAAAAATCGATTAATCGAGAAATTTAGCAATTGAAAAATCGAAAATTTAGAAACGTCAACAATTAAAAAATTGAAAAATCGAAAAACTGAAAAATCGGAAAACTGAACCTTCGGAAAATTGAGAATTCATAAAATGAAAAATCGGGAAATCTGAAAGTCGAAAAACCAAAAAATCGATTAATCGAAAAATTTAAAAATCGAAAACTGAAAAATTTAGAAACGTCAAAAATTAAAAAATTGAAAAATCGGAAAACTGAAACTTCGGAAAATTGAGAATTCAAAAAATGAAAAATCGGGAAATCTGAAAGTCCAAAAACTAAAAAATCGATTAATGGAAAAATTTAAAAATCGAAAATTGGAAAATTTAGAAATGCCAGAACTTAAAATGAAAAACTGAAAAAATTTTAGATCGAAAAACTGAAGAATCGAAAAACTCAACAATCTTACAACTGCAACTTTTTTTTTTCTGAAAAAATCGAGAAATCAAATCAAGAAATTAAAAAATCCCAACACTGAAATATCGAAAAAATTTAAAAATCAGGAAATCGAATTTGAAGAATCGAGAACTTGAAGAATCAAAAAATTGAAAACCTTTTCACAGAAATAGGTGGAAAATCGAGAAATTGGAAAACTGAAAACCGAGAAATTGAAAAATCGAAAAATCCAAAAATTTAATAAAAAAAAAACTGAAAAATGTTAAAACTGAAATACTGAAAAATTAAGAAATCGAAAGTTGAAAAATCGAGAGTCGTTTTTCAATTTTTTGGATCGAAAAATTGAGAAGTCGAAATCCTGGAAAATCGAAAAATCGAAAAGTCCAAAAAAAAAAATCGATTGAGAAATTTAGAAATCCAAAAATCGGAAATTTAGAAACGTCAAAAAATAAAAATTGAAAAATCGAAAAATTTAAAGATTGAAAAATTGAAGAATGAAAAAATTGAAAAATCGTTAAACTGAAACTTTGGAAAATTGCGAAATCAAAAAATAAAAAATTGAGAAACCTAAAAAGTCGAGAAACCAAAAATTCGATTAATCGAGAAATTTAGAAATCGAAAATTCGAAAATTTTGGATCACCAGAAATTAAAATGAAAAATCGAAAAATTTATAGATCGAAAAACAAGAATCGAAAAACTCAAGAATCGCAAAACCGAAATTTTGGAAAAGTGAAAAATCAAAAAGCGAAAAAATCGAGAAACCAAATTGAGAAATTGAAAAATTCCAAAATTGAAATAGCAAAAAATTAGGAAATCGAAAAGTTGAAAAATCGGGAATTCGAAAAGTCCCAAAATTAAAAATTCGAAAAATTGTTATACATCTACAATTTCAATTTTTTTCCAAAAATCTCGATGTCTAGAATAAAAATTCAATAGGATTTATAAACCACTAGTACATGACTACGTTGCTTTTCAACATTTAAGTAACCTTTATCGTCAAAATTGAAAAACCAAAAAATTTTAAAAAGTGCAAAATCTAAAATTTAAAAATTTCTAAAAATTGAAAAATAGTAAAAAGGAAGAACTGAAAAATCGAAAGATCGAGAAATCGGAATATGTATTTAAAATTTTGAAAATCGAAAAATTAAAACATCGAAAAATTGCAAAAAAATTTAAATCAAGACACTAAAAAATCAAAAAATTGAAAAATTGAAAATTTATAATTCAAGAATTCAAAAAATTTTGAAAAATAGAGAAAGTAAAAAATTGAAAAATCGAAATTTTGAAAAAACCCAAAACTGAAAAATCGAGAACTTGAGAAATGTAATCATTGAAAAATTGGGAAATCGAGAATTCGAAAAATCGGGAAATTAAAGAATGGGGCAATTGAAAAATCCCCAAATTAAAACATCGAGAAACTGAATAATCGAAAAACTGCAAACCTAAATCGAAAATTTAAAAAATCGAAAAATTGAAAATTCAAAATCCTGAAACATCGCAGAATTGAAAAATTGAAAAAATTGGAGAACTGAAAAACTGAAAAACCGAAAAGTCGAAAAATGGAATAGAATAATCCAAAAGTCGAAAAGTCAAAAAATTGAAAAACCGGAAAATTCAAAAATAGAAGAACTGAATAACTGAAAAATCGAATTATTGAAAAATCGACTAAATCGAGAAATGGAACAATCGACAAATTGAAACATCGAAATGTCGGTAAATCGAGAAATCGATAAATTGAAAAATCGAAAAGTCAAAAAGCTGAAAAACGAAAAATCCAAAACCGAAAAATCGAAACATCAAGAAACATTTTCCAGTTTTTTAAAAAATTTGGAACATAGAAGTATAGAATAATTTTAAAAATTGCAAGATTAAAATGTCGAAAAATTGAAAATTCGAAAAATCGAAACATCAATAAATCGAAAAAGTAATCGTAATTTTCGAAAATCCCCAAACTGAACTGAAAAATAAAAGCAATATTGAAAAATCGTGAAATTAAATAAAAGAGAAATCGAAACATTAAAAATTAAAAAATGGAAAAGATGGAAAATTGAAAATCGAAGAAAAATTGAAGAATAGAAAATTTAAAATATAAAAAAATTTACAAATCAACAACGTGAAAAATCGAAAAACTGGAAAATTGAAAAAATTGAAAAATCGAGAAGTCGGAAATCGAAAAGTCGAAAAACCAAAAAATCGATTATTCGGGAAATTTAGAAATTGAAAAGTCGAAAATTTAGAAACGTCAAAAATTAAAAAACTGAAAAATTGTAAAGCTGAAACTTCGAGAAATTGAGGAAAAAAAATAAAAAATCGAGAAATCGAAAATTTGAGGAATCGAGGAAGTGAAAAAATTGAAGAATAATAAACTGAAAAAATTCAACACGGATTCAAAAACCACAAAATGTGTAAATGTAAAAGAAAAAACTGGTCAGGCAGATAAATTTAGTCGATTGAATTAATATTAAAAAAAAATAAAAAAAACATTTACCCTACTTTCTCTCTCTAAAAAATGCGTCCGTAGTTTTAAAACCCAAAAATCGCCCAAACGATAACCCAACACACACTCCGCACACTGCACACCCCACAAAATTCCCCCACACTTTTATCATTTTCCCAGCCTACAATCACCACCACAAACCAAAACTCTATACTAAGCAAACTTTATTAAACAACAAACAGAAAGAATGACATTGACAACAATTCCATGTGTAATCACTTCAATATTTTCCAAACACGCAATTATTTAGATACTTCTGGCCGAAAAAACTGTACCAAGGCATCGTACGAATACCCATCAAGGACTTCCCGAAGCCTTGCCAGCCTGGATTTGACATTAGCACCCTTGAATTTGTAAAAGTCGACGTACAAATCGGTAATAATACCTAAAATGACACAACGTAAACTTAGCACTAAAGCAAAAATTTCGAACTCGTACCATACAACCGGTCTAAATGGTCAGGTTGGGCTTGAAACTCCCTACGTATGTCTTTCTCATTCATCAACAAGTCCTTGTACTTCGACGACAAATAAGCAACGTTTTCCTCTTCAGTGATTTCTAGTTCGTTCAAAGCATCCAGAAGGGTGATGTTGTTGTTGAGGTCCTTCTGCTTCAGCAACTTCGGCTCTATTAACTTGATCACGTGATTGATACTTTCGTCATTAATACCTGCAACTTTGTTTCTAAAAATTGTCGACACAAAATATCTGCCACTGACTCGAGTTTATATCAATTTTGATTTTCTTCTTCGTCGCCTCCTTGGTCAGAAACTCCTTCAAAATCGATATCGTCGACACGTTGTCGGTTTTAAAAAACGCCTCTCCTTTGCTACAACCCCCAATTTCAACCCTGGTCACACTTTCGTTGCCACTCACCAATACGAACACTCCAAAATCGTGCCTAGGAAAGTCGACTCAAAGTGCAGGACCGTGTTTTCCGCGATTTGCGGCTTTTCGGGTACTTCGGGCAAACACTGGTACACCCAAGTGTGCATCTCGGCCAGGCTAAAACTACCCTTAATCGTTAGTGTGTTAAAGAGGCGACTTTGGTCGAAGTTGTGGATTCTGTAGTGGAGTGAAAGTGGTTTGATTTCGTACTGTTGGAGGCGGCTGCACTTGGGTTGGACCAAGGGGGTGACGTAGGCCTGCAGGAGTCCGTATTGACCTTCGATGGTCCGGATTTTAATCTCCAGGCGGTTGGTGTTGATTTGGCAGCGATAAGTCGCTAGGAGGAAATTTCCAACCTAGGCGGAGAGTTGTTGAGTGATTTTTGGGGTTTGAGCAACTCACGGAACGGTCGGAGTCGCTGTAGCTGACAACCGCGGAATTTTTTTCCACGTCGAGGAGGGCCACCGGGACGTTGCTGTGGAGGAGGATGTTGTCGATGGCCGTAGGGACCTCCATGGTGAGGGTGTAGGTGGCGGTTTCTTTGGATAAGACGAACTGGGGGGGGGTACATATATTGTTTTTTAATTATTTTATTTTTTTTTATTGGAAAATAATCCTTACGCTGTCTTTGATTGCTAACAATGGAATTGCTGACAACTCCTCGAAAAACGACTGAGTAGAACTCTGGTACTTCTCCCTCTCCTTAGCAACTTTAATCTGCAAATCCTCAATTTCGTTCCTACAAAACAAACTCACCCCTCGTTTCTTAAACATTTTTTCCCTTACTTCAATTTGCTGATTTTGTTACTCGTATCCTGCGAAAAAATGTACCCTCCGACGCTACTATCACCCCCTACGTTCTTATCAGTAGCTTCGGTCGTCAAGCCAAAAATCCTCCCGGTGTACGTAACCACCAAAACCTCGTCGAAACCGGGACTCCCCACCACTCCACACTGCAGCGAAGACACACTTTCGTTGCAGTTCTGCAACAAAAGCGATAGTACCTTGAACTTGACCAATGGGTCGACGAACCACTCAAGGTCGTACCATTGTTTAAGTATATTATAGTTGGACAACCTAATACAAATTTTACTTCGCCTAAATAGTGAGCTTTAGGACAAGGAATCCAGGGGGCGTAAGTTTTAGCCCCGCCCGCCCAGCCTTTTTTTCTTGGAAGAGTAGGTCATCTGCCAAAATCAGTCTTATCTTGACAAGTACCAGCCCCGCCCACCCACCCTTATTTTCTTAAAGATATGTCATTTGCAAAAATCAGTCCCATACTTGCCAAGATAAGATTAATTTTTGCAGATGACCTATTCTTCCAAGAAAATAAAGGGTGGGTGGGCGGGGCTAGTACTTGTCAAGGTTCTATTTTCTTAGAAGAGTAGGTCATTTGCCAAAATGAATTTTATTTTGCCAAATACTAGCCCGGCCCACCCGACTTTTATTTTTTTAGAGGGTAGGTTATTTGGCAAGTGCTAGACCCACTCTCCCGTCCTTTGTTTTCTTAGAGAGTAGATCATTTACCAAAATCAACCTTATCTTAACAAGTACTAGCTCCCGTATTTTTCTTTGTTATATTACTTTTTCTATAACATTTATTTCTTACTTCTGAAGAAAAAAAATAGAGAACGGGTGGGTGGGCGGGGTTAAGTTTGACTTTTTCTGACAGAATCTTTTATAAGCAAGCAATAAGTTATTCCTTTGAACTATCAAAAAAATTCAGAAAAATTGGAATAAGCGGCAACGTCGCATCAAATTTTCAAAAATAAAATACAGTTGTAAAGAAGACGCCAATCAGGGTATGAAAAAATATGTAGTGTTCCAATAAAAAAACCAAGCCTTATAAATTCTTGGGCAGGGCTAAATTTAATTTTTTTCTAGTTCTATGAGCAAGCAGTAGCCACACCTACCCACCCCTTCTTTGTTCCAGTGACAATTCTTAATATTGTTCAGTCCTAACTTATCAAGTTTTAGCCCCGCCCACCCACCCTTTTTTTCTTGGAAGAGTGGGTCAACTGCCAAAATCAGTCTTATCTTGACAAGTATCAGCCCCGCCCACCCACCCTGATTTTCTTAGAGGATATGTCATTTGCAAAAATCAGTCCCATACTTGCCAAGATAAGATTGATTTTTGCAGATGACCTATTCTTCCAAGAAAATAAAGGGTGGGTGGGCGGAGCAAGTACTTGTCAAGGTTCTATTTTCTTAGAAGAGTAAATCATTTACCAAAATCAGTCTTTTCTTACCAAGTACTACCCCCTCCCACCCACCTTTTTTTCTTAGAGGATATATCATTAACCAAAATCAACCTTATCATAACAAGTACTAGCCTCTGTATTTTTTCCTTGTTATATTACTTTTGCTATAACATTTATTTCTTATTTCTGAAGAGAAAAAAAATTGAGAACGGGTGGGTGGGCGGGGCTAAGTTTGACTTTTTCCTACAGAATCTTTTATAAGCGAGTAATATCTTCGTTGGAATACGTTAATCCTTTGAATTTAAAAAATATGTCGAAAAAATTGGAATAAGTGGCAACGTCGCAAAAAATTTTCAAAAATAAGATATGGTTATAAAGAAGAGGCCAATCAAAACTTGAAATAATATAGTGTTCCAATTAAAAAAAAACAAGTTTTATGTTGCCCCTCATAAATTATTGAGTTTCTTATTTATTTAGTATGATTAATATTTTTTTTTAAATGACGTCACAATTATTTTTGTCGGTAAAATTATTCGTTTGAGTTGTTAAAAAATAACAAAGAAATGGGAATAAGTTGCAACGTCGCATCAAATTTTCAAAAATAAAATATGCTTGTAAAGAAGACGCCAATCAGGGCATGAAAAAATATGTAGTGTTCCAATAAAAAAACAAGCCTTATAAATTCTTGGGTGTGGCTAAATTTATTTATTTTTTTTCTAGTTCTATGAGCAAGCAGTAGCCACGCCTACCCACCCCTTCTTTGTTCCAATGACAATTCTTAATATTGTTCAGTGCCACCTTAGCAAATTTTAGCCCCGCCCACCCACCCTTTTTTTCTTGGAAGAGTGGCTCATCTGCCAAAATCAGTCTTATCTTGACAAGAACCAGCCCCGCCCACCCGCCCTTATTTTCTTAGAGGATATGTCATTTGCAAAAATCAGTCCCAAACTTGGCAAGATAAGATTGATTTTTGCAGATGACCTATCCTTCCAAGAAAATAAAGGGTGGGTGGGCGGGGCTAGTACTTGTCAAGGTTCTATTTTCTTAGAAGAGTAGATCATTTACCAAAATCAGTCTTTTCTTACAAAGTACTAGCCCCGCCCACCCACCCTTTTTTTCTTAGAGGATATGTCATTAACCAAAATCAACCTTATCATAACAAGTACTAGCCTCTGTATTTTTTCCTTGTTATAGTACTTTTGCTATAACATTTATTTCTTATTTCTGAAGAAAAAAAATACGAGAACGGGTGGGTGGGCGGGGCTAAGTTTAACTTTTTCCTACAGAATCTTTTATAATTAAGCAATATCTTCATTGGAATACGTTAATCCTTTGAATTTAAAAAAAAATGTCAAGAAAATTGGAAACAAGTGACATATGGGAGCCCACGTACATGTAAGCTAACATCATTGTTTAAGTATATTATAGTTGGACAACCTAATACAAATTTTACTTCGCCTAAATAGTGAGCTTTAGGACAAGGAATCCAGGGGGCGTGGGACAAATTTTTCGTTAACGCGCATTTTCACTAGAGTGAGTCAACGTATTAGGTTTATTTTACTCTACATCAGATGGCGCCATCAAACATTAGCAAAGGCAAACACCCTTCACTCTGCTCTTATACGAGGAGTTATCCATAAATCCATAATTAACATTGTTCCGTAAACAGTAATGTGTATAAACATATATGTGCAAAATATGAAAATATACGATAAGATTTTAAGTAAAATTTAGATTCGTGGTGTTACAAAAATATTAACAACAAAATGAAACTATACATTCAAAGTAAATAACAGAATGACATAAACTTTCGGCGTTAACATTACAAATAATTACAAGACAGAAAAAAACGTATTAAGAACTTAAGAGGCATGTTTGTAATATCGAGTTGTTAAAGGCTGCTTTGAAGACTGTTTGTTTCTATGAAAAACAATTGCTGTTATCCGACGTTTTGGTAGATTTTGTTCCAAAAATACGAAATAACTAATTGTTTCTTGAGCTAGTTTCCGTAACTTCTAAAATTTAAAAAGGATACGCCGTTCTGCTGTAATAAAATCTAGAATAAGGTCAAAATCACACTAATATTACATCTGATTTTGTTAACCACATGAATATAATTTACGTTAAAATAAGTTACAGACATTGTTTGAAATGTCTATTATAGTTCGAAAACAAGATAAAATAAATAAATAAATAATTAAAATGTGCAGTTTATAAACTTCAGAATTTTAGTATAAAAATAATCATGTTTGAAGCTTTATTTTGTCTGTTCGATTTTATTGGGTGTATTGGACCCCTCTCGGGATATAACATTCTAACAACTAATTTTATTTCTGTTGAATATAAGATCATTAATTTCATTGATATCGGATAAAATCAATAACTGAAAAGGAGGCAGGGTGGGTGGGCAGGGATAATTATGTTATTCTGTCGAGTAAGGGTGAAAACTAATAATGGAATCTAGGATGCGAAAAAAAGAAAAAAAAAGAGCTAAACTTAACTTTTTTTTTTTGTTAAATACTATTTGTTATAAAATGTATTTCTTATTTTATGTCTTTGTCTACATTCCACTTTGTACCACTGTAAATGCCACTTTCTGTCCAATAAAAAACCGGGTGGGTGGGCGGGGCTAATTATGTTCTTCTCTCGACTGGGAGTGGAAACTAATAATAGAATCTAGGATGTGAAAAAAGTAAAAAAAAAAACTGTAAAAATTGCTAGATTTCAATTGGCGATTTTGGAAAAACGGTAGGAATTTCTGAGAAACAAAGCCGAAAATGACTTCTAGATATCGAAATCTACAAGAAAAGCTATTCAACTAATTAATTTTCGAGAATGGTTGAAAAATGGTCGAAAATGTCAAAAGTGCCAAAGTCAGTCTTATCTTAGCAAATACTAGACCCGCCCACCCACCCTCTATTGTCTTGGGGAGTATGTCATCTGCCAAAATCAGTCTTATCTTAGAAAGTACTAGCCCCGCCCACCTCCTCTTCTCATTTTAACAACTAATTTTATTTCTTTTGAGTATAAGGTCATTAATTTTATTCAGATAGGATAAAATTAATCACTGGAAAGGAGGCAGGGTGGGTGGGTGGGGCTAATTATGTTCTTCTGTCGAGTGGGAGTGGAAACTAGAATCTAGGATGTGAAAAAACTAACAAAAAAGCGCCAATCGTAACTTTTTTTGGTATACTCTATCTGTAAAATTTATTTCTTGTTTTACCTCTTCGTTTACATTCCATTCTGTACCACTATAAATGCTACTTTTTGTCCAATAAAAAAACCGGGTGGGTGGGCGGGGCTAATTATGTTCTTCTGTCGAGTAGGAGTGGAAACTAATAATAGAATCCAGGATGTGAAAAAAGTAAAAAAAACCTGTAAAAATTGCTAGATTTCAATTGGCGATTTTGGAAAAACGGTAGAAATTTCCGAAGAAACAAAGCCTACAAAAATGACTTCTGGATATCTAAATCTACAAGAAAAGCTATTCAACTAATTTTCGAGAATGGTTGAAAAATGGTCGAAAATGTCAAAAGTGCCAAAGTCAGTCTTATCTTAGCAAATACTAGCCCCGCCCACCCACCCTTTATTGTCTTTTGTTCACGCGAGCATCAAAAATATTACGCCGAAAGCACTTCTTCAAGTGTTATTTTTTTTAAAGATGTAATATTTGGCAGCGTTTCCAAAATTTTCTTCTTTGCACAGGTCAACTAATTTTCGTAAACCGCATTTTAAAATTTTTGTTATTGTATTTTTTACTTTTTAATTTTCTAAGGCATGAAAAAATCCCATATAGGTTTCTATGAATTTATTAACGAAATCAACTGATAATATCAATAGTGATTATGATAATTTTATAAGTATGATAATTTTATAATTATGATAATTTTATAATTATCGTTTTAATGAAATTGTGTTCTTCACTTCGCGAACGACAGCAAACAATTTAAAATAACCGCTAGTCCCGCATCTGAAAAATTTCTCGATTTTTCAACTTTAAATGTCTCAATTTTTCAATATTTCAATTTTGGGCTTTTCCGATTCTTCCATTCTACAAATTTTCTATTTCTCGATTTTTTTATTTTTCGATTTCTCAATCTTTCGGTGTTTCAATGACACGATTGAGTTCTCAATTTTTGTCCTCTTCAATTTTACGGTTTTTAAATATTTCAATTTTTCAACTTTTCCATGTTTTAATATTTCATTTTTTAAAATTCTAGGATTTTCGATATCTCGAGTTTTCAATTCTTCTATATTTCAATTTTTCGATTTTTTTAATTTTAATTTTCGATTTTCCAGTTTTTCTTTTTTAAAATTTATCGATTATTCAATTTTTTAATTTCTCAATTTATGGAATTCAGATGCTTCGTTGTTTTGATTGTTCAATTTCTCAATTTTTCAATTTTTAACTTTCCTTTTCGGCTTCCCACTCAATTTCTCGATCTTCCGATTTTTCGAAGTCTCAGTTTGTGAATTTTTCGATTTTTGGATTTCTCGGTTTTTCGATTTTTTTCTTTTGACCTTTTCAATTTCTGGATTTTCCAATTTTTCAATATCCCGATTTTTCAATTTTTCAAATTGAATTGGATTTCTCGATATTTTAATTATTCAATGTTTTAAATTTTAGATTTTTCGATTTCTCGACTTTTCAGTTCTTTAGTATTAAAATTTTTCAATTTTTCAAATTTTTACGTTAAATTGTCAGTTTTGTGATTCCTCAATTAATCTATTTTTGATTTTCCCACTTCTCAAAGTTTCGATTTTTGAGTTCTTCAATTCTTCGATTTTTCGACTTCGCTTTATTGGTTTTTCGATTTCTCAATTTTTGGATATTTCTTTCAGTTTTGATATTTTTCAATACTTCGATTCTTTAATTTTTCGACTTCTAGATTTTCTATTTTTTATTTTTGGATTTTCGGTTTTTTGTTTTTTATACTTCAATTGCTCAATTTTTCAACATTTCCATATTTTAATTTTTAAATTTCTAGATTTTTCGGTTTCTCGAGTTTCCAGTTCTATATTTTAATTCTTCAAATTTCCGAATTTTTAAATTTTTTGAGATCTCAATTTATTGAGATTCGGATGTTTCGATGTTTTGATTATTCAATCTCTCGCTTTATCAATTTTTCCATATTTATGTTTTCGATTTGTTGGTTTTTCGATTTTTTGCTTTTCGGTTTCTCGATTTTTCGATGTTTCGACTTTTCGATTCGTTGATTTTTCAGTTTTTCGATTTTTAAATTTTAGATTTTCGAATTTTTATTTTTTTGATTTTTTGATGTTTGGATTTCTCCATTTTTCAGTTTTAGGATATTTTAACTTTTCAATGTTTTAAATTTTAGATTTTGCGATTTTTCAGTTCTTCAATGTTTTTTTATTTTTCAAATTTTGACGTTTCTGAATTTTTAGTTTTCGGATTTCTCAATTAATCTATTTTTTTATATTCCCATTTCTCCACTTCTTAAAATTTCGATTTTTCAGTTCTTCGGTTCTTCAATTTTTCGATTATTCAGGTTTTCGATTTTTCGACTCTGCTTCTTTTTTGAATTTTCTGTTTTTCAGTATTTCAGTTTTGGAATTTTTCAATATGTTGATTCAATTTTGCAATTTTTTAATTTTTTAGTGTTTCGATTTTTCCAATTTTTCAAAATTTCGATTTTGCAATTTCTCGATTTTCTACTTTTTCGTTTTTTCAAATTTAAGATTTTTTTGATTATTGATTTTTCGATTTTTTAATTTTTCAATTTTTCTATTCTCGATTGATCGAGATTTCGATATTTCGATTTTTCAGTTGTTCAATTTCCCTAGTTTTCAATTTTTGTTATGTTTCAACCCATCTCGACTTTTTGATTTCACGATCGATTCCTCGAGGTTCAATTTTTTGATGTTTGGATTTCCCCAGTTTTTAATTTTCTTTTGATTTTTCAATTTTTCGATTTTCCAATTTACCTGCTCATCAATTTTTAGGTATTTCAGGTTTTTTGCAGTTTTTAAATTTTTTATTATTTCGATTTTTCAATTTTTCAGTTCTTCAAAATTTCGACTTTTTAATTTCTCGATTTTCTACTTTTTCGATTTTTGAAATTTAAGATTTTTTTGATTAGTGAATTATTCGATTTTTCAATTGTTCAATTTCCCTAGTTTTCTGTTTTTTGATGTTTCGATTTATCAAGTCTGGGATATTTCGATATTTCTATTTTTCGATTTTTTGATTTCTGGACTTTTCGATTTCACGATCTTTTTATGTTTCGATTCCTCGAGGTTCAATTTTTTGTTGTTTGGATTACTAGATTTCTCGATTTTTTTGATTTTTAAATTTTTCGACTTTTTGATTTCTTAATTTTTCAGTTTTTCAATTTTGCAATTCGTCGAAGTTTAAATCTTGCGATTTTTCAATTTCCCTTCTATTTTTCATTTTTTCGATTTTCCGGTTTACCTAATTATAAATTTTTCAATTTTACGATTCAATATTTCGACTTTCCGATTTCTCGATTTTTCAGTTTTTCGAATCTTCAAAATTTCGATTTCTCGGTTTTCTGATTTCGAAAAAACGAAACATCGAAATCTCGACAAATCGGGAAATCTCAAAAAATTATAAAACTGAAAAATTGAAAAGTCGAAAAATTTAAAATTTAAAAAACCAAAAATTGAAAGATCGGAAAAGTGAACAATAAAGAAAATTGAAGAATCGATAAACTGAGATAACGAAAAAGAATGGAAAATGGAGAAATGGGGAAATCAAAAAATCGAAAAATCGAACACCTTCAAAAATTGAAATATTGAAAAATCAAAAAATCGATTTTTCGTTTTTTAAATTGTAGGATTATTAAGTTTGTGAATTTTTTAATTTTTAAAATTTTAGATTTTTCATTTGTCGATTTTTCGATTTTCCAATTTCTTAATAATTATTCATTTTCTCTATTTTTTAATTTTTTAATTTTTTGTATTTTCCATTTACCGACATTTTTGATTGTAAATTTTTAAATTCTTCAATTTTTAACTTTTGGATTTTTCAATTTTGGCCTGATTTAATTTCTAAATTTTTCGATTTCCGAATTTTTGAGTTTTCGATATACCGATCTTTTGATTTCCCGATGATTCAGTTTTTTAATTTTTCGTTGTTTTGATTTTTGGATTTCCCGATTTTTCGACTTTTTGATTTTCCAATTTTCCAATTTTTGTGCGTTTCGATTTTCCAGTTTTTTGAGTTCCCAATTTTTCATCATTCCAGTTTTGGAATTCTTCAATTTTCCGGATTTTTCCTAATATACATTAAAAATTTGACAAGAGCTATCCATTGCTGAGGAACCAAAACTTAAACAATCGAGTTCTTGTAGAGGAAACCAGAAGCAGTTTGTTAATTATACTCCCACTGACTCAATTTTTTAATTTCCTAATTTTTGGATATTTCGTTCAATTTTATGATTTTTCAGTTTTTCGATTTCTCAATTTTAACTTCAATTTTTAAATTTTTATTTTTTTGAATTTTTGATGTTTGGATTTGTCCATTTTTCAGTTTTAGGATATTTTAACTTTTCAATGTTTTAAATTTTAGATTTTTCGATTTTTTAGTTCTTCAATATTTTTTTATTTTTCAAATTTTCACGTTTCTGAATTTTTAGTTTTCGGATTTTGATTTTTCAATTTTTCTATTTCTCAGTTTTAACTTTTCAATTTTTAAATTATTATTTTTTTTCGATTTTTTGAGTTTTCAGTTCTTCCATATTTCAATTTTTCAATTTTCGAAATTTTTCAATTTTCGATTGTCCAATTTTTTTTTATTTTTTGATTTTCTAATTTTTCGATGTTTCGATTTTTGAATTAACCGATTGTTCAATTTCTCGATTTTTAAATTTTAGATTTTCTAATTTTTATTTTTTTGATTTTTTTATGATTCGATTTCTCGATTTTACAATTTTCCCATATTTGAATTTTTCAATGTTTTAAATTTTCGATTTCGAGGATTTAATATACTTAAACAATGGTCGTACTTACATGCGAATAAATCAAAATGGACGAATCCATCTTATCATTCACATTAATTATATACACTTCGATAGTACCATCCTGGCGACCCAGTACCAAATTCTTAGTACCGTTACCGGTCATGTCGTACGTGTCCAAGCAGGAAATGGTACTCGAGTTGGACGAATTGTCGATCAACCAGCGATCAAAACCATGCTGGTTTTCAACGTCGAGGATTCCAACGCGCCCATCCACAGTACCAAAGAGCGTGGTTTTGGTACCGTCTTCTTCCAGGATGTGGAGGAGGGTCGGGGAACTTTCCACCTCCATACTAAGGGTGACCCTTGCGTGCTCCAAAGCCCGAATCATGCGACCTTCGCAGGCAATCAAAGACATGAGTCTGCGGGTCTAATTTACAATTTTTGACCACTCTGTGTGTTATTGGTAGTACCTTGTCTGCGTAAAAAGCGACAACGTCGACTATCCGGTCACCACAAAGGTACGACCCTACGTCTTTACAGTCCCGAAAGTGGTTGTAAATGTGCTTACCACACAAAAACAAATCGTTCCCTAAAACAAACCTAAACAAAGCCACGATTTTGTGGTTTTCGGGGTAAATAGTACCCACATGGATGTGATTGTTTCAGTCATCCCGGAATCGAAAGTCAGGAATAGTTTCCCTTTTTTTGTGTACCCGCGGACTTCGTTCTCCGATGCTACGAATATCTTATCAGTGGGGCTTCCTGGAATTTTCGACTGAGTGATACAAGTGGAATTAGTGATAATTTACCTATAGCTCCGCCCAACTGCAGTGACAATATTGTGGGTCCAGGGAGGGTTTTGAAGTGTAATTGGATGTCTTCCTTTTTGACTGAGAAGATTTGGAGGATTCCGTCGTTGTCGGCCACTGCAACCTAATTTTTGTTTCGTTTTTTGGTTGGGGTGATTTTTTGTGTTTACCTTTTGGGTTTCTTTGGCGGCAGATGGGGGCAGGAGTTTGAGGCAGTTGGTGGAGGTGATGCCCACGATGGTGTAGTCCACTCGGGATAATTCTAGCTCCATTTTGTTTACGCGGGTGAGGAGGTTCGGGTTTGGGGTTACAATGAGGGAAATCGATGGTTGCTAGGGTGTCGATACAAACAAGTTTTGGTATTTAAAACGATATATTTATTACACGTGTTTCACGTATTTTTTTGTGGTACAATTTTGTGATACATTCTAAATAAATAAATTGGTCGAACTTTTACAATTTTTTACAATTTTTCGAATTTCAGTCTCGATTTTTCAATTTTTCGATTTTTTATTTTTCTCGATTTAATTTATCGTTTCCTCAAATTTTCGATTTGCAAATATTGGTTTCGGTTTTTATTTTCTTTATTTTTACAATTTTTCGATTTTGTTTTTTTTTGTTTTTTCAATTTTTTTTCTTCAATTTTGCGATTTGATCCGCTTTGCAATTTCACGAGTTTTCAAATGTTTTTTTAATTCTGAGATTTTTCAGTTTTTTTTTTATTTCTTCAATTTGTCGATTTGCAATTTTTCGTTTCGGTTTTTCTTTCATAATTTTTTCAATTTTTCCGCTTTTCATTCTTCTTTCAATTTTAGATTCTTCAGTTTCTCCATTTTTCAATCTTCTACACTTTTTGAAAATCTTCACCTTTTCAGTTATTGGATTTCAAAATTTTTTCATCCATTCGGTTTTTCAATTTTTAGTTTTTCGATTTAATTTTTCATTTCTTCAAATTTTAGATTTTAAACTTTTGGTTTCGGTTTTTACTTTCTTTATTTTACAATTTTTCGATTTTTCAGTGTTCTGATTTTATGATTTTTTTTAATTCTTCAATTTTTCAATTTGTAGTTTTTCGTTACGGTTTTTTATTTTCCTTATTTTTAAAATTTTTCGACTTTTCAATGTCTTGATTATGTGATTTTTGTTTTTTCAGTTTCAATTTTTTCAGTTTTTTGTTTCTTCATTTTTTCGATTTGCAGTTTTTCAGTTTTTCATTTTTTCAATCTTTTAGAATTTTCAAATTTTTATTTTTCAATTCCTAGATTTTTCAGTCTCTTCATTTCTTTAATTTTTTCAATGTTTCGGTTTTTGATTGTTCTGATTTCATAATTTCTCTTTATTCAATGTGAAATTTTTCGATGATTCAATTTTGCGATATGCAATTTTTCAGTTTCCAGTTATTTGATTTCTCAATTTTTTTGTTTTTTAATTTTTTTTCAAGTTTAGATTTTTCAGTTTCTCAATTTTTCAATATTTGGTTTGCATTTTCTTAATTTTTTTAATTTTTCGGTTTTTCATTATTGTGATTTTATAATTTCCCTTTTTTTTAATCTGAAATTTTTAATTTATTTAATTTTTCGATATATGTACAAGTTTTCAGTTTTGAGTTACTTGACTTTTCAATTTTTTTACTTTTTAATTTTTGCTTTTTTCAATTTTAGATTTTTTAATTTCTAAATTTTCCTCGTTTTCATTCTAAAGAAGTTTCCAATAATTATTATACTTTTTAAAAATTTTCACCTTTTCAATTTTACGATTTCAAAATTTTCTCGATTTTCCAGTTACTGGATTTTAAAACTTTTTCATTCATTCGATTTTTATAATTTTTCGAAATTTCAGTGTTCCGATTTTATGATTTTTTGTTTTTTCAATTCCAATTTTTTCAATTTTACGATTCTAGAACTTTTCCATTTTTCAGGTTTTGGATTTTAGAACTTCTTCATTTATTCGATTTTTCAAATTTTCGATTTTTTATTGTTCAGTTTTTCGATTTAATTTCTTCAAATTTTCGATTTGGAACTTTTGGTTTCGGTTTTTGTATTTTTTATTTTTACAATTTTTCGATTTTCCAATATTCCGATTTTATGATTTTTTGTTTTTTTTAACTTCAATTTTTCCAATTTTTTCTTTCTTCAGTTTTTCGATTTGTAATTTTTCGATTTTTCATTTTCTTGTTTCTTCAATTTTACGTTAAGAATCTCTTTCAGTTTTCAAATGTTTATTTTTCAATTCTTAGATATTTCAGTTTTTTTCTTCATTTCTTCAATTTTTCAGTTTACTATTTTCCGTTTCGGTTTTTTATTTTCTTAATTTTTTCAATTTTTCGGTTTTTGATTGCTCTGATTTTATAATTTCTCTTTTTCCAATGTAAAATTTTTAGATTATTCAATTTTTCGATATGCAATTTTTCAGTTTTCGGTTATTTGATTTGTCAATTTTTAGATTTTTTAATTTTTGGTTTTTTCGATTTTAGATTTTTCAGTTTCTCGATTTTTTAATATTTTACACTTTTTAAAAATTTTCACCTTTTCAATTTTACGATTTTGGAATTTTTTTCATTTTTCAGTTATTGCATTTCAAAATTCATTCGACTTTTTATTTTTTATTTTTTCGATTTAATATTTCATTTCTTCCAATTTTCGATTTTAAATTTTTGCTTTCGGTTTTTGTTTTTTAATTTTTACGATTTTTCGATTTTTCAGTGTTCCAATTTTATGAATTTTTTCTTTTTTTTTTGACTTAAATTTTCCAATTTTTTCTTTCTTCAGTTTTTCGATTTGAAATTTTTCAATTTTTCATTTTTTGTTTCTCCAAATTTACGATTCTCTTCGAGTTTTCAAGGATTTTTCAATTCTTAAATTTTTCAGTTTTTTCATTTCTTCAATTTTTCAGTTTACAGTTTCTTGTTTCGGCTTTTTATTTTCTTAATTTTTCATTTTTTCGGTTTTTTATTGTTCTGATTTTATGATTTCTCTTTTTTCAATACGAAATTTTTGGATTATTCAATTTTTTGATATGCAATTTTTCTTTTTTCGATTATTTAATTTTTCAATTTTTAGGTTTTTAAATTTTTTTTTTCAATTTTACGGTTCTAGAACTTCCATTTTCCAGCTATTGGATTTTAGAACTTCTTCATTTATTCGATTTTTCAATTTTTCGATTTAATTTCTTCAAATTTTCGATTTGGAACTTTTGGTTTCGGTTTTTTATTTTCTTAATTTTTTCAATTTTTCGATTTTTCGGTGTTCCGATTTTATGATTTTTTGTTTTTTTAACTTCAATTATTCCAATTTTTTTTCTTTTTTCAGTCTTTCGATTTGCAATTTTTCAATTTTTGATTTTCTTGTTTCTCCAATTTTACGATATGGATCTCTTCGCGTTTTCAAATTTTTATTTTTCAATTCTTAGATTTTTCAGTTTTTTTTCATTTCTTTAATTTTTCAGTTTACAATTTTTCGTTTCGGTTTTTTATTTTCTTATTTTTTTCAATTTTTCAGTTTTTCATTTTTCTGATTTTTTAATTTCTCTTTCTTCAATGCGAAAATTTTTGCTTAATCAATTTTTCGATATGCAATTTTTCAGTTTTCAGTTATTTGAATTTTCAATTTTTAGATTTTTAATTTTTGGTTTCTTCGATTTTAGATTTTTCAGTTTCTCGATTTGTTAACCTTTTAAACTTTTTAAAAATTTTCACCTTTTCAAGTTTACGATTTTGGAATTTTTTTCATTTTTCAGTTAGTGGATTTTTTTGATTTAATTTTCCATTTCTTCACATTTTCGATTTGCAACTTTTGGTTTTTATTTTCTTTATTTTTATAATTTTTCGATTTTTCAGTGTTCTAATTTCATGATTTTATTTTGTTTTTTTTTTAACAATTTTTCCAAATTTTTCTTGCTTCAGTTTTTTGATTTGCAGTTTTTCAATTTTTCATTTTTTGTTTCTCCAATTTTACGATATGAATCTTCGAATTTTCAAATTTTTATTTTTCATTTCTTAGATTTTTTAGTTTTTTTCAATTTGCAAGTTTTCGTTTTGGTTTTGTTATTTTTTCATTTTTTAAATTTTTCGTTATTCATTGTTCTGATTTTATAATTTCTCTTTTTTCAATTTGAAATTTTTGAATTATTGAATTTTCCGATTTGCAATTTTTCAGTTTTCAGTTATTTGATTTTTCATTTAAAAAAAAAACTTTTGGTTTTTACAATTTTAGATTTTTCAATTTCTCAATTTTTCATTTTTTGATTTGCAATTTTTCTAGTTTTTATTCAAAATATGTTTCTAATAATAATTTTTATACCTTTTAGAAATTTTAGCTTTTTCAATTTTACATTATTAGATTTTTCCCATTTTTCGTTTATTCGATTTTTCAATTTTTTTGATTTTTTTAATTTTTCAATTTTCCGATTTAATTTTTGATTTTTTTCAAATTTTCAATTTGCAACTTTTGGATTCGGTTTTTATTTTCTGTATTTTTATAATTTTTCGATTTTATGATTTTTTTGTTCTTTCATTTCAATTTTTCAATTTTTCATTTTTTTGTTTCTCCAATTTTACGATATGAATCTCTTCGAATTTTCAAATTTTTATTTTTAATTTTTTTCAGTTCTTCAATTTTTCAATGGACAATTTTTCGTTTTGGTTTTTTATTTTCCAAATTTTTTCAATATTTCGGTTTTTCATTGTTCTGATTTTACAATTTCACTTTTTTCAATATGAAATTTTTGGGTTTTTGGGTATAATTTTTCGATACGCAATTTTTCAGTTTTCAGTTATTGAAATTTTCAAATTTTAGATTTTTTAATTTTTGGTTTTTCTATTTTTTCTAGTTTTCATTCTAAATATGTTTCTAATAATTATTATACATACTTAAAAATTTTCACGTTTTCAATTATACCATTTTTTAAATTTTCCCAATTTGCAGCTATTGGATTTTAAAATTTTTCATTCATTCGATTTTTCAATTTTTCGATTTTTTATTTTTCAATTTATCGATTTAATTTCTCATTTCTTCAAATTGTCGATTTGCAACTTTTGGTTTCGGGTTTTATTTTCTTTATTTTTTCAATTTTTCGATTTTTCTGCATTGCGATTTTGTTTTTTTTTCATTTCTTTGTTTCGGTTTTTTGTTTTCTAATTTTTTCAATTTTTCGGCTTTTCATTGCTCCAATTTTAAAATTTCTCTTTTTTCAATGTGAAATTTTTGGATCATTCAATTTTTCGATATGCAGTTTTTCAGTTTTCAATTATTTCATTTTCAATTTTAAGGTTTTTTAATTTCTTGATATTTCAATTTTTGATTTGGAATTTTTCTAGTTTTCATTCTTAATATGTTTCTAATAATTATTGTAATTTTTGAAAAATTTTCATCTTTTCAATTTTAGGATTTTAGAATTTTCCTATTATCCAGTTGTTGGATTTTAAAATTTTCATTAATTTTAAAAATTCATTCAATTTTTCAAGTTTTCAATACTTTATTTTTCCGTTTTTCGATTTAATTTTTCATTTCTTCAATTTTTCGATTTGCAAGTTTTGGTTTCGGGTTTTTTGTTTTCTTAATTTTTTCAGTTTTTCGATCTTTCCATGTTGCAGTTTTTCCATTTTACAATTTTTTGAGTTTTCCAATTTTTTTATTCGATTCGTTTTTTCTTTTTTCCAATTTTTCGATTCATTTATTTTTTAGATTTATAAGTTTCTAGATTTTTAGTTTTTTCAGTTTTTAGATTTTTCAATTTTTTAGTTTTTCGATTTTTAATTTTCGATTATATCGAAATACAAAATGAAAACTTAAATCTAAAAATTGGGAATGTAGAACTTGAAAAATTGAAAAATTGTAAACTCGGAAAAACGAAATATCGAAAATTAAGAAATCGGAAAATCGGATAATTGGAAGATCAAGGAATTGAAAAATCAAAGATTGAAATTAGAACGAAAACGAAAAATTATAAAATCCAAAGAAACATTGAAAAAATGGAAATGGAAAGAAAAATGTGTCAAAATCGAGAAAATGAAAATGAAAAAAATCTGGAAAATGAAAAATAAAAATCAAGAACATAAAAATAAGGAGTGCTTATGCTCGGGAAATAAAAACAAAATACATTTCTATAAAAAAATCAAAAATTTTAAAAACTGTTATTACAGCTCCAACTGAATGTTTATTTGTTGTAAAACACACTGTGTGATTTCTGAACTGTGTATTCTTTTCAATGATATCATACATGTGGCCTTCAGGGTCGACCTAGTGAGTAAACAGTTGTTGTTGATATTTACGAAAAATGTGAATATCTACGAAATCGACTACAACATAGTGTTTAATTTTTTACAACAACCACCCCTACAGAAATTAAGGTACACACATTAACCTGCAATTCTTGTTTTGAAAAATCAACATAACCTCAAAAATAACTCTACTAAATGTGACCAATTTTACTAAATTTACCCCCACGTATAACACAATTTTTAGATTTTGTAATGAATATTTCCATTTGCAATTTCCCGAGTTTTCAAATTTTTATTTTTCAATTTTTAGATTTTACAGTTTTTTTTCATTTCTTCAATAAGCAATTTTTCAGTTTTCAGTTTTTCTTGTTTCTTCAACTTTCCGATATGAAACTCTTGGAGTTATCAAATGTTTATTTTTCAATTCTTAGATTTTTCAGTGATTTTTCATTTCTTCAATTTTTCAGTTTACAACTTTTCGTTTCGGATTTTTATTTTCTTATTTTTTTCAATATTTCGGTTTTTCATTATTTAATTTTTAATTTCTCTTTCTTCAATGCGAAAATTTTTGATTAATCAATTTTTCGATATGCAATTTTTCAGTTTTCAGTTATTTGAATTTTCAATTTTTAGATTTTTAATTTTTGGTTTCTTCGATTTTAGATCTTCCAGTTTCTCGATTTTTTAATCTTTTACTTTTTTTAAAAATTTTCACCTTTTCAATGTTACGATTTTGGAATTTTTTTCATTTTTCAGTTATTGGATTTCAAAATTTCTTCATTCATCCGATTATTCAATTTTTCGATTTTTTATTTTTCACTTTTTTGATTTAATTTTCCATTTCTTCAATTTTTCAATTTGCAGTTTTTCGTTCTGGTTTTATATTTTCCTTATTTTTACAATTTTTCGGTTTTTCATTGTCCTGATTGGATGAATTTTTGTTTTTTCAATTTCAATTTTTTCAGTTTTTCGTTTCTTCAATGTTTCGATTTGCAGTTTATCAATTTTTCATTTTTTGTTTCTCCAATTTTACGATATGAATCTTTTCGAATTTTCAAATTTTTATTTTTCCTTCCTTCGATTTTTTTTCATTTCTTCAACTTTTCAATTTGCAAGTTTTCGTTTTGGTTTTATTATTTTCTTCATTTTTAAAATTTTTCGTTTTTCATTGTTCTGATTTTATAATTTCTCTTTTTCAATGTGAAATTTTTGAATTATTCAATTTTTCGATTTGCAATTTTTCAGTTTTCAGTTATTTGATTTTTCAATTTTTAGATTTTTTAACTTTTGGTTTTTACAATTTTAGATTTTTCAATTTCTCAATTTTTCAATTTTTGATTTGCAATTTTTCTAGTTTTCATTCAAAATATGTTTCTAATAATAATTAATATACTTTTTAAAAATTTTAGCTTTTTCAATATTACGTTATTAGATTTTTCCCATTTTTCATTTATTCGATTTTTCAATTTTTAGATTTTTTTCATTTTTCAATTTTCCGATTTAATTTTTATTTTTTTCAAATTTTCAATTTGCAACTTTTGGTTTCGGTTTTTTTTTTCTGTATTTTTACAATTTTTCGATTTTTCAATGTCCCGATTTTATAAATAAATAAATAAATAAATAAATAAAGTTTATTGCCCAACAGAACTACACATTCCATTTACAGGACAATTATAAAGAATATAAAAACAATGACAACAATTCAGAATCAAAGAAAATAACAAATTAATAAATTAAATGCATAAATAATCAAAGATCTCACTATAATGAAACATAAGAACAGTAACTTAACTTAAATAAAATTAAAATAGAAATAAATGAATGAATGAATAAATTAAAGCCGAAATAAATACCTACATTTATCTGCAATATCAATTTATGATCTTTTTGTTCTTCCATTTAAATTTTTTCAGTTTTTTGTTTTTTCAATTTTTAATTTTTTTGTTCCTACAATTTTAATTTCTTTTGGAATTTGCAAATTTTTATTTTTCAGTTCTTTTTCAGTTTTTCAATTTTTCAATGGACAATTATTCGTTTTGGTTTTCTATTTTCCAAATTTTTTCAATTTTTCGGTTTTTCATTGTTCTGATTTTACAATTTCACTTTTTTCAATATTAGATTTTTGGATATAATTTTTCGAAATGAATTTTTCAGTTTTCAGTTATTTGAATTTTCAAATTTTAGATTTTTTAATTTTTGGTTTTTCCATTTGAGATTTTTTAGTTTCTCAATTTTTCAATTTTTGATTTACATTTTTTCTAGTTTTCATTGTAAATATGTTTCTAATAATTATTATACATACTTTTTAAAAATTTTCACGTTTTCAATTACACCATTTTTTAATTTTTCCCAACTTTCAGCTATTGGATTTTAAAACAACTTTTTCATTCATTCGATTTTTACAATTTTTGGATTTTTCTGTGTTGCGATTTTGTTTTTTGTTTTTTCATTTCTTTATTTCGGTTTTTGTTTTCTAATTTTTTTCAATTTTTGGGTTTTTCATTGCTCTAATTTTAAAATTTCTCTTTTTTCAATGTGAAATTTTTGGATTATTAAATTTTTCGATTTGCAATTTTTCAAGTTTTCGATACTTATTTACTTATTTTTCGGTTTTCCGATTTAATTTTGCATTTCTTCAAATTTTCGATTTGTAAGTTTTGGTTTCGGTTTTTTGTTTTCTTAATTTTTTCAGGTTTTCGGTTTTTCATTGTTCTAATTTTATAATTTCTTTTTTTGCAATGTGAAAAAATGCAATTTTTCAGTTTGCAGTTTTTTGATTTTCCAATTTTCAGGTTTTTTAATTTTTGGTTTTTCGATTTTAGATTTTTCAGTTTTTCGATTTTTCAATTTTTGATTTGTAATTTTTCGAGTTTTCATTCTAAATATGTTTCTAAGAATTATTACACTCTCTAAAAATTTTCTCCTTTTTAATTCCACAATTTTAGAATTTTTCCCGTTTTTGGGTTGGATTTTATAACTTTTTCATTCATTCGAGTTTTAATTTTTTCAGTTTTTTAATCTTTCCATGTTACAGTTTTTCCATTTTACAATTTTTTGAATTTTCCAATTTTTTGATTCGATTCGTTTTTTCTTTTCTCCAATTTTCGATTCATTTTTTAGATTTTCCAATTTTTAGTTTTTCGATTTTTAATTTTCGATTATATCGAAATATAAAATGAAAACTTTGCAAAATCTAAAAATTGGGAATTTAGAAATTGAAAAATTGAAAAATAAAAATTGAGGAACTTAAAAATCGAAAAACTGTAAAATCGGAAAAACAAAATATTGAAAATTGAAGAAATCGGAAAATCGGATAATTGAGAAATCCAAAAATTGCAAACTTGAAAAATTTAAATTTGGAAGATGAAGGAATTGAAAAATCAAAGATTGAAATTTGAAAAATTGAATAAACGAAAAATGATAAAATCCAAAGAACATTGAAAAACTGGAAATGGAAAAAAATGTGGCAAAATCGAGAAAATGAAAATAAAAAATCTGGTTTATTTGTTGTAAAACACACTGTGTGATTTCTGAACTGTGTATTATTTTCAATGATGTCATACATGTGGCCTTCAGGGTCGACCTAGTGAGTAAACAGTTGCTGTTGATATTTGCGAAAAATGTGAATATCTACGAAATCGACTACAACATAGTGTTTAATTTTTTACAACAACCACCCCTACACAAATTAAGGTACATAGATTAACCTGCAGTTCTTGTTTTGAAAAATCAACATAACCTCAAAAATAATTCTACTAAATGTGACCAATTTTACTAAATTTACCCCCACGTATAACACAGGTTACCAATTGCAACACCCCGAAAACACCCCCCAACCACCGCCTCTTATTCCAAAAACAAACCAAAAAAATAATCCCGATGTATTCTTGGTTGCCTACCGCTAAAACCGCGCACTTTTTTTCCAGCCAAAAATGGACGTGCCCACCTTCGTCGACAAATTCCACACCCTCCAAGGAACCACCCTCGCCGACAAACAAAAAACCTTCAACTCCCTCCTCCACAACATCCCCGCGGACCACGACACACTCCTCTCCTCCCTCACCCCAACCACCCACTTTGAAACCCTCCTCAAACTCCAACTCCTCCTGCGCCTCAAACGCACCCCCGACCTCCTCCAAGTCCTCAAAAACGAGCACGAACTCCTCCCCGCCAAACTCCTCAAAAATAAGTGGTTCTGCCAACAATTGGCGGCAACGTTGGACGACAACAGCGCCGGTTTCGTCGACGCGGTGTTGCCGCACACTTCGTACGTCATCAGACAACGAATAATAACGAAGTTAGCCGTGTATGGTACGAAGCTAGACACAGTATACGAAGAAGTACGTACTCGATATGGCGCCCATATCGCTGCACCCCTCGTGGTGGCTTGCACCCCGTCAAAAATCGAACAAGTTTTGACCAGTGATAGAGTTGACTTGACGCCGCTTTGTCAGAAGTTGCTCTACCAGAAACAACCCCAACTTTTCACCAAGTATGCCAAAAACGTCGAGGATTCGGTTTATCATTACGTGGCGAGGCGCAACCTCGAGGATTTCGTTGAACTGAACAAAAGCGGGTGTGTTGGAGGGGCGTTGGGGAAGCACTTGACCAGAAGACTTCTGACAAGTGCCAAAGAGGTGGTGATCGCTCAAGCTGGTAACTTCAGTTGCGTCATACACCTAAAAACGGTAATCAAGGTGTTGACGGACCACGAACTCAAACAATTTTTCTTCAACTGTTCGCCACAAACCATAGACAGCCACAGGTCGTATTATTCAAATATTGGATTCACGGCACTCACGAAGGCACTAGGGACCCGATACTACCGGCTTTTGTTTGACAACGTGGCCACAAAACACAACAAGAGTCTCTACGACTTTCCCAATTTGGTTGACAATAAAATGTTGGAAACGATGGAAAGTGAAGAGAGACTTAAGTGGGTGTCTATTAAAAAAAAAAGTGGGACGTCGGAGGACGATTTGGTGCCTTTTTTGAGACCAGAAGATGCTATTGGTTTAATCAAGAAGAAAATTAATGTTACGTCGTCGATTTCGACGAGGGAGCAACTCGTTCGGGACTTAGTCAAGACTTGCCAAGTCAATGGGGACTTAAACGCTCTGGCTGAAGTGGGCGAATACGTGTGTTCTAGACACAGAAACGACAATGAATGTGTCTTAATCAGTTTCGTCGGCTCGATAGAAAGTCTTTTCTCGTTGGAGAAACTGGGGGAACGCCATTGGGGGTCCATCAATCAGATTTTAAAGATTGTCAAAGTTGATTGGATAAGGGGCAATTTTGACTTAAAATACATCGAGTTTCTGTTTCGGGAGAAAAAGTTAAGTGATGAGAAAATCCGCGATTTTTATGGAACCAAGAACGAGTGGTACCGGACGGAAATTAAAGAACTACGTAAAGTGTTACTGTTGAAGTTCATCGATTTAGTACCACAATTCGAAAAAGAGAACTTAGAATACACCGACTTGAAGTACCTAAAGTACATCTTGGATTGGAATAGTCAAGCGGATAAAGACAACCAGATTCGTCTTTCTGATCACCCTAGACTTATCCAGTCTTTGCAAAAATCGATGACGATGGCCATCGAAGTCGACTCTTACATCCCCGAACTCCACCTGCTTTCACCCATTCTAACCACCCTAATTTGCACTAAACGACAGTCGGATCTTCGAGCCGAAGCCATCCAGAACTACTTCACCACGGGGTTCCGCTTCTTCAACCAAAACATAGACATGTGGTTGCTGAAACACCAACCTTGGGTGATCGACAACCACCTGGACAAGTTCCTCGAACACCTATTCCACGGTTTCACCCCAAACCTCTCCCTCCTCAACTACATAAAAACATTCACTCCCCCGTCCTTCCAACGCAAAGTCGTCAACCACGCTTTAGCCAACCTCGCCAAATTCGAAAACATCGACGTCATCTTCCACGTCCTCGTCATCCTGGAACCCCCACAAGCTTTCCTGGAACACATCGCCCCTTTTTATCCCTCAGGCGACAAAGTCCTCGACGAAACCGACGACGATCGTCGACAAAGCAACGTCGCTGTAGCAATAGCAAGCAGTTTTAAGTACGCCACAAGCGTCCAAGTCCTACCCAAACTGATACAGTACTGCAAGGGCGACTTTCTGCGCTACTCGTTAGAGTCCCTCTACTACTTGTTCTACCACTCGCCCGAAAACCAGCTCAGTTCGTTCATCAACGACCTCTCCTCCAAAGCCGTCTCCGTCCGAAAACACTCCATCTTCTTGACTTGCATCGTGGGCAGCGTCGCCGACGTGCAAAAACTGGTTACGCGTTTCATCGAAAACGAGCGCAACGTTTCGGTGCAGAAGCATCTGTTCACCGCGGCTTTGAAGTACTTCATCAGGAATCCGTCGGACGAATTCTGGCACTGCGTAAAAGTGTGTATGTCAAAACTGGACAAGAATGACAGCGAGAGCTTCGACTTGTTGGTAAATATTGGCCGAATCCCCCATAAATACCAAACCCAGCACGTCATCTTCGTGTGGGACATTCTAAACAAGAGCGAAAACTCCAGACCGAGACTACTATCATCCATACCGGTCCCAGTTTTCACGGAACTCCCCCTAGACTTTCTCCTCGAAGTCATCACCCACAACTTTTTCCAAACCGAATCCAGTTGCGCCAACGTGATTGACAATTTCGTGGTGACGTCACTCACCCACAGTATCCACAAAAACCGCGTTCTAGACACGGTTTTCCAGCTGATCAAAACCGTGAAAATTTCGGACTGTTCATTACCCGACGAAGTAACCAATCGAAAAAAATTGTCCTCGTTCGTGGACAATTTAGTTAGTAGTGTCACATTGTCCGACGACTATACAATCCTCCCCTCTTTTTCGCAGCGTTGGCACGACTTGTTTTCGGTCACGCAGGCCATGCAAGAACACTTGCGTTTGTCTTTTGCACTCTTGTATCTACAAAGCGGCAAAGACTTGACACAATTCGCGACCGCTGTGGCCGAGTTCTTGGATAACTTAGTTACGACGTACGGCGTAGTCGTCGTCGATTGTTTTGCCAGTGTGTTGAAGAAGTCGTTGATGAGTTTTCTGTGTTGTTATAAAGAGAGTAACGAGGACTTGTTTAAGTTCGTTTTGTACTTGGTCGGGAAAGATAATTTGGTTTTTTATTTGTTGGCTATTAAGTTGTTACCGGAGGAGCCGCCGGAGGAAGACGCAGCCAAAAAGTTGTTCGAAGAAGTCGTCCGGGTGTTGAGACAAGTGCCTCAGGAGTCAATACAGATGTTGATGAATGTTTATGTTATGGATTTGGTGCTTTAGAAACGCTTACAGTTGTATTTTCACAAATATTAATGCTATATGTATACGTGATTTTTTGTTAATATTGCCAAATACTGTATAAATACTATAATAAAATATATGCAAAAAAATAATAGTAATAAATTAGTCTTAATATACATAGTTTGTTGTGAAAAGATGACTACGTATGTTAAGAAATAAAGGGCAAAATATAAGCCCCGCCCACCCACCCTGCCTCAATTGTAACGATTTTTTTATTTGTTGTGAGCCAAGAGGGCGGAGCTTAACTGCAAAATACTTATTTCTTTACGAAAAATTCCCATGTAAGACATGTTTTTGAGCAGTAAAAAATACTATCTATATCAAAATTGAAAGCCAGGTTTTTGTTTTCTTTTCACTCAACACATATAGTTTGCTTTAAGGCCAGTTTTTTTAATTTTTTACTATACCTCAGTTCCGACAAATAAAGTCGAAAATATACCTAGTACGATTTCTAAAGTTTTGTAAGCTGAAAACAGTGGTGAAAACCGCGTTCCAAAATTTCCATAAATAACTGACATGTTGATTTTTTTAAATACGCGTTAGGAAAATTTCAACAAAATTTAAAAAATATCTGATAATAAACAGTTTAAAAAAAACTGCTCTCGCATATTATATAGAGAAAGGTGTGGACAAGTTATATTTAAAACAAAAACAAAGACTTTGCAATTAAACTCCGCCCTCTTGGGTCACCATAAATAAAAAGGTAGGGTGGGTGGGCGGGGCTTATATTTTGCCCTTTTTTTCTTAATATACATAGTCATCGGTTTTAAGTTTTGTTGTGAAAAGATGCCTATGTGTCTTAAGAAAAAAAAAAGCAAAATATAAGCCCCGCACACCCACCCTACCACAATTGTGATGATTTTTTTTAATTTCTCGTAAGAAAACACGGATTTCGCAATTAAGCTCCGCCCTCCTGGCTCACCATGAATAACAAAAATCATCACAATTGAGGAAGGGTGGGTGGGCGGGGTTTATATTTTGCCCTTTTTTTTATTATACATAGTCATCTGTTTTAAGTTTTGTTGTGAAAAGATGACTATGTATATTAAGAAAGAAAAGGGCAAAATATAAGCCCCGCCCACCCACCCTACCGCAATTGTGATGATTTCTTAATTGCTCGTAGGAAAACAGGATTTTGCAATTAAGCTCCGCCCCACGACTTACGACAGGTAAAAGAAAGTCATCACGATTGAGATAGGGTGGGTGGGCGGGGCTTAAATTTGCCCTTGTTTTCTTATTATACGTAGACATCTGTTTTAAGATTTGTTGTGAAAAGATGATTACGTATATTAAAAAAAAAAAGCAAAATATAAGCCCCGCCCACCCACCCTACCGCAATTGTGATGATTTTTTTTATTTGTCGTAGGAAAACAAGGATTTTGCAATTAAGCTCCTGGCTCACCATAAATAAAAAAATCATCACAATTGAGGTAGGGTGGGTGGGCGGGGCTTATATTTTGCCCATTTTTTCTTAATATACATACTCATCGGTTTTAAGTTTTGTTGTGAAAAGATGACTATGTATATTAAGAAAGAAAAGGGCAAAATATAAGCCCCGCCCACCCACCCTACTGCAATTGTGATTTTTTTTATTTGTCGTAGGAAAACAAGGATTTTGCAATTAAGCTCCGCCCTTTTGGCTCACCATAAATAAAAAAATCATCACAATTGAGGTAGGGTGGGTGGGCGGGGCTTATATTTTGCCCTTTTTTTCTTAATATACATAGTCATCGGTTTTAAGTTTTGTTGTGAAAAGATGCCTATGGATCTTTAGAAAAAAAAAATGCAAAATATAAGCCCCGCCCACCCACCCTACCGCAATTGTGATGATTTTTTAATTTCTCGTAGGAAAACAGGATTTTGCAATTAAGCTCCGCCCCACGACTTGCGACAGGTAAAAGAAAGTCATCACGATTGAGATGGGGTGGGTGGGCGGGGCTTATATTTTGCCCTTGTTTTCTTATTATACGTAGACATCTGTTTTAAGATTTGTTGTGAAAAGATGACTATGTACATTAAGAAAAAAAAGCAAAATGTAAGCCCCGCCCACCCACCCTACCTCAATTGTGATGATTTTTTCATTTGTCGTGAGCCAAGAGGGCGGACATTAAATCTTGAGAAATCTCGAGACCTGGAAACGTCTAGAAATATTGAGAAATCCTGAAAAATCTTAGAGAAATTCTCTGAAATCTTGAAAAAAATCCCGAGAAATTTTCGAATCTTGAATTTTCAGAATTTCGAAATATTCGGTATTAAATTGGAATTTTTTGAAATTTCTAATTTTTTTTTAAGTATCTCTTAAGATAAAACTGATTTTGGCAAATTATATACCCTCTAAGAAAAGAGAGGGTGGGTGGGTGGGGCCAGGACCTGCTAAGATAAGGCTGATTTTGGTAAAAGATTTACCCTCTAGAAAAAAAGAGGGTGGATGGGTGGGGTTAGTAGCTGCTAAGATAAGACTGATTTTGGCAAATGACATATTCTCTAAGAAAAGAGAGGGTGGGTGGGCGGGGCTAGTACCTTCTATGATAAGGCTGATTTTGGAAAATGATGTATCCTCTAAGAAATTTAATTAAATTATTATAAGAAAAGACACTAGAGGCTCTAAAGCAAGAATAGCTAGAACCTCAACATTGTTTTAAATTTTTCAAAAAAAAAAAAACGGGGTCCCAAAATTAACTCAAAAACAGGTCAGATCAGATTGTTTTTCTAAAATTGTTTTAAATAATTTACAACAAAATCTCCATGGGCACCCGAAATAATACCCCATGGGTACTTAAGAGTCTCCCGAATTAAAAAAAAAGCACTGCGGCACTCAAGACTTTTTCAAATTCGTAAAAAATAAAACACTAGAGAAGGTCAAAAGATTTTTGAAGTTTAACGAGTACCAAACACCAAATTCCTTTAAATTTATCCGAAAATTAAACACCAGCGAACATTTTAAACAAACTTTGGCAAAAGAACCAATTTCAAAATCATTATAACTCCACCAACATGTGAGAAGGATTTTTTTTAACTATTTTTCCCAGACACCCGGTATATACATGCAAAATTTAACAACAATCGATCCAGTAGTGTCGGAGATTACGTGTGTGTGTAATAAAAATTGGCACAGACGACAGTCAGATAGACAGAAGGAGTTTTAAAAACACCCACAATGCAATGACGGTTTATTGTTGTAACAATATCTTTAATTTCAACACATCAGATAAATTGTATAACAACACATTAAACCTAACAATGGAAATGTTATAGTACTCAGTATGAAATTACGCAAAGACAACCTACTCAAATCGTTACAAAGCGGCTATTTTGGCACTTTGATCAATCTAAAAAAATCCAATTTAAAAATCTCAGATCCCTTTGGTCCATTCTTAATCCAAAAGAAACAATTAAGCTAAACGACTAGATTTTACGCAACTAAAGATTAATTATGGCGATAGTATTATAAAATGAGTTTTATTCAGCCATTTGGAGCAACGAATTGATCGTGCCGTCCTTATTCCCCCTGTTAGCCTCGTACACCGTCTTAATCACCTCCTTATCGATATTCGGGAACATCTCCTCGATTTGCTTGAGCTCGGATTCGCTCAAGGCCGGCACCGCCACCTCGCTCGGCGGCGCCGTGAACACCTTCAGAGGCGTCACGGCGCTGCCGCCCCCCACGCTCGGCACCACCATGACCGGCGCCGGCGGCTGATACTTATAATGAGGAAACCCTAAGTAGCTTAAAACCAGATTCACCATCCCTTCCACCCCTTCACCCTGCTTCCCGTTCAACGGATACCAGTCCTCGTGCGTCTCCCCCGCCAGGACCTGCTGCGGAATCTGGAACTGCGTCCACGCAATGAGCTCGTCCATGGTGAACGAACGCTCGTCGAAGATTTCTAGAGTAATGGTGTTTATTCCGTGGGGCAACAAACTGAAACCGCGTTCCAACTCAACCGAGTACAATTTTTAAACTGAAGTCTTACCAGTGGATCACTTTGTTCCAGCGCGGGTTCTTGCCCCCGTTGGGGTCGGTGTGGGTCTCGTACACGCAGTGCCCCACTCGGATGCGGGCGTAGGGGTCCATTCGGGTCATGCCGTAGTTTTTAGCTAGTTTGGCTTGAGCAACGGTGATACTCAGTCTTCCGACGGCGTTGGTGTAGTGGCCCCCAGTCAACTGGTGGTGTAAAGCTATGGCCGTTTGGCGATCCGCGGCTTCCTGTTGCTGCTGAACGGACACGTTGACGCGCAGAAAGTCTTCGGGGAGGGGCCCCAGGAGAACCTACGCCGGGTACAAGTAGCGGATTTTCGTACGGGGATAAAATACTTACGCGGCTTCGCCGCTGTTGAACTTTGTCGGTTAAAGCAGAGGCCATTCTTCGAGGATTAATTGAGCTAAAACATTAATTATTTATTGGCGTGATTTAGGATGACACAATAATATTTTGATCAGCTGGCGGTGACTCACGGCGACACGCCTCGGCGTGGGGGAAACGAAAAGTCACCAGAATTATTGTCGATTAAATAAATTTAACTATAGTTGTTGATAGTTTCACACTTATAACTGCGTAGACGTTCAAAATTGTTGTTTGAAAGTGATTTTGGGTCTCAGCTGTGTCGCTTTAATTTATTTGTCGCGTATTATTGTCGCGAAAGTAGTGCCAACTGGTCACAAAAAATGTCCTAAATTTTGACGTTCGTCGTGTTTAAAATGGCTGTTGGTGTTTGCAGAATGGAGAAATTTTCTTGGTTTTTGTAATTTATTGAGTAAATAATGGTCGTGTGTCCTGCAGATCACGGCCTACAGGCCGATATAATTTTCGTTATTGAAGGGACTGCAGTCAATGGGGCCTACATCAACGATCTGAAAACCAACTACATCATTCCATCTTTAGAGTAAGTTTGTTTGTTATCTGGAAATTGGTGAAAGTTGCTTGAATTTAACGCCATTGTTTAATGTTTATTGTTATCGTTAAAATTTGGTTTATTGTTTTCCATTAATGGGGCTCTTTATTGAAATTTACAATAGTTATTGACGAAGTTCGATTGTTTACTTTTATAACAATAACAATAAATTTATTCGAATGGGACGTGAATTATTATTTGCAAAAATAAAGTATCAACGAAACAGTGAAACAAAGTTTTGTGATTGGTCGGAAGTCGGAGAGAGCAATAAAAAACACGATCAACGGCAGCCATGGATTTTTGACAGTTTGTCTTTGATAGAATGAAAGTCGCCATTTTCATGATGAATAATGAACGGATAGTTGAGCAGGTTTGAGGTACTGAGTAATCAGTGTAACCTTGCCAGCATGATTAAAAATTTCACTCTGAAAAGAAAACACGTCTTGTATTAGTCGTACATACACACGAATTTTCGCGTCACTATTTTGTTTTTCTTTTTCAGATATTTTAGTCAAGGAAACATAGATGAAAGTAATTATTTATCCGAAGGTGTCAATTCCTACTATGGCATCGTTGTTTACCAAGCTGCTGACTGCTTACCCCACCCCAGCAGCGACACTATTGGTCCGTTCGTCAGCCCAAACAAACTGTTGAGTGCCATTGACAAATTGGAGTAAGTTGGTATTTCCGATTTGGACAAAAAAGTTGTTGTCACTTCGTGCGAAACCTAAATCTATTTAGAACGACACCCAGTAAAAGTAATTTAATTTGGAATCTGCAAAACCGAATGCTTTGATATCTTGCAGATGGTTTACAGTTATGATAAGCATGATAAGTTTTTATTCGAAATATATTTACTTATCCCCTCCAAAAAATTGATGACGTCACCTCAAAAGTTTGCCGAATAAATCCTATCTAAAATGTAGAAAATATGATGAGTCTGTCCTTGTAATTTATCATTCCATTCATATTTTTTGGATTTGCATATACAGGGTGACTCAAAACAATTAATGAGTGCGTGATTATATTTTATTTATTTAATCACTACAAAACAATTCAAAATTCCAACACCGGAATACCAAAAAATTTAAAAAAGGAGGAGAAATTGAAGAACTGACTGAAAAATCGAAACATTGAAAATACAGAAGTCGAGAAATAGGAAAACTGAAAACTTGAAAAACTGAAAGATCGAAAATTTGAAAAATCGAAAAGTAAAAAATTTTAAAAAGCGAAAAATTGAAAAACCGAAAAATTTAAAACCGAGAAGAGAAACATCGACAGATCGAGAAATTGGAACGTCAAAAGAACTGAAAATTCTTAAATTTAAAAATTGTTAAATTAAAACATCGTAAAACTGAAAAATCGAGAAGTTGAAAAATCTAAAATTTAAAAAAGAGAAAAATTAAAATATAGAAAAATCGAAGACTCGAAAAGTTGGAAATTCGAGAAATTAAAACATCAAAAATTGGAACATTGAAAACTCGAGAAACCGAAAAATTGAAAAATCAAAAAATCAATAATTTTAAAAATCGAAAAACGTAGAAGCGAGAAGTCAAAAATTCGAAATATCAAAAAATGGAACAATTGAAAGGTGAAAAAGTCGAAAAGTAAAACACTGAGATATCGAAAAATCAAAAATTTTAAAAATCGAAAAATTGAAAAACCGAAAAATCTAAAACCGGGAAATCAAAAACTAAGAATATGAAAAAATCGAAAAATTGAAAAAAATTCGAAAAGGAAAAAATACAGATATCGAAAAATTGAAAAGTCCAAAAATCGAAAAACTTAAAAACCCCAAAAGTGGAACATCGAAACAATGTGAGATCGAAAAAATGAAAAATCGGGAAACCGAAGAATTGAAACTTTGAAAAGCCGAGAAATCGGGAAACAAAATCAATTAATCGAGAAATTGAGAAAGCTAAAAATTGACAATTTACAAACGTAAAAAAAAGAAAACTACAAAACCGAATGCTTTGAAATCTAGGAGATGTTTTACAGTAATCATAGGCATGGTAAATTTTTAGTCAAAATATATTTCCTCATCCCCTCTAAAAAATTGCTGAATAAATCCCATCTTAAATGTGCAAAGTATAAAAAAATTCCATTCATATTTTTTGGATTTGCATATACAGGTGACTCAAAAAAATTAATGAACGCCTAAATTAATTTTATTGATTTAATCAGGAACTACAAAACCAAATGCTTTTAAATCTTGGAGATGTTTTAAAGTTATCATAGGCATGGTAAATTTTTGATCAAAATACATTTGGTCATCCCCCCCCCCTAAAAAATTGATCACGCAACCCCAAAATTTTCCCCTAAAAAATGCGATCTTAAATGTGCATTGTGCAAAGTATGATGAGTCTATAATTGTGATTTATCACTGCATAAATATTTTTTAGATTGATTAAATCAACAATTGCAAAACTGAATACTTTGAAATCTTGATGTTTTGAAGTTTTTAATGAAAATGCATGTGTTTATCGATTCCAAAAAATTGACTACGGCGTCTCAAAATTTTGCCGAATAAATTCTTTCGCAAATGTGCAAAATATGAACAGACTTTTAATCATTGCATTCATATTTTTTAGATTTGCTTAAACAGGTGACTCAAAAAAATTAATGAACCAGTCAATTTATTATTGATCAAATTAAGAACGCGCCACCCCATTTTCTGGAAGATGTGAAAATACGCTCGTTTTTATAAAAATAAAATAATGATAAGGTAAGAATATAATAATAATAGTCAGAATATTTTGTTCAATGGAGGCTTATGAAACAAATGTCGACGTGACATTCTTCCGATGTAATGTATTCTCCCTATAAATAAATTTTTTGCACTCATAACCTTTTCTGATGACCTTGGCGCATTCACCAGCATGCGGGACGTCGAACATCACGCACAGATGCGTTTTGCTATGATGTCGTTATTTATAAATAAATCTGGGCGGCGGGGGAAGTACTGTCTAAACTCTTTAGACCAATTTTTTTTTTTTTTTTTTAGGTTAATTGGAGGAAAGGGCGAATCTCATGCCAATGTTGCCGAGGGTCTGGCGACGACCCTTCAGTGCTTCGAGGAGTTACAACAAAAACGCGACAACAACGGCAACGTCCAAAGACACTGTATTCTAGTGTGTAACTCGCCCCCTTACTCCCTTCCAGTATTCGAGACACATGCTTACTCTGGCAAAACCTCCGAGCAACTGGCCACGATTCTACAAGAAGTAATATTAACATCTGTATACGTTTGCGCAGACGTTACTTAAAAATCTTAACTGAGTATTACTTAAGTCAAACGTGCGCGCAAGCCTCCCACACTGTTTTCTTTCATTTAACCTTGACTTTTCTCTTCAAGAAAAACATCAACTTATCCATCATCTCCCCTCGCAAGATCCCCTCCCTCTACAAGCTATTCGAGAAAGCCGGCGGCGACTTATCCGCCTCCCAGACGAAAAACTACGCCAAAGACCCCCGCCACCTCGTCCTCCTGCGCGGCTTCAGCCTCAAAGAGCGCCCCCTCAGCCCCCCTCCAGGTACTGTCACTTCCGGCCAGCCCCAAATCCCCAACTCATCCATCCCCATCACTTCTCTCCCAAGCCCCCTAGCCAACAGCGACAGCCCCATCTCCGCCTCCCAGAGCCTCGCCAACAGCAGCACGAACGCCGTCCCCGCCGGAGTGGGTCCCAGCCCCGTCTACCGTCCCCCCGGTGGCCAAGGTATGGCCCAAATACCCCAACACTCTCAAAGTATGGTCACTCCGGGCATGGTAGGTATCGTGAACGCGCGCGGCACTATGATGGGCAACAATCCCATGAACATACCGCAGTTACCGGCACCTCCCGGATACCATCAAGCGAATCGACCGCCAAGGTGGCCGCCGATGATGCCGCCGACGCAGCCCAGGTCCTACCTCCAGCAGAACCAGCAGGCGAACACGACGCAGAGCAGCGCTCTGATCGCCCAGCTGACGCAGCCGCCGAACTCGCTGGCGGGCACGGGGGTGGGTCAATTCGCGCAGAGTGAGTAGCGGCGGCGGCGGGAGCGGCACCAGACTAAAATAACTGTTGCAGTGAACAACAACTCGCCGATGGGTAACCAGCAGGCGCAACCGCCGCTGAAGATTAATCTAATGAACCAGCAGAACCAGCAGCAGAACGTGCAGACGAGCATGCCGCAGAATCCGACGGGCGGGATACAGACGAGCTTGGCGCAGGTGTCGCAGCAGAACCAGGCGGTCACGTCGCCGGCGCAGGTACTAATACTAACAACTAACAAAAATAATATATAATATAGGGTATGCCAAGGATTAAGCCCCACCCACCCACCCCTATCTCAGTTGTGATGAATGTTTGTCTCATTTGTTGTCAGATCGAGGGGCGGAGTTTAATTGCAAAATCCGTATTTCTCGACATAAATTTACCATTTTAACTATGTTTTTAAGTTTCTGGCTGCAAAAAAATGACTACGTATATTAAGGAAAAAAAAGGCTGAATATAAGCACCGCCCCCATCTCAATTGTGATGTTTTTTTAATCGTCATGAATCGAAGGCGGAGCTTAATTGCAAAATCCTTATCTTTTTCCAAGAAACTACCATGTGAAACATGTTTCAAGTATCGTGTTGGTGGAAGAAAACTATTATATACATATTTAGAAAAAGAAGTGAATGATTAAGCCCCGCCCACCCGCCCATATCGCAGTTGTGATGAATTTTTCATTTGTTGTCACATCCAGGGGCGGAGCTTAATTGCAAATTATATTTATTTTTTTTCCTCCTTAATATGCTTTTGTAGTCATCTTTTCACAACAAGAAACTTAAAACATGTTTCAATGGTGAATTTTACGGATTTTGCAATTAAGCTCCGCTCCTGAATGTGATAACAAATGAAACATTCATCACAATTGAGGGAGGGGTGGGTGGGCGGGGCTTATATTTTGCCCTTAATTGTGATTAATGTTTTTTTATTCGTCGTAAGCCCGGGGCGAAGCTTAGCAAAATCCTAATTTCTTTACAAGAAATTACCATGTGATACATGTTTATGTATCGTATTGTTGTAAGAATTACATATTAAGAGAAAGAAGCCCCGCCCATATCTCAGTTGTGATGAATTTTTCATTTGTTATCACATCAAGGGGCGGAGTTTTATTATTATTATTAATTATTATTAAAATGAAGAGACCCAAGTCTGTTATGCCCGCGCAAGACGACAGTTGATGGAATCCCAAACTATTTCAAATAATTAATTGCAAGATGCATATTTGTCTACAAAAAATTACCATTTTAAACATATTTTAAGTTTCTTATGTTTGCCTTTTTTTTTCTTTTTGTTAATATACTTTATAACCTTTTCAAAGTAAGAAAACAAGAAACTTAAATCATGTTTCAATGGCAAATTTTATGGACTTTGTAATTAATTAAACTCTGCCCCTCGATCTGTCAACAAATGAAAAATTCATAACAATTGAGGGAAGGGTGGGTGGGCGGGGCTTATATTTAGCCCTTCATTGTGATTAAAGTTTTTTTATTTGTCGTGAGCCGGGGTGGAGCTTGGCAAAATCCTAATTTCTGTACAAGAAATTACCATGTGACAAATGTTTTGAGTATTGTATTGTTGGAAGAAATTATATATTAAGAAAAAATATGCCAATGATTAAGTCCCGCCCACCCACCCGTATCTCATTTGTGATTAATTTTTCATTTGTTTCCACATTCAGGGGCGGAGCCTAATTGCAAAATCTATATTTTTTAAAATGGTAAATTTTTGTAGACAAATATAGATTTCTGGGTATGAAAAAATTACTACGTATATTAAAGAAAAAAAGAAGGCTAAATATAAGCAACACCCACACCCCCCTATCCCAATTATGATGATTTTTTTAATCGTTGTGAATTAGAGGCGGAGCTTAATTGCAAAATCCTTCCTTTTTTTCCAAGAAATTACCATGGGAAACATATTTTAAGTATCGTGTTGGTGGAAGAAAACTTTATATACATATTTAGAAAATGAAGTGAACGATTGAGCCCCGCCCACCCGCCCATGTCTCAGTTGTGATAAATTTTTCGTTTGTAATCACCTCCTGGGGCGGAGCTTAATTGCCATATTTGTTTACAAAAATTTACCATTTGAAATATGTTTTTCATAATATACCTAGTCATCTTTTCACAACAAGAAACTTAAAACATGTTTAAGGGTAAAGTTTACTTACAAAATCCATAAAGATTTTGTAAGTAAACTCTGCCCCTCGATCTGACAACAAATGAAAAATTCATCACAACTGAAGTAGGGGCGGGGCTTATTTATTTGCTTATTTTCTTAATATATTTAGTTTTTTTCAATAGCACGATACTAAAAATATATTTCACACAGTAATTTCTTGTAGAGAAATAAAAATTTTGCCATTAAACTCCACCCCCGGCTCACAACGAATAAAAAAATAATCACAATTGAGATGAGGGCGGGTGGGCGGGGCTTATATTTAGCCCTTAATTGTGATTATTTTTTTATTCGTGGTGAGTCGAGGGCGGAGCTTAGCAAAATCCTAATTTCTATGCAAGAAATTACCATGTGGCACATGCTTTAAGTATCGTATTATTGGAAAACATTGTATATTAAGAAAAAGAATCCAATGATTAAGCCCCACCCACACACTAATATCTCAGTTGTAATGAATTTTTCATTTGTTATCATATCGAGGGGCGGAGCTTAATGGCAAAATCGATATTTCCCTACAAAAAATTAGCATTTTAAACGTGTTTTAAGTTTATGTTTACTTTTTTTTTTCTTAATATACCTAGTCATCTTTTCACAACAACAAACTTAAAACATGTTTCAATGGTAAATTTTATGGACTTTGTAATTAAGTAAACTCTGCCCCTCGATCTGTCAACAAATGAAAAATTCATAACAATTGAGGGAGGGGTGGGCGGGCGGGGCTTATATTTAGCCCTTCATTGTGTATTTTTTTATTTGTCGTGAGCCGGGGGTGGAGCTTGGCAAAATCCTAATTTCTATACAAGAAATTACCATGTGACAAATGTTTTGAGTATTGTATTGTTGGGAGAAATTATATATTAAGAAAAATATGCCAATGATTAAGCCCCGCCCACCCACCCGTATCTCAGTTGTGCTTAATTTTTCATTTGTTTCCACATTCAGGGGCGGAACTTAATTGCAAAATCTATATTTGTCTACAAAAATTTACCATTTTAAACGTGTTTTTAAGTTTCTGGCTATGACAAAATAACTACGTATATTAAAGAAAAAAAAGGCTAAATATAAGCAACACCCACACGCCCCTATCCCAATTATGATGATTTTTTTAATCGTCGTGAATCGGAGGCGGAGCGTAATTGCAAAATCCTTCCTTTTTTCCAAGAAATTACCATTAGATATTAAGAAAAAGAATCCAATGATTAAGCCCCACCCACACACTAATATCTCAGTTGTAATGAATTTTTCATTTGTTATCATATCGAGGGGCGGAGCTTAATGGCGAAATCGATATTTCCCTACAAAAATTACCATTTTAAACGTGTTTTAAGTTTATGTTTACTTTTGTTTTCTTAATACACGTAGTCATCTTTTCACAACAACAAACTTAAAACATGTTTCAATGGTAAATTTTATGGACTTTGTAATTAATTAAACTGTGCCCCTCGATCTGTCAACAAATGAAAAATTCATAACAATTGAGGGAGGGGTGGGTGGGCGGGGCTTATATTTAGCCCTTTATTGTGATTAATGGTTTTTTATTTGTCGTGAGCCGGGGGTGGAGCTTGGCAAAATCCTAATTTCTATACAAGAAATTACCATATGACAAATGTTTTGAGTATTGTATTGTTGGAAGAAATTATATATTAAGAAAAATAAAAAATATGCCAATGATTAAGCCCCGCCCACCCACCCGTATCTCATTTGTGATTAATTTTTCATTTGTTTCCACATTCAGGGGCGGAGCCTAATTGCAAAATCTATATTTGTCTACAAAAATTTACCATTTTAAACGTGTTTTTAAGTTTCTGGCTAGGACAAAATAACTACGTATATTAAAGAAAAAAAAAAAAGGCTAAATATAAGCAACACCCACACGCCCCTATCCCAATTATGATGATTTTTTTTAAATCGTCGTGAATCGGAGGCGGAGCTTAATTGCAAAATCCTTCCTTTTTTCCAAGAAATTACCATGGGTAACATATTTTAAGTATCGTGTTGGTGGAAGAAAACTTCATATACATATTTAGAAAAAGAAGTGAACGATTAAGCCCCGCCCACCCGCCCATGTCTCAGTTGTAATAAATGTTTCGTTTGTTATTTCCTCCAGGGGCGGAGCTTAATTGCCATATTTGTTTACAAAAATTTACCATTTGAAATATGTTTTTCATAATATACCTAGTCATCTTTTCACAACAAGAAACTTAAAACATGTTTCAAGGGTAAAGTTTGCTTACAAAATCCATAAAGATTTTGTAAGTAAACTCTGCCCCTCGATCTGACAACAAATGAAAAATTCATCACAACTGAAGTAGGGGCGGGGCTTATTTATTTGCTTATTTTCTTAATATATTTAGTTTTTTTCAAAAGCACGATACTTAAAACATGTTGCACACGGTAATTTTTTGTAGAGAAATAAAGATTTTGGAATTAAACTCCGTCCCTCGCGCACAATGAATAAAAAAATGACCACAATTGAGATGAGGGCGGGTGGGCGGGGCTTATAATTAACCCATTATTGTGATTATTATTTTTTTATTCGTCGTGAGTCGGGGCGGAGCTTAGCAAAATCCTAATTTCTATTCAAGAAATTACTATGTGATACATGTTGTAAGTATCCTACTCTTGGAGGAAATTATACATTAAGAAATTGAAGGCAATGATAAAGCCCCGCCCACCCACCCATATCTCAGTTGTAATGAATTTTTCATTTGTTATCACATCGAGGGGCGGAGCTTAATAGCAAAATCGATATTTCCCTACAAAAAATTACCATTTTAAACGTGTTTTATATTAACTTTTTTTTCTTAATATACCTCGTCTTCTTTCCACGACAAGAAACTTAAAACATGTTTCAATGGTAAATTTTATGGATTTTATAATTAAACTCTGCCCCTCGATCTGACAACAAATGAAAAAGTCATCTCAATTGAAGTAGGGGTGGGTGGGCGGGGCTTATTTATTTGCTTTCTTTTCTAATATATTTAGTTTTTTTTTAAAGCACGATATTTAAAACATGTTTCACACGGTTATTTTTTTGTAGAGAAATCAAGATTTTGCCATTAAACTCCACCCCCGGCTCACAACGAATAAAAAAATAATCACAATTGAGATGAGGGCGGGTGGGCGGGGCCTATAATTAGCCCATAATTGTGATTATAATTTTTTTATTCGTCGTGAGCCGGGGGCGGAGCTTAACAAAATTCTAATTCCTATACAAGAAATTACTATGTGATACATGTTTTAAGTATCGTACTCTTGGAGAAAATTATACATTAAGAAATAGGAGGCAATGATTAAGCCCCGCCCACCCACCCATATCTCAGTTGTAATGAATTTTTCATTTGTTGTCACATCGAGGGGCGGAGCTTAATACAAAAAATTACCATTTTAAACGTGTTTTATGTTTACTTTTTTTTTTTTTTTTAATATACCTAGTCATCTTTTCACAACAAACTTAAAACATGTTTCAGTGGTAAATTTTATGGATTTTATGGTTAAACTTAGCCCCTCGATCTGACAACAAATGAAAAATTCAACTCAATTGAAGTAGGGGTGGGTGGGCGGGGCTTATTTATTTATTTGCTTATTTTTCTTATATATTTAGTTTTTTTTAAAGCACGATACTTAAAACATGTTTCACAGTTATTTTTTTTGTAGAGAAATAAAGATTTTGCCATTAAACTCCACCCCCGGCTCACAACGAATAAAAAAATAATCACGATTGAGATGAGGGCGGGTGGGCGGGGCCTATAATTAGCCCATAATTGTGATTATTATTTTTTTATTTGTCGTGAGCCGGAGGCGGAGCTTAGCAAAATCCTAATTTCTATTCAAGAAATTACTATGTGATACATGTTTTAAGTATCCTACTCTTGGAGGAAATTATACATTTAGAAATAGGAGGCAATGGTTAAGCCCCGCCCACCCACCCATATCTCAGTTGTAATGAATTTTTCATTTGTTGTCACATCGAGGGGCGGAGCTTAATAGTAAAATCGATATTTCCCTACAAAAAATTACCATTTTAAACGTGTTTTATGTTTACTTTTTTTTTCCTTAATATACCTAGTCATCTTTCCACGACAAGAAATTTAAAACATGTTTCAATGGTAAATTTTATGGATTTTATGATTAAACTCTGCCCCTCGATCTGACAACAAATGAAAAATTCATCACAACTGAAGTAGGGGTGGGTGGGCGGGGCTTATTTATTTGCTTATTTTTCTAATATATTCAGTTTTTTTTTAAAGCACGATACTTAAAACATGTTTCACACGGTTATTTTTTTGTAGAGAAATAAAGATTTTGCCGTTAAACTCCACCCCCGGCTCACAACGAATAAAAAAATAACCCAATTGAGATGGGGGCGGGTGGGCGGGGCTTATAATTAGCCTATAATTGTGATTATTATTTTTTTATTCGTCGTGAGTCGGGGCGGAGCTTAGCAAAATCCTAATTTCTATTCAAGAAATTACTATGTGATACATGTTTTAAGTATCGTATTCTTGGAGGAAATTATACATTAAGAAATTGGAGGCAATGATTAAGCCCCGCCCACCCACCCATATCTCAGTTGTAATGAATTTTTCATTTGTTGTCACATCGAGGGGCGGAGCTTAATAGCAAAATCGATATTTCCCTACAAAAAGTTACATTTTAAACGTATTTTATGTTTACTTTTTTTTTCTTAATATACCTAGTCATCTTTTCACAACAAGAAACTTAAAACATGTTTCAATGGTAAATTTTATGGATTTTATGATTAAACTCTGCCCCTCGATCTGACAACAAATGAAAAAGTCGTCTCAATTCAAGTAGGGGCGGGTGGGCGGGGCTTATTTATTTTCTTATATTTCTAATATATTTAGTTTTTTCCAAATCACGATACTTAAAACATGTTTCACACGGTAATTTTTTGTAGAGAAATAAAGATTTTGCAATTAAACTCCGTCCCCCGCGCACAATGAATAAAAAAATGACCACAATTGAGATGGGGGCGGGTGGGCGGGTTTTATATTTAACCCTTTATTGTGATAAATTTTTTTTATTCGTCGTGAGCAGGGGTGGAGCTGATCAAAATTCTAATTTCTATACAAAAAATCACCATGTGACACGTTTTAAGTATCGTATTTTTGGAAGAAATTATATATTAAGAAGAACAAAGCAATGATTAAGGCCCACCCACCCACCCCTATCTCGGTTGTGATGAATTTTTCCTTCATTGTCAGAGTGAGGGGCGGAGCCTAATTGCAAAGTCGATTTTCTCTACAAAAATTTAGCATTTTAAAGAAACACGGTTTAAGTATTTTAAGAAAAAAAGGCTAAATGTAACCCCGCCCATCCGCCATCTTCATTTTTTTGTTCGTCGTGAACCAGAGGCGGAGTTTACTTACAAAATTCTTGTTTTTCTTCAAGAAATTACCGTGCAGGTTAAAAAAAAAATTAATTACACTTATGACAATCGATTTTCACGATTATGTTCCTTTAGAGCACCAGCCAGCCGGCCCAGCCGCTGGGTCCAGGCCGAGAGCGCCACTCCATCTGGCAGGGTCTGCTCGAATGGATCGAAAAACCAAAAAACCCTACCGACCAGCAGAAAGTTACCAAACATGTCCCCTGTCAAGTTTCGGCCAACTCCAAAGATGGCGAGCCTGAATTGTAAGTGACTTAAGGGTGTTAAAACTTCGGATAAAAGTGAGTCATTAGGAAAGCGGACGGTTGGCCCTCGAAGCTTATCATGCAACTGATGCCCAAACAGCTCATCGGTAACATCGGCGGTGCCCACTTGAAAAATTCAAAGTCGGTTTTGTTCCACCCCCAGCCGTGCGAGGCTCTCGATTCTTTAACTAAAGTGATGAGTTCGGGATTCGTAAGTAGTAACAAAAGCGCCCTCTGGTGGTTAACTAGGTTTTGTAGGCTGGGTGCGTCCACTTCACCAGTGTTGCCAACCCTGCAGCCTGTGACATTAAGGTCCTAATTCTTCTATATACAGCCGAAAAACGGGCCTATTTGGGCTTCATACCCAACGATCAGGGGGCTTTCGTTGATAGGTTGCGCAAAGTCATCCAACAACAAAAGTCCACCCAGATCATGCGCCAGACTCAAGGTGGTGCTGGGCAGCCACTCAATCCTCAAACCTCTGGCGCTCTAGCCCAAATGGGAAATAGTCCCGTGACGTCACAAACAACCCAGCAGGGTTTGATGATGCAGACGAACACCATGGCGATAGGCGGCGGGCAGATGACCCAGAACGTGGTAACGTCGAGCGGGCAGCCGGGAATTCTGGGCCAGAACGTACCCGGTGGTGGAATGCCACCAAGGATACGAGTTCAGGTAAGTCACAAAAAATTGGTTGTCCCAACTAATTGAATCACTAGAACATGCAGCCCAGCATGGGCCCTCAGTCAAGCCAGGCGGGCCCTAACCAACCCAACATGGGCATGGGGATGATAGGCACGCCTGCGCAGAGAGCGCCCTTCGAGAACCAACTCCAAGTGGAGCGACAACAAAACCTCGAAAAAATCAACCAATTAAAACAAACCCTGGAGGCGGCGCAACAACAAGAACAACAATACAAGAGCCAGCTGGAGAAGATCAGTCACATGAAGACGTCGCAGCTGCAGGAGGCGCTCCAGATTTGCCAACAAACCGAAATGAAGTACAAAATTCTAGATGTAAGTAGTGGGTTTGGAGGTTAGATTGGTGGTAATTTGGGTTTGTAGCAGCAGCAAAGGATGGCCAATCAGGCTAACCAGCAAGCGGCGACTGCGCAGCAGCAGCAGAGGATGATGAGGCCCGTGATGGGAGGGAACAACCCAGGTTTGAGGCACTTGTTGCAGCAGGTAAGAGTACGTTGAGGAGAGTGTGGAGGTTAATGGGGGAGTTGCAGCAACCTCAGTACCGGCAGCAGTTGATGAACATGCAGCAGATGGCGGGGAGCGGACCGAGGCCACAGATGGCGCAGCAGATGCCCAATTCTGGGAATTCGCAACAGTCGGGATTTGATGAGGTTTCGTACGATTTTATGTAACGTTGGGTTTCATTGTTGGACGAGAATAAAGATTTTAGTATGAGGTTTCAACAGTTCTTACACTTCCCCTCGAGCATCCGTGAACGTCCACAGACTAAACCCGAAATGAAAAAATTGATCTAAAGAGTTTAGACAGTACTTTCCTTGTTTGAATAGATGTTTCACTACAACTCGTCGCCTGAGAACTTGTTTGATCTACAGACCAGAGCGCGCTTAGGCCAATGTCGACTCTAAGCGTTCAGAAGCGATTTGGTTGGTTTTTTATAACGACTAATAAGTGAATATTTTTGGTACATATTTAGATGATTTCGCATATTTTGTTAAACTAAGAATTAATTCTTTATTTGTGTCTTATACTAGCAAAACGTCTTAAACTAAGCATATTGTTGAAATCGTAATAACCGAATGGATTTTTTTCCGGGAAATGTTTTGCCAACACTATGTTCTATTTTGTATGAATTTTTATGTTTTTAGTGACAATTTTTGAAAAAATTTTGAAAAATCGAAACGTCGAAAAACTGGAAAATCGAAAAATCAAAAGATCAAGAAATCGTGAAGTCGAAAAGTCGAACAATTGAGAAACCGAAATAGACGAAAATCGAAAAATCGAAAAGTTAAAAATTGAACAATTTATAAATTGAGAAATTCACAATCAAAATCCGAATCTCGATAAATCGAGAAATAAAAAAACTTAAAAATTAGAAAAATTGAAAAATGAAAAACTGAATAATGGAAAAGTATTAAAATACCAAAACTGAAACGAAATATGTATCTAAAATTTGAAAAACCGAAAAATAAAATATCGAAAAATTGAGAAATCGAACATCAAAAAAAAAAAACGAAAAATCGGAACGAATTATCGGAAAATCGAAGAATCGGAATATTGAAAAATTCTAAAACAGAACGAAAAATCGAAAAACTGAATAATTAAAAACCTGAAAATTTTGAAGAATTGAAAAACTCAAAAATCGAGAATCGAAAAATAAAGAAATAGAAAAACTAAAAAATGGCAATATCTAAAAGTCGAAAAATCCAGAAATTAAAAAAGTTGAAAATCCGATTAATCGAAAAATCTAAAATTTAAAAAAGCCAAAAAATGAAAAATTGGAAAATCGTAAAACTGGACTATGTGAAAATTGGGAAATAGAAAAATAAAGAAATCGAAAAATCGAAAATTTCAAAAATCGAGAAACTGAAGTGAAAAATCGAGAAATCAAAAAAGTTGAAAAACCGAAAAAACTGATTAATCGAGAAATCGAAAAATCGAAAATTTGGAAATACCAAAAAATGAAAAATTGGAAAATCCATAAATCGGAAATTTCAAAAATCGCGAAACCGAAGAAGCGAAAAATTGAAGAATAACTGAAGAATGGAAAAATTAAAAAATCCCAAAACTGAAACGTCGAAATATTGGGACATCGAAAAATCGAAAATTTGGAAAAGCCAAAAAATGAAAAGTTGGAAAATCGCAAAACTGAACTATCTAAAAATTGGGAAATTGGGAAAATTTGAAAAATCGAGAAATTGAAGAAGCGAAAAATTGAATAATCGAGGAAAAATGAAAAATAAGAAATCGAGAAAACAAAATTAAAAAATTGAAAAATCTAAGATTTTTTTAAATCTTTGATTTTTTTTAAATTGTTTGATACTTTTTGATTTTTTAACCAAAAAATGAAATATCAAAAAATTGAAAAATCGTAACATCAAAAAAACGAAAAATCGAAACGAAATACCGAAAAATCGAAGAGTCGAAAAATCGTTAAGTTAAAAAAATCAAAAAACCATAAACTTGAAAAATTGAAAAATAAAGTCAGAAAATTGAAGAACTGAAAAACTGAAAAATCGAGAATCGAAAAATCGAGAAATTGAAAAAGCTGAAAAACCGAGGAACTAATTAATCATCAACTCGTAAAATCGAAAATTTAGAAATGTTAAAAAATGAAAAATCGTGGAACTGAACTATCGGAAAATTGAGAAATCGAAAAATTAAAAAATCGACAAATCGAGAAATTGAAGAAAGAAAAAATTGTCGAGAAATCGAAACAAAAAAAAAGAAAAATCGAAACGAAATACCGAAAAACCGAAGAATCGAAATGTTGACAAATCCAAAAACTGAAATATCAAAAATCGAAAAATCGTCAAGTCAAAAATATCGAAAAACCGAAAACTTAACAAAATGAAAAATGGAGAAATCGAAAAACCAAAACATCGAAAAATGTAAAAGTCGAAAAATCGAGAAATCAAGAAAGTTGAAAAACCAAAAACTGAAAATCGAGAAATCGAAAATTTGGAAATGGAGAGATTAAAAGAGCAAAAGAACGAGAAATCGAAAAGTGATGAAGTCGAAAAATAGAGAAATCGACAAACAAAAAGTTAAAAGTTGAAAATTGGAAAAGCGGAAAAATCAAAAAACAAAAAAATGGAAAACTGGAAAAACTGAGAAACCGAAATAGGCCAAAATAAAAATTGAAAAACTGATAAATCGAAAACCTGAACAATCAAATCTCGATAAATCGGGATTAAAAATTAACAAATTGAAAAATTGAAAAACAGAACATCTAAAATCAGGAAGTCGAAAAATCGAAAGATAAGAAATATTGAAAAATTAAAATAACAAAAGATTGAAAAATCTAAAATTTAAGAATCCAAAAATTGAAAAATCGAAAAAGTAATAAGGTAGACACATCGAAAAATCCAGAAGCCAAAAATAGAAAAGCCAAGAATTGAACAATCCAAAAACTGAAAAATTGAAAAATCAAAAAAGTGAAGTCGAAAAACAGGAACCTTAAAAATCGAAAAATTGAAAAATCAAAAACCTGAAAAACAAAAAAATTAAAGAATTGAAGAACAGGAAAATTGAAACACTTGGAAGGTCAAGAAATGGGAAAATAAAAAAATCGATTAATTGAAAAATGGAAAAATTGAGAGTTTATACAAGTCAAATTTGAAAAATTACAAAATCGAAAATTTGACAAAATGACAATTGAAAAACGGAAAATCTAAAACCGGGAAGTCGAAAAATCAAAAGACTAAGAAATCGAAACATTTGAAAAATTCGAAAACTTGTAAAAATTGAAATTTCGAAGAACTGAAATGAAAAATCGAGAAATCGAAAAATCTAAGATTTTAAAAATTAAAAAATCTAAAATTTAAAAATCGAAAAAGTAAAAAAACCGACACATCGAAAAATCCAGAAGTCAAAAATCGAAAAGTCGAAGAATCGAAATATTGAAAAATCTCAAAACTGAAATATCGAAAAACTGAAAATTGAAAGAAAAACTAAAAATGGGGAACTAAATCAAAACAATGAAAAATCGAAAATTTTAAAACGACAATTGAAAACAGAAAATGTAAAACCGGGAAGTCGAAAAATCAAAAGATTAATAAGAAATAGAAACATTTGATAAATTCGAAAACTTGGAAAAATTGAAATATCGAAGAACTGAAATGAAAAATCAAGAAATCGAAAAATCAAAAATTTTGAAAATTAAAAAATCGAAAAAGTAAAAAACCGACACATCGCAAAATACAGGAGTCAAAAATCGAAATATTGAAAAATCCCAAAACTGGAAATTGAAAGAAAAACTAAAAATGCGGAACTAAATCGGGAAATCAAAACAATGAAAAATCGAAAAATTTAAAACGACAATTGAAAACAGAAATCTAAAACCGGGAAGTCGAAAAATTAAAGAATTGAAGAACAAGAATATCGAAACCCTCGAAAGTCCAGAAATGGGAAAATTAAAACATCGATTAATAATTGAAAAATTGAAAAATCGAAAATTTGAAAAAACGACAATTGAAAAACAGAAAATCTAAAACCGGGAAGTCGAAAAATCGATTGATTAAGAAATCAAAACATTCGAAAAATTCGAAAACTTGAAAAACGAAATATCGAACTGAAATGAAAAATCGAGAAATCGGAAAATCTAAAATTTTAAATATTGAAAAATTAAGATATCAAAAAACTGAAAAATCTAAAAATTGAAAAACAGAAAATTTAAAATCGGGAAGTCGAAAAATCGAAAGATTAAGTAATGGAAAAATTGAAAAGTCGAAGAATCAAATAGAAAAATCCCAAAACTGAAATATCAAAAAACTGAAAAATGGAAAACCTGAAAAATCCGAAAACAGAACCTAAAAAGTCGAAAAATTGAGCAATAGAAAAATCCAAAAAGTGAAGTCGAAAAATTGAAACCTTAAAAAAATTAAAAAATCAAAAACCTGAAAAATCGAAAAATTAAAGAATTGAAGAACAGGAATATCGAAACCCTCGAAAGTGAAGAAATGGGAAAATCAAAACATCGATTAATTGAAAAATCGAGAAATTGAGAGTTTATAAAAGTCAAATTTGAAAAATTAAAAAATCGAAAATTTGACAAAAGACAATTGAAAAACAGAAAATCTAAAACCGGGAAGTCGAAAAATCGAAAGATTTTTTTGCAGATTCAAAATTAAATCTCAAAATGTTTCGTAATTTTGATTTTTTTTCCAAAAATCTGGACGTTTCGGATAAAATCTCAATTCAGAGTCATAAACTACATGTGTAAGACTATGTTATTTGATACAATTTAAAACCCATTTACTACGTACAATTTTGAAGTTACGTCATCACATTAGTGGGCGGATGATTCGACAAACGGGAGACCTATTTCTTCGTCCTCTAGGGGTCATGATAGTTCAAGAAAATGCAAAAATAGAGTCGGAAAGTAAAAAAACACAGTTTGCTTATTGACATTTCTTTGAAATAATACAACAAGTACAATTATTCATAATGTGAACTAAACATACCATGTATTAACAGATTAATAAAATATATACAAATATAATTTGATACATAAAATGAGTAATTGTACATAAAATATATTGTAAAAAATAATGGTAAACACACTTAGGTATCACAAATAATATCTACTACATAAACACGAACAAAAACAACAAAAGTGTGTAAGAAACGAAAGCGTCTGGGAAGACTGCCGTAACGACGGTCGGGGTTTCCCAAACCCAGTTGTACATTGAAGGACACAACTAATGTTACATTAATAACAGGTAACTACGCCTGAACCGGACATTATTACTCTTTAGGCAGTCACAATTGATATGAGACATTGGTGTTCCAGGGTATGGCCCCTCAATTCTAAAGGTACCAATAAGAAAACAGTCAGTACACCCACATTGACATAACCAACTGAACAGTATATACAGGCAAACCATGTTATATACAGACTAAATATGGCTGTTGAAACATACTTCTAAAGTGGTGCCAGTCTGTCTTACTATCACAGAACGTGTATAATACTTTACAAAAAAAACCCTATGGTGAAAATCCCAAAATCCTACTCTCGGACAGTGCTCTAAAAAACTATATACACGTAAATACATCCAAAGGTAGTAAATGGTGTTACGTTGGGACATTAACACTCTCTCTGATACTAAGTCGAGCTCTTCCGCTCCGTGCTCGACGGTTGGCCCTCGAAGCTTATAATGCAACCGATGCCCAAACAGCTCATCGGCAACATCGGCGGTGCCCACTTAAAAAATTCGAAGTCGGTTTTGTTCCACCCCCAGCCGTGTGAAGCTCTCGATTCTTTAACCAAAGTGATGAGTTCGAGATTCGTAAGTAGTAACAAAAGCGCCCTCTTGTGGCTAAGTAGGTTTTGTAGGCCGGGTGTGTCCACTTCACCAGTGTTGCCAACCCTGCAGCGTGTGACATTAAGGTCATAATTCTCCTGTACACAGCCGAGAAACGGGCCCTATTTGGGCTTCATACCCAACGATCAGGGGGCTTTCGTTGATAGGTTGCGCAAAGTCATCCAACAACAAAAGTCCACCCAGATCATGCGCCAGACTCAAGGTGGTGCAGGACAGCCACTCAATCCTCAAACCTCTGGCGCTCTAGCCCAAATGGGAAATAGTCCCGTGACGTCACAAACAACCCAGCAGGGTTTGATGATGCAGACGAACACCATGGCGATAGGCGGCGGGCAGATGACCCAGAACGTGGTAACGTCCAGCGGGCAGCCGGGAATTCTGGGCCAGAACGTACCCGGTGGTGGAATGCCACCAAGGATACGAGTTCAGGTAAGTCAAAAAAAATTGGTTGTTCCAACTAATTGAATCACTAGAACATGCAGCCCAGCATGGGCCCTCAGTCAAGCCAGGCGGGCCCTAACCAACCCAACATGGGCATGGGGATGATAGGCACGCCTGCGCAGAGAGCGCCCTTCGAGAACCAACTCAAGTCGAGCGACAACAAAACTTCGAAAAAATCAACCAACTAAAACAAACTCTGGAGGCGGCGCAACAACAAGAACAACAATACAAGAGTCAGTTGGAGAAAATCAGCCACATGAAGACGTCGCAGCTGCAGGAGGCGCTCCAGATTTGCCAACAAACCGAAATGAAGTACAAAATTCTGCAGATGGCGGGGAGCGGGCCGAGGCCACAGATGGCGCAGTAGAAACCCAATTCTGGGAACTCGCAACAGTCGGGATTTGATGAGGTTTCGTACGATTTTATGTAACGTTGGGTTTTATTGTTGGACGAAAATAAAGATTTTAGTATGAGGTTTCAACAGTTCTTACACTTCCCCTCGAGCATCCATGAACGTCCACAGACTAAACCCGAAATGAAAAAATTGTTCTAAAGAGTTTAGACAGTATTTTCCTTGTTTGAATAGATGTTTCACTACAACTCGTCGCCTGAGAACTTGTTTGATCTACAGACCAGAGCGCGCTCAGGCCAATATCGACTCTAAGCGTTCAGACGCGATTTGGTTGGTTTTTTATAACGACTAAGTGAATATTTTTGGTACATATTTAGATGATTTCACATATTTGGTTTAACTAAGAATTAATTCTTTATTTGTGTTTTATACTAGCAAAACGTCTTAAACTAAGAATATTGCTGAAATCGTAATAACCCAATGGATTTTTTTCGGGAAAATGTTTTGGAAGCACTGTGTTCTATTTTGTATGAATTTTTTAATGTTTTTAGTGACAATTTTTGTGGTTGTTTTCGATACACTGTATGGTATTAACAGTGAGAAAAAAAATGAAAACTTAAAATTGAAAAATCGAGAAATCTAATAATCGAAAAATCGAAACATTGAAAAATCGGGGCATCGAAAAACTGGAAAATCGAAAAATCAAAAGATCAAGAAATCGTGAAGTCTAAAAGTCGAACAATTGAGAAACCGAAATAGGCGAAAATCGAAAAATCGAAAAGGTAAAAATTGAACAATTTATAAATTGAGAAATTGACAATCAAAATCCGAATCTCGATAAATCGAGAAATCAAAAAAATTGAGAAATCGAAAAATTGAAAAATCGAGTAAACGAAAAATCTAAAATTTGAAAAATCGAAAAATAAAATATCAAAAAATTGAGAAATCGAACATCAAAAAAAAAACGAAAAATCGGAACGAATTATCGGAAAATCGAAGAATCGGAATATTGAAAAATTCTAAAACTGAGAACGAAAAGTCGAAAAATCATCAAGTCGAAAAACTGAAAATCAAAAACCTGAAAATTTTTAAAATTGCAGAATTGAAAAACTCAAAAATCGAGAATCGAAAAATAAAGAAATAGAAAAACTGAAAAATGGAAATATCTAAAAGTCGAAAAATCTAAAATTTAAAAATGTCAAAAAATGAAAAATTGGAAAATCGTAAAACTAGACTATCTAAAAATTGGGAAATAGAAAAATAAAGAAATCGAAAATTTGAAAAATCGAGAAACTGGAGTGAAAAATGGAAAAATCGAAAATTTGGAAATGTCAAAAAATGAAAAATTGAAGAATAACTGAAGAATGGAAAAATTAAAAAATCCCAAAACTGAAACGTGGAAATATTGAGACATCGAAAAATCGAAAATTTGGAAAGTCCAAAAAATGAAAAGTTGGAAAATCGCAAAACTGAACTGTCTAATTCTAAAAATTTGAAAAATCGAGAAATTGAAGAGAAAAATTGAATAATCGAGGAAAAATGAAAAATTTCAAATCTGAAATGGCGAGAAATTAAGAAATCGAAAAATCAAAATTAAAACATTGAAAAATCTAAGATTTTTTTTAAATTGTTTGATATTTCACTTTTTGATTTTTTAACCAAAAAGTGAAATGTCAAAAAATTGAAAAACAAAAAAACGAAAAATCGAAACGAAAAACCGAAAAATCGAAGAGTCGAAATATATATTGAAAAGTTCCAAATCTGAAATATCTAAAAGTCAAAAAATCGTTGAGTTAAAAAAATCAAAATACCATAAACTTGAAAAACTGAAAAATCAAAAATCTGAAAATTGAAGAACTGAAAAATCGAGAATCGAAAAATGGAGACATCGAGAAACCAAAGAATCGAAAGATCTAAAAGTCGAAAAATCGGGAAATCGTAAAAGTTGAAAACCGAAAAACTAATTAATCAACAACTCGAAAAATCGAAAATTTAGGAATGTCAAAAATAAAAAATCGTGGAACTGAACTATCGGAAAATTGAGAAATCGAAAAATTAAAAAATCGACAATTCGAAAATTTGAAAAATCGAGAAATTGAAGAAGGGAAAAATTATCGAGAAATCAAGAAAGTTGAAAAACCAAAAAACTGAAATCGAGAAATCGAAAATTTGGAAATGGAGAGATTAAAAGATCAAAAGAACGAGTAATCGAAAAGTGATGAAGGCGAAAAATCGAAAAATAATGAAATCGACAAAGAAGAAGTTAAAAGTTGAAAATTGGAAAAGCGGAAAAATCAAAAAACAAAAAAATGGAAAACTGGAAAAACTGAGAAACCGAAATAGGCCAAAATAAAAATTGAAAAACTGATAAATCGAAAACCTGAACAATCAAATCTCGATAAATCGGGAATGAAAAATTAACAAATTGAAAAATTGTAAAACAGAACATCTAAAATCAGGAAGTCGAAAAATCGAAAGATAAGAAATATTGAAAAATTAAAATAACAAAAGATTGAAAAATCTAAAATTTAAGAATCCAAAAATTGAAAAATCGAAAAAGTAATAAGGTAGACACATCGAAAAATCCAGAAGCCAAAAATAGAAAAGCCAAGAATTGAACAATCCAAAAACTGAAAAATTGAAAAATCAAAAAAGTGAAGTCAAAAATAGAAACCTTAAAAATCGAAAAATTGAAAAATCGAAAACCCGAAAAATAAAAATATTAAATTGAAGAACAGGAAAATCGAAACACTCGAAGGTCAAGAAATGGGAAAAGTAAAACATAAAAGTCAAATTTGAAAAATCAGAAAATCGAAAATTTGACAAAATGACAATTGAAAAACAGAAAATCTAAAACCGGGAAGTCGAAAAATCAAAAGACTAAGAAATCGAAACATTTGAAAAATTCGAAAACTTGGAAAAATTGAAATATCGAAGAACTGAAATGAAAAATCGTGAAATCGAAAAATCTAAAATTTTAAAAATTAAAAAATCTAAAATTTAAAAATCGAAAAAGTGAAAAAACCGACACATCGAAAAATCCAGGAGTCAAAAATCGAAAAGTCGAAGAACCGAAATATTGAAAAATCCCAAAACTGAAATATCGAAAAACTGAAAATTGAAAGAAAAACTAAAAATGGGGAACTAAATCAGGAAATCAAAACATTGAAAAATCGAAAAATTTAAAACGACAACTGAAAACAGAAAATCTAAAACCGGGAAGTCGAAAAATCGAAAGATTAAGCAATCGAAAAATTGAAAAATCCAAAAAAGTAAAAAAACCGATACATCGAAAACTCCAGAAGCCGAAAATCGAAAAGTCGAAGAATCGAAATATTGAAAAATCCCAAAACTGAAATATCGAAAAACTGAAAAATGAAAGAAAAACTGCAAAATCACAAAACTGAAATTTCCAAAAACTGAGAACCTAAAGAATCGAAAAATTGAGAAATCGAAAAAGTTGAAACGAAAAACTGAAAAAAACAAATAAAAAAAGTAAAATATCCAGACATCGAAAAATTGGAAAGTTCATAAATTGAGAGATCGAAATATTGAAAACCCCCAAAACTTAAATATCGCGAAATTGAAAAATTGAAAAATCGTAAACTTAAAAACTGAATAACTGAAAAATCAAGAAATCGAGAAGTTGAGAATTCGAAACGTTGAAAAACCAAAACATTAATTAATCGAGAAATAACAGCGAAAAACGAAAATTTATGCTGGTCAAAAATTGAAAAATCATGAAATTTAAAAGTTGAAAAATTGAAGAATCGAAAAACTAAAACATCGGAAAATTGAGAAATCGAAAATGACAAATTAGATAAATCAAAAATTAAAAAAATGTCAAATGAAAGATCGGTAAAATGAGAAATTGAAAAGTCGAAAAATCGAAAATTTAAAAAATCAAAAACCTGAAAAATTGAAGAATTGAAAAACTGAAAAATCGAGAAACCAAGAAGTCGGGAAATCAAAAAATCGAAGAACCAAAAAATCGATTCACTGAGAAACGAAAAAATGAAAATTTAAGAACGTCAAAAATTGAAAAATGAAAAGATAAAAAAAGACGAAACCAAAATTTGAAGAATCGAAAAATTGGAAAATCCCAACACTGAAATATGGAAAAATTAAAGAAAAATTGAGAAATTGAAAAACTGGAGGATGAAAAATCGAGACATCCAAAAGCTGAAAAATCGAAGTCGAGAAATAGAAAATTTAGGAACGTCAGAAATATTGAAAAATCCCAAAACTGAAATACTGAAAAACTGAAAGTTGAAAGAAAAACAAAAAATGGGGAACTAAATCGGAAAATCAAAACATTTAAAAAACGAAAAATTTAAAATGACTATTGAAAACAGAAAATTTAAAACCGGGAAGTCGAAAAATCGAAAAAGTAAAAAAATCGACACATCGAAAACTTCAGAAGCCAAAAATCGAAAGTCGAAGAATCGAAAAATCCCAAAACTGAAATATCTAAAAACTGAGAACCTAAAAAGTCGAAAAATTGAGCAATCGAAAAATCGAAACCTTAAAAAAACTAAAAAATGAAAAAATTAAAGACGGGCGTATTTTCCAGAAAATGGGGTGGCTCGTTCATACATTTTTTTGAGTCACCCTGTATATGCAAATCCAAAAAATATGAATGGAATGATAGATCACAAGAAGAGAGTCATCATATTTTATACAATTTAGATAGATTTATTCAGCAAAATTTTGAGGTGACGTCATCAATTTTTTGTAGGGGACAAGTAAATATATTATGAATAAAAACTTATGCTTATCATAACTGTAAAGCATTCGGTTTTGCAGATTCCAAATTAAATGTCAAAATGTTTCCTAATTTTGATTTTTTTCCAAAAATCTGGGCGTTTCGGGTAAAATCTCAATTCGGAGTGACGTCATCACATTAGTGGGGGGGATGATTAGACAAACGGGAGACCTATTTCTTCGTCCTCTAGCGGTCATGATAGGCTGCTTACGCTCGGAAAGTAAAAAAACAGTTTGCTTATTGACATTTCTTTGAAATAATACAACAAGTACAATTATTCATAATGTGAACTAAACATACCATGTATTAACAGATTAATAAAATATATACAAATATAATTTGATACATAAAATGAGTAATTGTACATAAAATATATTGTAAAAAATAATGGTAAACACACTTAGGTATCACAAATAATATCTACTACATAAACACGAACAAAAACAACAAAAGTGTGTAAGAAACGAAAGCGTCTGGGAAGACTGCCGTAACGACGGTCGGGGTTTCCCAAACCCAGTTGTACATTGAAGGACACAACTAATGTTACATTAATAACAGGTAACTACGCCTGAACCGGACATTATTACTCTTTAGGCAGTCACAATTGATATGAGACATTGGTGTTCCAGGGTATGGTCCCTCAATTCTAAAGGTACCAATAAGAAAACAGTCAGTACACCCACATTGACATAACCAACTGAACAGTATATACAAGCAAACCATGTTATATACAGACTAAATATGGCTGTTGAAACATACTTCTAAAGTGGTGCCAGTCTGTCTTACTATCACAGAACGTGTATAATACTTTACAAAAAAAAACCCTATGGTGAAAATCCCAAAATCCTACTCTCGGACAGTGCTCTAAAAAACTATATACACGTAAATACATCCAAAGGTAGTAAATGGTGTTACGTTGGGACATTAACACTCTCTCGAAAAATACTAAGTCGAGCTCTTCCGCTCCGTGCTCGTCTGTCGCAGCAGCATCCTCCCGCTGTCCAAGCTCTGCCTGTGCAAGCTCAAGCGCGCGTTCTCTTGTACTAAATCAGGATCGGAATTGTTTAAGTGTAAAGCTTTACAGAGGCCGTGACGCAACGACGTGGAAATTTTCGACAGCGAGCCGCTCTGTCAGGGCAAGATCTCGACGTAGTTCTCCGGTATGAGCCCGGTCTTCCCGTTCAGCGTGCCCTCCAGCCAGCCCGGCTCCTGCGAGCTCTTCACTGCAAACAAACGGTTACGAAAACGGCGCAGTCGCTGGGATACGATACGTACCGTTCGTGATTATCTGATTCGGCTCGAACGACAACTCTCCGTCGTGCTCGCCCAAACATGCATACAACGTTCGCACTCTCCTAGAAGGGGCAAAATAAAACGCGTTAATTCAGAGGAAGGTTTATTTACAATAGTACAATGACATGCAACAGAGGATTAGCGATCACACGTTTATGTACAGGCGGTTTTCCAGCCAGAGAGACGGATTAGCGGCTGGTTAAGTCACTCACCGGGACATACATGCGATTAACACAAAAACTAAACAACGGAAAGGAAATAGGCGCTCGCCGGGCTAGTCCAACGCCGGAATCTACAAACTACCCGAACTAGGGTTTGTTTTTTCTAACAAAAACGTTCTTCAAGTGTGGTCTGTGCAAAAAAAGAGACAATTAGTACAGTCATGCGGATGGACATGCGAGACATTGATTAAATACATATAGATAGACCCATGCTAGTGTTTGGAGCGAACAGGCCAACGGCCGGCGAACAAGAGATGGCGCACCAACAGTCGGCCGTCAAACGCCGGCGAAAAGCTTGGACACCAATCGCGCGCGTAGATAACCCAAATCACAGCAACAATACATTTAATAAAGCTACCACTCGACAGAGGGCGACGAAAAAAATGTGTAAAAATCTCATAGTAAGCATTTATATAATTTACAACGTTGCCAGATGAGCCTAACACAACTTTGCCGTTATTTTTAGTCGATTAGATTTTATTTCGTTTAAAAGTTTCTGGTGAATAAATGGAATTATTATAATGAATAAACAATACAAACAAATTATTACTTGTTATTTTAAATATTTGTTAGTGTTGATGAAAACATAAATGGTAATTAAAGTTATTCTAAATACGGTCCGGTCCGGTAGCTCAAATTTTACAGTACGAGTGATATGTTTCAGGACGAGTAGGTAGCCGAGTCTTTAATTTCGAAACGAGTACTGCGAAAAGAGTTACCGGACGTATATTGTTATGTATTTTATTTCATACTGTCAACATACTTTTTTATTCGATAATATTATTATTATTTTGAGAAAAAATCCAAATCGAGTCACTTTTTCTGACATCGTTAGCAACCGCTCTTTGGTAAATGTTTTAATTTGTTTATTCGTACAAATCAGCATCATATGTTTAAACACATAGTACTTAAGTATAACACTTTACAGGACTTATTGTTTTGTATAATCCGACTCGATGGACGAATGTTTTGTGCTATCCGTCTCGAAGGACCAATGTTTGTGCAACTCGGCTCGTCCTACCAGTATTTTTTGTAATCTGGTTGATACGACAATGTGATACCGAATTGTACTTTGATATTGCTCCAAGGACCTTTGTTTTCTTGCGTGCGAGATAATAGACAGGGTTCGGTTTCGATGTTTAATACAGGACGGTTACAGAAGTACTAAATTTACATTTGTATTTACAATAACAGGTAAAGCAAAAGAGACCCAAAAGGGTCAGTGGCCGCTTCCGGAAATGGAACACTTGTCCTTTTTGGCTCAATTTTATCGGACTTGTCCGTTTTTTTGATTTTACCGGAATCGTTCGATCCAGTAAAACGTCAAACTTGACATAGTATGAAGTAAAATAAATAAATTGTATGATGTAAATACAATTTTTCCAATTTCCACTAATAAAATCCTCATTTTGTATGTTAAATCTCGCTATTAAAACAATAGTTTAATCGAAAGGATGAATAAAATGTTTATAGTGCAACACTTTATTCACACTGTTATTGACAACACTAATAAAGTAAAAAAACTAAAAATTCGCACTACCACTGAAATTTTCGTTGGTATGGATGTGTGGATATTTAACTAAAATTTGTAATGTTTGATAGTCCACCTCCTGTAAAACAATCCTAATGAAAGTCTAGGAGCATCGTTTGAATTTGACCGTGACGAAAGTACAGGCAGTTTAGGCAATTTACCTTCTTCAAATGTTCATGATATTGGTAATATAATTAATATTTTTATGTATATGGATTACCTCAACAATACATTTTTTGAACAATTTTGCGAAATTGGAAAAAATCTTGTATGATACACGTGAATAAACGAATTTTATCCACTCAAAAACATTATCACACTCAGCTTCGCCTCGTGTGCTAAACTGTTTTTTCGGTGGATAAAATTCACTTTTATTCACTTATGCCATAAATAGCTATAAGTATATCGATAATTCGCTACTGAAAATTTATTGAAATATAATTTGTGTTAAAAAAAGATTTTTGTGATTTTATGGTTTATTAACATAATTTACTTATTTGAAATTAAATATTTTTAATACATAGCACAAGTTCTTGATATTCTTTATTTTTATTCCAAGTAATAATTGTGTTTCCTTTAGTTTTAATCAAAAAAATTTTTCGGTTATTATCTAACATACTTTTGTACATTAAGAAACTCCATTCCACGTCGCAGGACGTTACAGGACAATATTTAAATAAATAAAGAAGTCGTTTTATGTGTTTTAAAATTCACTCTGATTTCCGGACTTTAGACTTTTTGGTGTTTCACTTCCGCAAAAGAACTAGTCGTATCTCAAAGAAAACAAACAGTGGAATATAGCGTATTGTACCTATATTTCATAGTAAAAATGTCTAATTTTTTTTATGAAGAGACAGATTGTTCTAGGAAACTTTACTAAATCTTTTCATTTACGAGCTATTGAAAGACCGCCGGTCTCACTGATGCTTCTTACTTGGCTCCTACGAATGAAGCGAAAAATGCACAGATTGAAAATATAGTAAATGGGGTAGTATGTATGCGTGATATGTCGTTAGACATTAAGTATTTTGCAAATAAAATTTATTTCATTGAAAACAGAAACATTAAAAAACATATCTGTACAAGTTTGGAATCGATATGGCCAGTTGTTTAGAGTATGCAAATATGCTTTTGTTCGTATTTACAATTATTACGAAACAGGTTATCAAATAATCTATTTTCACATGGCGAGACTTTCAAGCGGCCGAAGAGTTAAAAACCATAAATTTTCATTGAAGAAACAAACTCTTCCAAGAAAATTTACCAAATCTTTTAGTTTACGCACTATTTGACGAGCACTCCTTAAAACGGTCAGTATACCTAATCGCATTATTCCATTGATACCTACCTACCGAAAACGTTGCCAGATGAGCCTAACACAAATTTGCGGATATTTCTTGTCAACCAGATATTATTTCATTTAGAAGTTTCTGGTAAATAAATGGGATTATTATAATGAACACATAAAACAAATAAATTGTGATTATTATTTGTTGTTTTAATCCATTAGACGCTTATAGGCTTATAAGCATACTTTTCTTGAAAAATCGGTAATAAATTCAGTGAAACATCTTTGTGCCTTAATTCCTATTGGTAAACTGGGATTTTGAATACAGGTCGCAGGAACATTTTGTATGGTTTTATGGTTTATTTACATAATTTTCTTATTTACAATGAATGTTTTTAATATATAATACAAGTTCTTGATAGTATTTATTTTAATTACATTTAATAAACCATAAAACCACAAAAATCTTTTTTTAACACAAATTATATTTCAATAAATTTTCAGTAGCGAATTATCGATATACTTAATTGTATTTACATCATAATAGATATTTATTTTATTAGGAGTTTAAGTGATACTTTATGTGTCGAGTATGGACGATTAAACGCCGAGCGATAGCGAGGCGAATTAAGTCCATACGAGTCACATGAAGTCACTTAAACTCCGAATGAAATACAATATTTTATTTTCAAACGATTAATCTTCTTTTGAAATGATTATTTCCTATCTTCTTGCTTCAATAAGGAATTACCTTGATTTCATTTACCATGGTTACTATGGTTGACAACCACTATGATTTTCACATATTTATACTCCGGCGGAGTATAAATGTTTTATTTATACGCCGGCGGAGTATAAGTAGTACTTATACGCCGCTCAAACACGGTGTCATAGAAATGACACTTAAACCCCGGTAAGAGCGTCATATAAGTGTCAGTTATATGACGTTTGAAAATAAAATTTATTTATTTTACTTCATACTTTCATACTATGTCAAGTTTGACGTTTTACTGGATTCGAACGAGTCCGGTAAAATCAAAAAAACGGACAAGTCCGATAAAATTGAGCCAAAAAGGACAAGTGTTCCATTTCCGGAAGCAGCCACTGACCCTTTTGGGTCTCTTTTGCTTTACCTGTTATTGTAAATACAAATGTAAATTTAGTACTTCTGTAACCGTCCTGTATTAAACATCGAAACCGAACGCTGTCTATTATCTCGCACGCAAGAAAACAAAGGTCCTTGGAGCAATATCAAAGTACAATTCGGTATCACATTGTCGTATCAACCAGATTACAAAAAATACTGGTAGGACGAGCCGAGTTGCACAAACATTGGTCCTTCGAGACGGATTGCACAAAACATTCGTCCATCGAGTCGGATTATACAAAACAATAAGTCCTGTAAAGTGTTATAAGTACTATGTGTTTAAACATATGATGCTGATTTGCACGAATAAACAAATTAAAACATTTACCAAAGAGCGGTTGCTAACGATGTCAGAAAAAGTGACTCGATTTGGATTTTTTCTCAAAATAATAATAATTTTATCGAATAAAAAACTATGTTGACAGTATGAAATAAAATACATAACAACATACGTCCGGTAACTCTTTTCGCAGTACTCGTTTCGAAATTAAAGACTCGGCTACCTACTCGTCCTGAAACATACCACTCGTACTGTAAAATTTGAGCTACCGGACCGGACCGTATTTAGAATAACTTTAATTACCATTTATGTTTTCATCAACACTAACAAGTATTTAAAATAACAAGTAATAATTTGTTTGTATTGTTTATTCATTATAATAATTCCATTTATTCACCAGAAACTTTTAAACGAAATAAAATCTAATCGACTAGAAATAACGGCAAAGTTGTGTTAGGCTCATCTGGCAACGTTGTAAATTATATAAATGTTTACTATGAGATTTTTACACATTTTTTTCGTCGCCCTCTGTCGAGTGGTAGCTTTATTAAATGTATTGTTGCTGTGATTTGGGTTATCTACGCGCGCGATTGGTGTCCAAGCTTTTCGCCGGCGTTTGACGGCCGACTGTTGGTGCGCCATCTCTTGTTCGCCGGCCGTTGGCCTGTTCGCTCCAAACAATAGCATGGGTCTATCTATATGTATTTGATCAATGTGCGAGATAAGCGAAAGCACACGAAAAAGATCTTACCGAACCCTGGTCAAAGAAGGACTAGATCTCCCAGAAGCTGTAGTTAGATAATTAGTTTCTTTACGCAGCTGTGTGCTGATTGGATGAAGAAAGTGTTAGTAGTACCCGAGTGCACGTAATGCGACCATCACCATTATTCACAGATACTTACACATCGCCCGGCGACCTGTAGCTCTTCGGGTAAGCCATGTAGATGCTCGATCTTTCGCTCTTCTTCGGAGTTGTCACGTAGTTAGTACCGTCTCTGGACGTCGACGACACCGACTCATTCGAACTGCTGGTACTATTAGGTACTGAAACTTTATTACCAACCATAAGAAACTAAACCCGATTAGACAAAAACTACTGATTAGTTGCAAGCTTTAGTCAAGCGTTGCCACCAAACGGAAAACCCGACTCGAGAAGTACTCAAGCCGAACTCCCCCAAGTCATTTAAAAAAGCCTTAATGCTTACTAATGCGGTTGAAAGGTCTGATGTACGTAGGACTGTGACTAGGTAAGTTTGGAATATTACTTTCAGACTGTGAAGACACTGTAGGCATAAACCGTTGCATCGCCTTCTGATGCATTATAGGCTGACAAATAGGAACGACTTCGCTTTTACTCATCAAGTTGGCGTAGCCTCCGTTGGGTTCGTGGACGCTGTACATACTCGCAGACACCGGCTCCTCGTAGTACGCTTTAACAGTCTAAAATGACACGGTTAGAGCGGTTCGGACCACCCGTTCAACTTACGCAAGTCATCTGTGGACGGTACGGCGGCGCCACGTGATTGGAATGATTCGAGTTGTAGCTTCTGGCATACACCACGTCACTGCTTTCGTAGTTCGTGGGGTGCTCGATGTGCTTGTAGCTGTTCCTCGGAGGGGTATTATTCTCAACCGGAAGCGTCTTATCGGGCTCGCTATTGAAGATCTTGTCGTAGTTTTCGATGAGGATCTCGACCACGATGTTGTAGAACTTCAAGTCCATGATGGAGGCCACAGTTTCTTCTTCGGGGCGGAGGAGAGTAGGCCCGAAGCACACACCCAGGTTGCTCACCGTCATCAGGTTTTTGTCGGACTTGCCGGCCACACTATCAACAAAGTAGTACTAGTAGTACTAGTAGTAGCATTGTTTAAGTGTATTATAGTTGGACAACCTAATACAAATTTTACTTCGCCTAAATAGTGAGCTTTAGAAAAGGAATCCATCAAACATTAGCAAAGGCAAACACCCTTCACTCTGCTCTTATACGAGGAGTTATCCATAAATCCATAATTAACATTGTTCCGTAAACAGTAATGTGTATAAACATATATGTACAAAATATGAAAATATACTTGACATAAAAAATATGAAGCAACGCGTTGTAACGTGATACGAAAGAATTGTATTTAAATGAATTTGACGCCTATTTTTATTTGACTATATCTGAAGACTGACAGAAACTTTCCAAGGGTTTTTAAACTGGTATAATTGTTTAGTTTTACAAGATTAAAATAAAATTTAGATTCGTGGTGTTACAAAAATATTAACACAAAATGAAAATATATGTTCAAAGTAAATAACAGAATGACATAAACTTTCGGCGTTAACAATACAAATAATTACAAGAGAGAAAAAAACGCATTAAGAACTTAAGAATTTTTTAATTTCTCAATTTTCTGAATATTTCTTTCAGTTATGAGATTTTTCAATATTTCAATTTTTAGACTTTTCGATTTTTGAATTGATGGATTTTTTTTGATTTCTCGCTTTTTTACTTTGTGGATTTTCAATTTATTGTAAACTTTAGATTTTTCAATTCTGCGACTGTTTAATGCTTCGATTTCTCAATTTTTAAACTTTACGATGTTTTAATATTTCACTTTTTAAAATTCTAGGTTTTTCGATATCTCGAGTTTTCAGTTCTATATTTCAATTTTTCAATTTTTCGATTTTTTGAATTTTAATTTTTGATTTTCCAGTTTTTCTTTTTTAAAATTTTTCGATTATTCAATTTTTTAATTTCTCAATTTAGCGAATTCAAATGTTTCGTTGTTTTGATTGTTCAATTTCTCAATTTTTCAATTTTTAACTTTCCTTTTCGGCTTCCAACTCCTCAATTTCTCGATCCTCCGATTTTTCGATTTCTCAAAGTCTCAGTTTTTGGATTTCTCGGTTTTTCGATTTTTTTCTTTTGAGCTTTTCAATTTCTGGATTTTCCAATTTTTCAATGCCCCGATTTTTCAATTTTTCAAATTGAATTGGATTTCTCGATTCTTCAATTTTGCGATATTTTAATTATTCATTGTTTCAAATTTTAGTTTTTTCGATTTCTCGATTTTTTGACTTTTCAGTTCTTCAGTATTTAAATTTTTCAATTTTTCAAATTTTTGCGTTAAATTTTCAGTTTTCTGATTTCTCATTTAATCTATTTTTGATTTTTCCACTTCTCAAAGTTTCGATTTTTCAGTTCTTCAATTCTTCGATTTTTCGACTTCGCTTTATTGGTTTTTCTATTTCTCAATTTTTGACTTCTAGATTTTTCTATTTTTTATTTTTGGATTTTCAGTTTTTTGTTTTTTATACTTTAGATTTTTCAATGTTTCGATTGTTTTATATTTCAATTTCTCAATTTTTCAAATTTTCCATATTTTAATTTTTAAATTTCTAGATTTTTCGATTATTGGCCTATTTCGGTTTCTCAATTTTTTGATTTTTCGACTCCTCGATTTTTGCTTTTCGGTTTCTCGATTTTTCGATGTTTAGATTTTTGATTTATCCGATTTTCCAATTTTCCAATTTTTTAAATTTTCCCCTTCTCGATTCGTTGATTTTTCAGTTTTTCGATTTTTAAATTTTAGATTTTCGAATTTTTATTTTTTTGAATTTTTGATGTTTGGATTTGTCCATTTTTCAGTTTTAGGATATTTTAACTTTTCGATGTTTTAAATTTTAGATTTTTCGATTTTTTAGTTCTTCAATATTTTTTTATTTTTCAAATTTTCACGTTTCTGAATTTTTAGTTTTCGGATTTCTCAATTAATCTATTTTTTTATATTCCCATTTCTCCACTTCCTAAAGTTTCAATTTTTAAGTTCTTCAGTTCTTCAATTTTTCGATTATTCAGGTTTTTGATTTTTCAGTTTTTCGATTTCTCAATTTTAACTTTTCAATTTTTAAATTATTATTTTTTTTCGATTTTTTGAGTTTTCAGTTCTTCCATATTTCAATTTTCGATTGTCCAATTTTTTTTATTTTTTGATTTTCTAATTTTACTTTTTTCGATTTCTCGATTTTTTGACTTTTCAGTTCTTCAGTATTTAAATTTTCCAATTTTTCAAATTTTTGCGTTAAATTTTCAGTTTTCTGATTTCTCAATTAATCTATTTTTGATTTTCCCACTTCTCAAAGTTTCCATTTTTCAGTTCTTCAATTCTTCGATTTTTCGACTTCGCTTTATTGGTTTTTCGATTTCTCAATTTTTGACTTCTAGATTTTTCTATTTTTTATTTTTGGATTTTCAGTTTTTTGTTTTTTATACTTTAGATTTTTCAATGTTTCGATTGTTTTATATTTCAATTTCTCAATTTTTCACATTTTCCATATTTTAATTTTTAAATTTCTAGATTTTTCGATTATTGGCCTATTTCGGTTTCTCAATTTTTTGATTTTTCGACTCCTCGATTTTTTTGTCTTTTGATTTTTCGATTTCTCGATCTCTCAATTTTTGAACTTTACAATGTTTCAATTTTTCGATTTGTTGGTTTTTCGATTTTTGCTTTTCGGTTTCTCGATTTTTCGATGTTTAGATTTTTGATTTATCCGATTTTCCAATTTTCCAATTTTTAAAATTTTCCCCTTCTCGATTCGTTGATTTTTCAGTTTTTCGATTTTTGATGTTTGGATTTGTCCATTTTTCAGTTTTAGGATATTTTAACTTTTCGATGTTTAAAATTTTCGATTTTTTAGTTCTTCAATATTTTTTTATTTTTCAAATTTTCACGTTTCTGAATTTTTAGTTTTCGGATTTCTCAATTAGTCTATTTTTTTATATTCCCATTTCTCCACTTCCTAAAGTTTCAATTTTTAAGTTCTTCAGTTCTTCAATTTTTCGATTATTCAGGTTTTGGATTTTTCAATTTGTCGATTTCTCAATTTTAACTTTTCAATTTTTAAATTATTTCTTTTCGATTTTTTGAGTTTTCAGTTCTTCCATATTTCAATTTTTCAATTTTCAATTGTCCAATTTTTTTTTATTTTTTGATTTTCTAATTTTAGTTTTTTCGATTTCTCGATTTTTTGACTTTTCAGTTCTTCAGTATTTAAATTTTTCAATTTTTCAAATTTTTGCGTTAAATTTTCAGTTTTCTGATTTCTCAATTAATCTATTTTTGATTTTTCCACTTCTCAAAGTTTCGATTTTTCAGTTCTTCAATTCTTCGATTTTTCGACTTCGCTTTATTGATTTCTCAATTTTTGGATATTTCTTTCAATTTTGATATTTTTCAATACTTCGATTCTTTCATTTTTCGACTTCTAGATTTTTCTATTTTTAATTTTTGGATTTTCAGTTTTTTGTTTTTTTATTTCAATTTCTCAATTTTTCAACTTTTCCATATTTTAATTTTTAAATTTCTAGATTTTTGGGTTTCTCGAGTTTCCAGTTCTATATTTTAATTTTTTAAATTTCCGAATTTTTAAATTTTTTGAGATCTCAATTTATTGAGATTCGGATGTTTCGATGTTTTGATTATTCAATCTCTCGCTTTATCAATTTTTCCATATTTAAGTTTTTGATTTTTCGATTTTGGCCTATTTCGGTTTCTCAATTTTTTGATTTTTCGACTTCTCGATTTTTTTGTCTTTTGATTTTTCGATTTCTCGATGTCTCAATTTTTGAATTTTACAACGTTTCGATTTTTCGATTTGTTGGTTTTTCAGTTTTTCGATTATTCAATTTTAGATTTTTTTTTTGATTTTTTGATGTTTGGATTTCTCCATTTTTCAGTTTTAGGATATTTTAACTTTTCAATGTTTTAAATTTTAGATTTTTCGATTTTTCAAATTTTGACGTTTCTGAATTTTTAGTTTTCGGATTTCTCAATTAATCTATTTTTTATATTCCCATTTCTCCACTTCCTAAAGTTTCGATTTTTCAGTTCTTCACTTCAATTTTTCGATTTTTTAAAAATCGAAAAGCCGAGATGTTAAGAAATCGAATAAAAAAAAACAAAATTGAAAAATTAAAATATCAAAAAAGTGAAAAACTGAAAAATCGAGAAATCAACAAATGGAAAAATTAAGAAATTGAGAAATCAAGAAATCCAGAAATCGAAAAATCTCTCATTTAAAAAATTGAAAAAGCAAAATATCGAAGAATTCAATAATCGAAAAATTGAAAAATCGAGAAATTGAAAAATTCTAACTGAAACGTCGAAAAATTGAAAAAACGAACAATGAAAAAGCTGAAAAATCGAAAAATCGAAAAACTGAAAAACTGTAACATCTAGAAACGAAATATCAAAAAATGATCGAATAATCGAAAGTGAAAAAGTCGAAAAATCGAAAAATTGAGACATTTAAATTACGCAAAATCGAAAAATCAAACTTAAAAATCATAAATCGAAACTTAAAATACTGAAAAATTTAAAAATCGAGAAATTTACAATCGAAAAATCAAAGCATCGAAATCCCGATAATAATCGAAAAAACGAAAAATTGAAAACTGGAAAAATTGAAGAATCGAAAAAAAATTGAAGAATCGATAAACTGAAAATCCGAGAAATCGAAGCATCAAAAATCGAAAAACACAAAATTGAAAACTTGAAAATTTAAAAATCGCAAAATCGAAGAAAAATTGAAGAATTGGCAAACCGAAAAGCCGAGAAATCGAAACATCAAAAATCGAAAAACAAAAAAAAAAAAAATAAAAAATCGAAAATTGAAAAATCGAGAAATCCAAAAATGAAGTCGCCAAATATTGAAAAATCCTAAAACTGAGATATGGAAAAACTGAAAATTCGAAGAAAAATTGATGAATCGAAAAACCGAGATGTCAAGAAATCGCATAAAAAAATCGCAATCGAGAAATCTAGAAATTGAGAAAACGAGAAATTGAGAAATCAGGAAATCGAGAAATCGAAAAATCTCTGCTTTAAAAAATTGAAACTAAAAAATTCCAACTGAAACGTTAAAAAATTGAAAAAAAGAGAAATCAAAAATACGAAAAATCGAAACATCGAAAAACTGAAAAACTGTAACATCTAGAAACCAAACATTAAACAATCGAAAAATCGAAAGTCGAAAAGTCGAAAAATTGAGAAATTGAACAATTTTATATAAAAAAAATTAGAAATCAAAAACTAAAAAATTTACAAATTTAAAAACCGAGAAATTAACAATCTAAAAATCAAAACATCAAAATCCCGATAATGCAACAAACGAAAAATTGAAAAATCGAAAAAGTTGGACAATTGAAAAACCGAAAAATCGAGAAATCGAAAAAAAATTGAAGAAATGACAAGCCGAAAACCAGAGAAATCGAAGCATCAAAAATTAAAAAACAAAAAAATTAAAAAATCGAAAATTTAAAAATCGAAGAATTGAAAAATCGAGAAATCCAAAAATGAAGAAGTGAAATATTGGAAAATCCAAAAACTGAAATACCGAAAAACTGAAAAATTGAGAAAACTAAATTTAAAAATCGAAAAACTAAGTTGTCAAGAAATCGAAGCAAAAATCCCAAAATTGAAAAATAAAAATATCAAAAAAGTGAAAAACCGAAAAATCGAGAAATGGAGAAACCGAGAATTCGAGAAATCGAGAAATCAAGAAATCGAAAAGTCTCTACTTTAAACAATTGAAAAAATAAAGGATCCAAAAATTCAATAATCGAAAATTCAAAAATCGAGAAATTGAAAAATTCCTATTCGGGTTTTTGATTTTTCAATTTTTCCATTTTTTAAGTTTGCGATTTTTAGACTTTTCTGTTTCTCAATTTTTTAATTTCCTAATTTTTTGATATTTCGTTCAATTTTGTGATTTTTGAGTATTTCGATTTCTCAGTTTTAACTTTTCAATTTTTAAATAATTAATTGTTTTCGATTTTTTGAGTTTTCAGTTCTTCTATATTTCAATTTTTCAATTTTCGGAATTTTTAAATTTTCGATTGTCCAATTTTTTTTTATTTTTCGATTTTCCAATTTTTCGATGTTTCGATTTTTGAATTAACCAATTTCAATTTCTCGATTTTTAAATTTTAGATTTTGCAATTCTAATTTTTTTGATTTTTTTATGTTTCGATTTCTCAAATTAGATGACTTTTAACCTTGAAACAGGTATGCACTACATATACATATATTACATATATGTAAAGTCTTCAACACGTACGTTTGCTTATTTTGTGACTACTCCCCGTACAACGTACTGATTAATACGTCCGTTTACTACCTTATCGACATCACGTGCTTACGGACTATTTTTACCCCCTTCCGTAAGGTACCGCCACTTTATAGCGAAGCGAGTGAGATGTAAAATATATATTCATTCTTTTCTACATGGGAAAGTGATTGTCCGTATAGGTTGTCCAACTATAATATACTTAAACAATGGTAGTAGTGTGAGAAGGGCGAAACTTACTTGGTGAGGTGCTTCATCAAAAGTTTTAGTACTTCGAAGTTGGTTTTGGGCAACCGGTGGATTAGGGTGTGGACGTCGTGTACTCGGAGTTGGCGCGTCTCGTTTTCTGGAATAACAAAACAAGTACTAGGGATTGGAATATGGTTTCTGTGAAAGTACTCACTGACTGCCGCTATGAACCCGTTGTGGTACTTATAGGTCATCAATGGTTCCGGCAAATTCCTCAAGTAGCTCTTCAAAGCGCTCGTAATAGTCTTGGTTTCCCACTCCTGGGGGTCCTCCAGCGCTATCTTGTCACTTTTCCTACGATCCAGCCCCATATTCAGCAACTTGTTCACTTTCGAAGTAACCCCCACTACTCTATATATCCCTTGTTCCTCCAACCCCCTACTTTCTAGTACTTCTATACACTTTTTCACAAACTGGATGCCTACGTCGTCCAGTAACCTCTCTTCGGAATTCTGAGCTTTGTTAACACCTGGAGTGGTGTAAGTCTGGAAATTTACTTATAGTGGTGGTTTAGAGTCGCGATTGAGGTAGTACCGGTTCCTTCCCGTCCATGATGTCCATCCAGTCTTTGCGGTCTTGCTCTGAGAGAGCCTGGAAGGTTAAAGCGACTCCGGGTTTTGAGTCCAGCTGGATGTCAAAACAGAATCGTTTTTCGATGGAGTCGGACATGCGGCGGACGCATGAAGTTAGTACCATGGTTTCAGGCTGGGACACCTGAAATCACCCATTACACCACATTCCAGTGGGAAAATCGGGACTTACCGATTTGGTGGTCAGCTGGTTGTATGGTACCATGCTGAATTCCTTCGTTTCTTTGTCATATCTGCAGAAGTGCTTGGTCCAAGTGGTACCAAAGGCTTCTGCAAGAGCAGGAACTTGAGTAAACAACGACAAGAGATTTTTGGAAATAAATTGCAGAGTTCAAGATTTAATTTTTAACATCAGTTTGCTTTGAAAATTATTAGTAAGTGAATGTCACCCTGAATTCGAAGAGGGAAAACGGATTTTATGCGCGTTTTGTGTTATGATTTGTGTTTTATGACTGGAATTTTTGACATTTATTTTTGGATATCACAGCGAAGTGTGTACCGAGCGACTTTATTATGATTTCGATCATATTTAACATGTTTTTATATTTGTGCAATTAAATTTGCGAATTATTGAATTTTTTATATATTTTTTTCTTTCTTCAGGTCTTCGATTTGCAATTTTTCGAGTTTTCTAGTTTAAATTGTGGTACATATTTTGTTTTTTCAAATTTAATTTTTTGAATCTTTCGTTTATTAAATTTTTAGATTTGTGATTTTTTAATTTTTCATTTTTCTTGTTTTTCAATGTTCTGATTTTATAATTCTTTTTTTTTATCTGCATTTATCCGGTTTCAACTTTTTGATTTTTCAGTTTAACATTTTCTTGTCCCCAACTTTACGATTTTGGAATTTTTCGTTTTTTTTTACAATTATCGGATTTGAACACTTTTTCAATTATCCGATTTTTTTTTTCTCGATGTTTAGATCTTTCAATGTTGCACTTTTACAATTTTTGGGCTTCCAATTTTTCGTTACCTTAGTTCTTCGATTTCTCACTTTTTTGCTTTTTCAGTTTTTCGATATTTAATTTTTTTCCGATTTTTTAGTTTTTCGATTTTTAATTTTCCGAGTTTTCAATTTCTCAAGTGTCGAATCAAAGAAATTCCAAAAAATGAAAATTAAAAAATGGAACTTAAGAACTGGAAAAATTGAAAAACAAAAAATTGAAAAATCGAAAATAAAAAATTGAGAAACTTAAAAGGCAGAAAAATTGTAAAATCCAAAGAACAAAATTTTGTACAATCGAAATATTGAAAATTACGTAAATCGTATAATTGGGAAATCCAAAAATTGCAAAAACTCAGGATATCGTAAAATATAAAATATTGATAATTCAAAAATTAAAATACAAAAAAATTGAAAAATCAATATATCAAAATATCAAAAAATCTAAAACTAAAAAAATGTGAAATTTTCCAAAATTGAAGAGTTGAAAAATCGAAGTCCGAAATCGAAAACTGAAAAATTCCAAAACTGAAATGACGAAAAATTCAAAAATCGCAACATCGAAGCGTAGGAAAATCGAAAATCTATGACGAAAAATCGGAAAATGGAAAAACTGAAAAGTTTAAAAACACATCAAAAGATTGAGAAATCAAAAAGTTGAAAAGTCCAAAAATCGAAAAACTGCGAAATCGAACTCGATCAAAACCTCGATTAATCTAAAAATTTAGAAATGGAAAAATTAAAAATTTTAAGGAACGAAAAATCGAAATATCCAAGAACTGTAAAATCTTAAAACGTGAAAAATTAGAATATCGGAAAATTTAAAAATCGAAAAAGTAAAAATGCAGGAATCGAATACTAAAAATTTGAAAAATCCCAAAACTGACACATCGAAAAAACAAGAAATCAAAATATTGAAAAATCGGAAAATTAAAAGTTGAAAAATCGAAGCCAAAAATCGAAACTTGAAAAATTCCAAACTGAAATGATGAAAAATTGAAAAATCGCAACATAAAAAAATTAGAAAATCTGGAGACGAAAAATCGGGAAATCGAGAAATCAAAAAGTCGAAAAGTCTAAAAATTGAAAAACAGAAATTGGACATTCCAAACATCCAAATCTCGATTTCGTTAAATTTTTTGTTTCTTCAGTTCTTCGATTTTCCACTTTTCCGTTTTTTCAGTTTTTCGAATAAAAAAAATTTAAAATTGAAAAATAAAGGATGGAATAACGAAAAGGTGTAAAAAGAAAGATTTCAAAAATCCAAAAATTGGAACTCAAAAAAATTGAAAATTGAATAAAAAAATTGCAAAATCCAAAAAACAAAATATTGTAAAATCGGAATATTGAAAATTACGGAAATCGGATAATTGAGAAATCCAAAAATTGCAAAGCTGAAAGATCTAAAATTTAAAAATTCGAAAAATTGGGGACCCAAAAAATCGAGAAATTGAAAAATTCCAAAACTGAAATGACAAAACATTGAAAAATCGCAACATCGAAAAATTAGAAAATCGAAAATTTGGAGACGAAAAATCGGGAAATCGAAAAATTGAAAAGCTGAAATATCGAGAAACGGTACATCAAAAGCTTGAGAAATCAATAAGTCCAAAAGTCAAAAAATCGGGATTTCGCAAAATCGAAAATTTTGGAAATTGAAAATTCAATGAATCAAAACATCAAAAACTCGACAAGCAAAAAAATGTTGAAAAATCCCAAAACTGAAACATCGAAAAGTCGAGAAATCAAAAAATTGGAAAATCGGAAAATCGAAGCCAACAATCGAAAATTAAAAAAAATCGAAAAATTGAGAAATTGGGAACCCCAAAAAATCGAGAAATCGAAAATTTCCAAAACTGATTTTTCCGATTTTTTCTTTTCGAATAAAAAAAAAATTAAAATTCAAAAGTCAAAAATGGATCAACGAAAAGAAGTAAAATGAAAACTTTCAAAGTCTTCTGAAAATTAAAACTCACAAACTTGAAAAACTGAAAAAACAAAAAGTTGAAAAATCCACAAAACAAAACATTGTAAAAGCTGAATCATCGAAAAAGCAAGAAATCAAAAAATGGAAAAATCGAAAAATTGAAAAATCGAAGCCAAAAATGGAAAATTTAAAAATTCGAAAAATTAAAAAATTGAGAATTTGCAAAATTCCAAAACTGAAATGACTAAAAATTGAAAAATCGCAACATCGAAAAATTGGGAAATCCAAAATCTGGAGACGGAAAATCGGGAAATCGAAAAACTGAAAAGCTGAATTATGGAGAACATCAAAACATCGGGAAATCAAAAGGTTGAAAAGTCAAAAAATCGAAAAATTGAAAGATCGAAAAACTGAGAAACTGAACGTTCCATTTTTTCATTTTTTCAGTTTTTCGATTCTAAATCCAATTTTGTTCAATTTTTCAGTTTTTCGATTTTTAATTTTCCGAGTTTTCAATTTTTCGATTAACCAAACTTTTCGAATTAAAAAATTCTAAAATTTAAAAATCAAAAATGGAACAACGCAAAGGTCTAAAATGAAAACTTTCACACATCTAAAAATTGGAACTCAAGAACTTGAAAAACTGAAGAAACAAAAAATTGAAAAATTGAATTAGAAATCGAGAAACTTAAAAGTAGGAAAATTGCAAAATCCAAAAAACAAAATATATTTTAAAATCGAAATATTGAAAATTAGGGAAATCGATAAATAGAGAAATCCAAAAATTGCAAAATTGAAAAATCTAAAATTTAAAAATTCGAAAAATTGAGAAATGGAAATATCGAAGAAATGAAAAATGGGGATGATAAAATTTAAAATTTTGAAAATTGAAAAATTAAAACACCAAAAAATTGAAAAATCAATAAATCAAAACATCGAAAAGTAAAAAATGTTGAAAAATCCCAAAACTGAAACATCGAAAAGACGAGAAATCAAAAAATTGAAAAATCGAAGCCAAAAATCGAAAATTTAAAAAATCGAAAAATTGAAAAATCACAACATCGTAAATCTGGAGACGAAAAATCGGGGAATCGAAAAACTGAAATCTCGAGAAACAGAAGATTAAAAAATCGAGAAATCAAAAAGTCGACAGGTGAAAAAATCGAAAAATTGAAAAGTCGAAGAACTGCGAAATCGAACATTCCATTCCTTTCTTCAGTTCTTCGGGTTTCCATTTTTTCGTTTTCCAGGTTTTTTGATTTTTCAGTTTTTCCGATTTTTTCTTTTCGAATCAAAAAAATTCTAAAATTGAAAAGTCAAAAATAGAACAATCAAAAGGATTAAAATGAAAACTTTCAACGATCTGAAAATTGGAACTCAGGAACTTGAAAGATTGAAGAAACAACAAAATTGAAAAATTGAGAAACTTAAAAATAGAAGAATTTCAAATCCATAAAACAAAATACTGTAAAATCGAAAAATGTTGAAAAATCCCAAAACTGAAACATCGAAAAGTCGAAAAAAAAATTTCATAAATTGGGGACCCGAAAAATGGAGAAATAGAAAAATTCCAAACTTGAAATGACGAAAAATGAAAAAATTGCAACATGGAAAATTAGAAAATCGAAAATCTGGAGCCGAAAGAAAATCGGGGAATCGAAAAACTGAGAAATTGAACATTCGAAACATCTCGGTTTCGTTAAATTTTTCGTTTCTCCAATTCTTCGGTTATTCAAGTTTTGGAATCAAAAAAATTCTAAAATTGAAAAATCAAAAAGGAACAATGAAAGGTATAAAATGAAAACTTCGACAGATTTAAATTAAAAATTGGAACTCAAAAACTTGAAAAATTGATGACAAAAAATTGAAAAATCGAAAGATTAAAATTTGAGAAACTTTAAGATAGAAAAATCGCAAAATCCAAAATATAAAATATTGTAAAATCGAAATATTGAAAATTACGGAAATCAGCAAATTGAAAATATCGAAGAAGTGAAAAATCGAGATATTGTAAAATCCAAAATTTTCAAAATTGAAAAATTAAGACACAAAAAAATTGAAAAATGCCAAAACTGAAACGTCGAAAAGTCGAGAAATCAAAAAATTGAAAAATTGAAGCCAATAATTGAAAATTTAAAAAATCGAAAAATTGGGGACCCGAAAAATCGAGAAATTGAAAAATTCCAAACCCGAAATGACGAAAAATTAAAAAATTGCAACATGGAAAAATTAGAAAATCGAAAATCTGGAGACGAAAAATCTGTGAATCGAAAAACTGAAAAATCGACAAATCAAAAAGCCGAAAAGTCAAAAAATCGAAAAATTGAAAGATCGAAAAACTGAGAAACTGAACGTTCCACTTTTTCGTTTTCTCAGTTTTTCGATTTAACATTTTTGTGCGATTTTTCAGTTTTTCGATTTTTAATTTTCCGAGTTCTCAATTTTTCGATTAACTGACTTTTCGAATTAAAAAATTCTGAAATTTAAAAATCAAAAATGGAACAACGAAACAGTCTAAAATGAAAATTTTCACAGATCTAAAAATTGGAACTCAAAAATCTGAAAAATTGAAGAAACAAAAAATTGAAAAATCGAAAGATTAGAAATTAGGAAACCTAAAAACACAGAAAAATTTCAAAATCCAAAAAACAAAATATATTGTAAAATAGAAATAATGAAAATTACGGAAATCGGTAAATTGAGAAATCCAAAAATTGCAAAACTGAAAAATCTAAAATTTAAAAATTGGAAAAATTGAGAAATGGAAATATCGAAGAACGGAAAAATGGGGATGATAAAATTTAAAATTTTGAAAATTGAAAAATTAAAACACCAAAAAATTGAAAAATCAATAAATCAAAACATCGAAAAATCAAAAAGTTAAAAATGTTGAAAAATCCCAAAACTGAAACATCGAAAAGTCGAAAAATCAAAAAATTGAAAAATCGGAAAATTGAACAATGGAAAAATCGAACCCAAAAATCCAAAAATTGAAAAATCGCAACATCGAAAAATTGGAAAATCGAAAATCTGGAAACGAAAAATCGAGAAATCGAAAAATAAAAAAACTGAAATATCGAGAAACATAAGATCAAAAGATCGAGAAATCAAAAATTCAAAAGTCAAAAAATCGAAAAACTGAGAAATTGAATCCCATTCCTCCCTTCAGGTCTTCGATTTTCCGCTTTTTCGTTTTTCCACTCTTTCGATTTTTCATTTTTTCCGACTTTTTCTTTTCGAATCAAAAAAATTCTAAAATTTAAAAGTCAAAAATGGAACTCAAGAACTTGAAAAACTGAAGAAAAATAGCAAAATCCAAAAAACAAAATATTGTAAAATCGAAATATTGAAAATTGAAAAATGCCAAAACTGAAACATTGAAAAGTCGAGAAATAAAAAAATTGAAAAATTGAAGCCAAGAATTGAAAATTTAAAAAATCGAAAAATTGGGGACTTGAAAAATCGAGAAATTGAAAAATTCCAAACCCGAAATGACGAAAAATTAAAAAATTGCAACATGGAAAAATTAGAAAAGCGAAAATCTGGGAATCAAAAAACAGAAAAATCGAAAAGTCAAAAAATCGAAAAACTGAGGAATTGAACATTCCAAACATAAAAATCTCGATTTCGTAAAATTTTTCATTTATTCAGTTCTTCGATTTTCCACTTTTTCGATTTTACATTTTTGTCCGATTTTTCAGTTTTTCGATTTTTAATTTTCCGAGTTTTCAATTTTTCTATTATTCAACTATTCGAATAAAAAAATTCTAAAATTGAAAAATCAAAAATGGAATAACGAAAAGGTGTAAAATAAAACTTTCAAAGATCTAAAAATTGGAACTCAAGAAGTTGAAAAATTGAAGAAATAAAAAATTGAAAAATCCAAAGATTGAGAAACTTAAAGATAGAAAAATTGCAAAATCCAAAACAAAACTATTTTGTAAAATCGAAATATTGAAAGTTACGGAAATTGAGAAATCCAAAAATTGCAAAACTGAAAAGTCTAAATAAAAATTCGAAAAATTGAGAAATAAACCTAAAATTTTGGAAACTAAAACAGCAAAAAATTGAAAAATTGGAAAAGTGAAGAGTTGAAAAATCGAAGCCAAAAATCCAAAATTTAAAAAATCGAAAAATTAAAAAATTGGGGAGCCGAAAAATCGCAACATCGAAAAATTAGAAAATCGAAAATCTGGAGACGGAAAATCGGGAAATCGAAAATTTGAAAAGCTGAAATATCGAGAAACGGAACATCAAGAGATCGGGAAATCAAAAAGTCGAAAAATTAAAAAATCGAAAAACTGAGAATTTGAATAAAACAAACGTTAAATTTTTCGTTCCTTGAGTTCTTCGATTTTACACTTTTTCGTTTTCTCAGTTTTTCAAGTTTTCGTTTTTTTCGGATTTTTTTTAGAATAAAAAAAAATCTAAAATTCACAAGCCAAAAATGAAATAACGAAAAGAAGTAAAATGAAAACTACTTTCAGTCTTCAAAATTGAAACTCACAAACTTGATATAATTAAAAAATCGAAAGATTAAAAATTGAGAAACTTCAAAATAAAAAAATTGCCAAAAAGCAAAACATTGTAAAAGTTGAAACATCGAAAAAGCAAAAAATCAAAAAATTGAAAAATTGGAAAATTGAGGAGTTGAAAAATCGAAACCAAAAATCGAAAATTTAAAAAACCAAAAAACTGAAAAATTGGAGGACCCGAAAAATCGAGAAATGGAAAAATCGCAACATCAAAAAATTCGAAAATCCAAAATCTGGAGACGGGAAATCGAAAAACTGAAAAGCTGAAATATGGAGAAACAGAACATCAAAATATTGAGAAATCAAAAGGTTGAAAAGTCAAAAAATCGAAAAACTGGGAAACCGAACGTTCCACTTTTTTGTTTTTTCGGTTTTCCGATTTTACATTTTTGTCCGATTTTAAAGTTTTTCGATTTTTAATTTTCCAAGTTTTCAATTTTCGATTAATCAACTTTTGAAACAAAAAAATTCTAAAATTGAAAAATCAAAAATGGAACAACGAAAAGATCTAAAATGAAAACTTTAACAGATCTAAAAATTGGAACTCAAGAACTTGAAAAATTGAAGAAAAAAAAAATTGAAAAATCGAAAGATTAGAAATTGGTAAAGAAGATCAAAAGATCGAGAAATCAAAAAAACGAAAAGTCAAAAAAATCGAAAAATTAAAAAATCGAAAAACTGAGAAATCGAATATTCCATTCCTTTCTTCAGTTCTTCGAGTTTCCACGTTTTCGTTTTTCCAGTTTTTGGATTTGTCATTTTTTTCCGATTTTTTTTTTTCGAAAAGTCAAAAATGGAACAACCAAAAAGCGTAAATTGAAAACTTCCAACGGTCTGAAAACTCAAACTCAAGAACTTGAAAAACTGAAGAAATAACAAAATTGAAAAATCGAAAGATTAAAAATTGAGGAACTTAAAAATAGAAAAATTGCAAATCCGTAAAACAAAATATTGTAAAATCGAAATATTGAAAATTACGGAAATCGAAAAATTGGGGACCCGAAAAATCGAGAAATTGAAAAATTTCAAACATAGCAATCTCGATTTCGTAAAATTTTTCATTTTTTCAGTTCTTCGATTTTCCTCATTTCCTGACTTTTCAATTTTTCGATTATTCAACTTTTCGAATAAAAAAAAATCTAAAATTGAAAAATAAAAATGGAACAAAGCAAAAGTGTAAAAATTAAAGAAATGGGATAATTGAGAAATCCTAAAATTCCAAAATAGAAAAATTTTAAAAATTGCATAAATTCGAGAAAAAATAAAGGAAATGAGAAAATTACATATTGTGATACAAAATCTGGAAAATGAAACTGAAAAAATCTGGAAAATGAAAAATAAAAATTAAGAACTTTTACAGTTTCAAAGTTAAATTGGAAAATTTTTTATACAATTTAGATTTTTTTTCCAAAAATATGGATGTCTAAGATGGCAACTCAACACGGATTCATACATCACAAGTATCTTCCTTTATAAAATAAACAAATGTATATTGTGGCAAAACTTAATAAATTCACTTGCATTAGACCGCATTCCGCCATTTCAAAACACAACGTAGACTTCCATTTTGTCGACGATCGCAGTTCATGGCGCGAGTTTTCAAATTTCGTGCACCACACTACAATCGTTTACCGAACACATGGACCGACCACGTGTCCTCAAAACGAGCGCTCACCCTTACAACATTCTAACACAACTCGACTTACTTTTCTCGAGCAGATACAAGTACCCTTCCCTTATCGACTTCCTGACCGGCTTCTCGCAGTGTTGTACGTCGGCCATCCGTTTCCGCAGCTTATTGCTATAATCATCAAAATTGGCCCTCGTCTTCTGTATCTTGTGCTGGAGGTCGATCATGTACGGCTTGAAGTCCTTCGCGACCTCGTGCCCCTGGTGGTAGAAGGTCAGCCAACCGAACAGGAACGTCAGCAGCGTCTCGACAAACTCAAACTTCTTCCTCTCGTGGACTTCCTGTATCAGGTAGACGTAGTCCATGCTCGCCGTGAAGAAGTGGCGTTCGGCCATGTCCACCGACGCGTCGGCCTGCAACCAAACCGCACCGGTCAAAGTCGCTCCTTCGAGCCGGATCCGATGGGGACCCTCGTCAACGTACGCATTTCGGCGGATGAAAGATTCAGGCCATGGCGACGGTTCACGAGACGGCCGAATGGAAAAGCCGCATCGCACACTGTGATTGATTGTTTTTGCGCTGTCACGGCATACAAAATTCAAAAACGTGACCCGATGAGAAACGTCAGTTTTGTGGAACTGGACGGCGAGGGGGCAGATGGCCGAAGGCGCAAACGCATATCGATATGACGTCAGATGATCGATACGCACCCACGCAAGTGACGTCACGGTTTACGATAGAGCCACCCCTAGGAGCTGAATGGGACGGCCGATTGATTCATGGGATCGGGGCAGATAAGCGCGGAGGCGGATGGTAATGAGTCATGGGGGCACGGAGACGGTGCGGACTTGTTTTGGTTTGAAAGGAGGTTTTTTTGCTTTGTCGGGGGCTATTGTGTTCGTGGTCAGGTGGTGTGTGGGTTTTGTGGGTGTTTATGAAATTGAAAGTTACGGTTGGAAATTTGCTAATCTAGTGGCCAACGTATGGGAAAAATTGAAGGTTATTTCGAAAATGCGAAGGATATGACATACATATACAGGGTGTTAAAAAAATACAATATTCTTCATGGTACGTTGTTAAGAAGGTTCTGAAAACTCTAAAAAAAATGGTTAAAAATAATAAAATTAACAATATTAAGCGTTAAGTTGAAAGATTAATTTCGTAATTTTGATTTGTTTTAAAGGACTGCATTGTCTAATAAACAGTTAAATATTTAGTTTAATAATATTACGAAATTAATTCTTCAATTTATTTTGAAGTTTAATTTTTTTTTTAACAATTTTTTTCGAGTTCTTCGGAGCCTGCTTAACAACGTACCATCGAGCGTATACGTCGTTTTCTTATCACCCTATATTTAAAGCACACAACCAACGGGAAAAAAGCTTTTTGAAAAATCGAAATATCGAGAAATCGCAAAATCGAAAAATTGCAACATCGGAATATCGATAAACCGGGAAAATGAGAAAAAAAATAAATGGAAAAACTGAGAAATCGAGAAATCTAGAAATGGAAAAGTAAAAAATTTTAACAATTGAAAAAATCGAAATCAAGAAATCGAATTAAAAAAATGAAAAATCTAAAATTTTAAAATCGAAAAATTGGAACATCGAGAAACAAATGAAAACTCGAAAAATTTAAAATAAAAAAATTGACCAATCGAAACACCAAAAAAAATCGATTAATATAGAAATTGGGAAATTGAAAAATGGAGAAATTAACAATCGAGAAATCGAAAACCGAAAAAACAAAAAATTTAAAACCTAGAAGTCAAAAATCGAAATATCACAAAAACTGAGAAAAATTCAAGATTTAAAAATTCAAAAAATTGAGAAATAGAAATACCTAAGAACTGAAAGATGGAGAAATCGCAAAAACTAAAATTTTGAAAGTTGAAAAATTGGAAGATTGAGGAATCAAAAACCCGAAAAGTAGAAGAATTAAAAAACCTAAAATTTTAAAATCGAAACGCTGAAAATTCGGACATCAAGAAAAAAAATGAAAATCGGAGAATTTGAAAAATTTTAAATTGAAATAGTCCAAAATCGAGAAAAATTAAAAAAATTAAAATAGAAAAAAATCGATCAACCGAAAAATCGACATCTTGATAAACGAGAAATCAAGAAATATAAACATAAAAAATTGGTAAATTTGAAAACTCGAAAATTGAAGACTTGAAAAATGTCAAAATTGAAACATCAAAAAATTGAAAAAATGAGAAATCGAAAATTCGAAAATTTAAAAATTGAAGTCAGAATCCTGAAAAATCGAAAAACTAAAAAAAAACGAAAAATAGTAAAATCTAAAATTTTGAAAATTGAAAACTTAAAATACCAAAATTGAAAAATCAATAATTGAAACATCAAACATTCGAAAAAGTGAAGAATTGAAACAAAAAAAAATGGATTAATATAGAAATTGGGAAATTGAAAAATGGAGAAATTAACAATCGAGAAATCGAAAACCGAAAAAACAAAAAATTTAAAACCTAGAAGTCAAAAATCGAAATATCACAAAAACTGAAAAATTCAAGATTTAAAAATTCAAAAAATTGAGAAATAGAAATACCTAAGAACTGAAAGATGGAGAAATCGCAAAATCTAAAATTTCGAAAGTTGAAATTCGAAAAATTGAAAAATTGGAAGATTGAGAAATCAAAAATCCGAACAGTAGAAAAATTAAAAAACCTAAAACTTAAAAATCGAAACATTGAAAATTTGGAACATCGAGAAAAAAATTAAAACTCGATAATTCGAAAAATTTCAAAACCAAATAGTCAAAAATCGAGAAAAATTGAAAAATTTAAACTAAAAAAAAATCGATCAACCGAAAAATCGAGGAATTGAACAATCGAAACATCGAGAAATATAATCAAAAATTCGAAAAATTGAAGAACCTCAATCATCAAAAATCCCGAAACTTGGATATTGAAAAATCAAAGAAAAATTTCAAAACTGAAACATCAAAAAATTGAAGTCAGGAACCTGAAAAATTGAATAATTGAAAAACTAAAAAATCGATTATTATAGAACTTGAGAAGTCAAAAAATGGACAAATTGAACAATCTAAAGATCGAAATCTGGAAAAAACGAAAAATTTAAAACCGAGAAGTCAAAAATCGAAAGATCGAGAAATCGAAATTTCAAAAAACTGAAAAATCTAAGATTTAAAAATAAAAAAAATTGAGAAATCAAAGAACTGAAAAATGGAGAAATCGCAAAAACTAAAATTTTGAAAATTGAAAAATCATAAAATTAAAAATCGGAGTGTTGAAAAATTTTAAAAATCCGACAAGTTGAAAAATTGAAGAATCGAAAAATTGAAACGTCAAAAAATCGAAGAATTAAAAAATCTAACACTTATTGGTAAATTTGAAAACTCGAAAATTGAAGAATTGAAAAATGTCAAAATTGAAACATCAAAAAATTGAAAACATGAGAAAAAAACGAAAAATTTAAAACCCAGAAGTCGAAAAATCTAAAGATCGAGAAATCGAAACATCAAAAAACTGAAAAACCGAAAATTTAAAAATTCTAAAAATTGACAAAATATCGAAGAACTGAAAAATCGAGAAACCGTAAACTCTAAAATTTTGGAAATTCGAAAACTTAAAATACCAGAATTGAAAAATCAATAATTCAAAACATCAAAAAACCGAAAAGGAAAAAATCGAGAAATCAAAAAATTGGAAAGTCGAAAAATTGGGGAACCCCAAAAGTGAAAAATCGAAAAATTGAAAAATTGAAAAAACAAAAAATCGATTGGTAGAGAAATTGAGAAATCAAAAAATTGAAAAACCGAAAACACGAGAAAATTAAAAACTTACAAATTTAAAACCGAAAAGTCAAAAAGTTGAAAAATCCAAAGATTGAGAAATCGAAACATCAAAAAACTGAAAAATTTGAAACTTAAAATTTCGAAAAATTGGGAAATCGAAATATCGAAAAACTGAAAAATCGGAATATCGTAAAATCTAAAATTTTGAAAATTGAAAAATTAAAATACCAAAAAATTGAAAAATTAAAATATCAAAAAATCTAAAAGAAAAAAAGCTGAAAAATCCCAAATCTGAAACATCGAAAAATTCAAATAAAAAAACAGAAAAATCTGAAATTTTAAAATCGAAAAATTGGAACATCGAGAGAAAAATGAAAACTCGAAAAATTTCAAAACGAAATAGCCCAAAATCGAAAAAGTTAAACATTGAAAAATCCAGAAATCTAAACATCAAACATTCGAAAAAGTGAAGAATTGAAAAACCAAAATCGATTAATATAGAAATTGAGAAACGGAAAAATCGAGAAATTAACAATCGAAATATGGAAATCTGGAAAAATCGATAAATCGAAAACCGAAAAAAAGAAAAATTTACAACTTGGAAGTCAAAAGTCGAAATATCGCAAAAACTGAAAAATTCAAGATTTAAAAATTCAAAAAATTGAGAAATAGAAATACCTAAGAAAAGAACTGAAAGATGGAAAAATCGCAAAATTTAAAATTTCGAAAGTTGAAAAATCGAAAAATTGAAAAATTGGAAGATTAAGAAATCAAAAATCCGAAGAGCAGAAAAATTAAAAAATCTAAAACTGAAAACTCGAAACACTGAAAATCTGGAACATCGAGAAAAACAATGAAAACTCGAGAATTGGAAAAATTTCAAAACGAAATAGTTCAAAATCGAGACATTGAACAATCGAAACATCGAGAAATATAATCAAAAATTCGAAAAATTGAAGAACCTCACTCATCAAAAATCCCGAAACTTTGATATTGAAAAATCGAAGAAAAATTTCAAAGCTGAAAGATCAAAAAATTGAAGTTAGGAACCTGAAAAATTGAATAATTGAAAAACTAAAAAATCGATTAATATAGAACTTGAGAAGTCGAAAAATGGTCAAATTGAACAATCTAAAGATCGAAATCTGGAAAAAACGAAAAATTTAAAACCCAAGTCGAAAATCGAAAGATCGAGAAATCGAAATATCAAAAAGTTGAAAAATGTAAGATTTAATAATTCAAGAAATTGAGAAATGGAAATATCAAAGAAAAGCTGAAATATGGAGAGACAGAACATCAAAAGATCGAGAAATCAAAAGGTTGAAAAGTCAAAAAATCGAAAAACTGGGAAGCTGAACGTTCCACTTTTTCGTTTTTTCAGTTTTTCGATTTTACATTTTTGTCCGATTTTTCTGTGTTTCGATTTTTAATTTTCCGTGTTTTCAATTTGGATCCACGAAATCTTGAATTCGTTAAATTTTTCGTTTCTTAGGTTCTTCCATTTTCCACTTTTTCGTTTTTTCAGTTTTCGATTGTTTAGTTTTTTGATATTTCAATTTTTCGTTTATTCAACTTTTCGAATCAAAAAAATTCCAAAAAATGAACCAACGGAAAGGTGTAAAATGAAAACTTTCAAAGA